GTCCCTGAGAAACACTGTAATATGTACAGAGCCCTGAAGTGGTCAGTGGGATATCATTAAAAACACTTGGTAGTAAAATTAACTTTTTAAGTACTGAATTTGAAAAAAAAAAAGTTATGACTACAGTTGCATTTTGTGATTATATTTTTTTAATTCGTGATGTTTGTCCGGACATATGGTGACCCTAAAAGGACAAGTATCCCAAAAATAAGTTTTTCATTGATGGAAAAAAATAATTGTTAAAAATTTAGCAAGTAATCAAAACTGCTCCTGTGGTTCCTCTTTTTTCAAATTACAGAAACAATAAGCCAGTATTCTACATTATTTTTCATTCGTCCCCACATTGCCTTTCCAGGACTAGACAGAATATGCCAACTAAATAGTATGACACGGAATGCAACTTAACAAGAGAAAAAAACTAAAGCACAAATTCAATTCACAGATTTTTCTTTATTTTGGGCATTCATATGAAAAGGAGAAGTAGTGCCAAATGAATTCTTTAGCATTTGAAAGACCTATGTTCTACTTTTTTGATGTGATGTTGATCACTTTGAGGCTCTTCTTCTCTTTTAATTTTGGTCAAACATCTCTTGATTTGGTTTTGCACGGTCCGAATGGATAGAAACAAAAACATCTGGTAGCTTCCTGCAGCTGCATGCATTAAGACAGGTGGATGAAAACCAGCAGAAGATTTCCCTCTACCTTTTCATCCATCCATCTCTGCTGCAGGAAGGTGATATCTGTTATCTCATGCTGTCTGTCATGTCTACCTCATTTGCACTGATAGTTAAAGAATGTTTCAGTGAAGGAAAAGACGCATATTTCTTGTATGCATACTGAAAAAAAAAATTCTTTTTCTGTATTTGTGCAAATGTTGCTGAGAAGCCTGATAAGAGCAAGAAGGGGGACAGAGAAGTGGAAGGTGGAATTATTGGACGGACTGGACTTCAACAATCCTTTGTGGAGACACTACGAGAAGGATGCACTGCTGGGTGAAAAACAAGCTGCCCAATCTGATGTAATGATCTTTGTGGAAGGAAAAGATCCGTTGAAATCCTCCTATCCTCAAAAACCTCCAGAAAACATTAGAAATGTGAGATTTCAGTTTGCCAACTTTTAATACTTTTTTAATGCATTATTTTGTACAGAGTTCCATTGCTAACCATTCCTCATATGTGTTATTTTATTTTGCCAATTAAAGCTGCACTGGTGTGTCAGAAAAAATTTCCAAGTCAACATAAATCAAAGTTGATAAGTTCAGTTTCTAGTGAGGGTTAACTATGTGTAGTTCACTGACTTTGGAATTTCTTTTTTTGCATCTTTCAAGGATTTTTGGATATGTTTTGTTTAGTCAGATGAAAAGGTGTGAAATCAGTTAGCTGATTGTCTTTTTTCTAGTCCCAGCACTAAATTGATATCCATGATACAATATGTCATTTACAGATTAACTTATTTTTCTTTGTCAAAGACCAGATTTCTTCAGTTTATACCACACAAAACAGAAAAGCTGACAAATCTTTAACAATAATAAAATGACATCACCAACCTCTCAGAAAGCATTCAAAAGTAGTCTGCCATAATCTATCTGAAAAAAAGGCAAGCATTGACAATGAAGTTATGGGAATCAGTCAGGGTGACAGAGCTGCTCTTTTCAGATCCAAGTTTTGGATTTGACATCTAACCAGTTTTCCTGAATGCTTTGCTGTTATTCTTTTTTTTTTCTATTATGGGTCCATAATTGTCCTTGTGCAGTTGTACATGTTTCTGCTCCTGCCTTCACTTCTTCAGTCAGAACCCCCCTCACCCTCCCTCCCTAATGGACAATTAAACTGACAGGAAGCTCAGCTGTGAGGATGAGCATTGAGGAAGGTGATGATAGTGATGACAAAGATGAAGAGTCAGTGTTAGGTGGATGTGTGTGAGGAGATGTGGTTGATTTGAAACCCGTTTTTTTCAGCAGGATATAAAGTTAAAAAATGTTCAGGTTAATGCAAAATGTTGGATGAGTGTTGAGAAAGGAGTTGTACAGAAATGTAACAAAATAATTTTTGGGAAATAAATGAACAAAAAAAGAGAAATGTTTTGCGATTGTTTGGTGGGAAGTTCAGCCATTAAAATCAGTTGAAACAGAGTTTACACAGCTTTATTCACACAACATATATTTTATAACCACTTTATAAACCTCTAAGTCAAGTATTTCAGTGCAACACAAAGGAAGTTTCTTTTACTTTCTAAAATGATTTCATACCGCCCATGTCACCAAATAAAATTCATTTTCACCAGCCTGCAGTAAAAAAAAACGATTTTTAAGTGGTGTGGGGATAATTTTTGACAGTGCTTCCTTCTCCAAGGGAACTTTCCTCTTTCTCCATCACCTTTAAAAATGTACTTACTGTGACCTGAAAGGTGGATAAACCCTAAACATAACGTTTCCATCTGTTGCAGATGGGAGGTATTAAAGGAAAGGCGCTATTGTCCCATGACATAAATTGACGGTGATAAATTGTTCGCTTGTGCTAGCCAGAGCATAGAGGCGTAGGGACCATAGACGCCGCATCGGCTGCTGGGGCGCGTGAAATACGACCGCCATCTTGGTCCGGTCATCCTACTCGTACAAAATAAACCTGCATCCTTTTTTAGTTGTTTGAGCTTGGATATCGCAACCCTATAGGCCATTATTTTAATAGAGTGACGATATGTTTGATTTTTCTCCTAGATATCAGATCTAAAATAATCACTTGCTACATCCAATAAGGTGATCAGAATTTGATACCGTTTTGATATTGCCACCTAGCCTAGGTTACTCCAAGGCAGTTCTCAAGGCCAGTGACGGAGTTCATTTTGGAGGGGCAGAAGATTTTTTTTTTATTATATTGTAATAGGGAGAATAATAATAATACGAGAGGACTGAGGGAAAGAGGGTTAAAATGGTAGTTCCTCGGCCAAAACGGGAGACTTGATAGCTATGCGCTGAACCATGTGTCCTGAGTCATACCTACAATAAAGACGTTTGCAGAGTTAGAAACCGGGTGAAAATCCATTTAATATTCAGGGATTTATGACTGACTAAATGCGTTGACACGTCATTGCGCCTGCCAATTTTCATCTCACAGGACACACCCACACACACCTGGTGGAACCACTCATCATAGCCACCATCGCTCTGCACCCAGTCCACCTTCACTTGTCTCTGGCTTTCTTGGATGCTCTTCCGCTGAGCGAAAGTGACCGGACCAAGATGGCGGCCATGCTGCAAGCCAATACGAAGTAGCGGTCGATGCAGCGCCTACTCTTTATGGTAGAGTCTCTTCTGCACTGGTGCTGTCAAGATTAGGAAAGCGGGACCTCAGATTGGAAGAAATTTTTGCTTCCTTCAAAATAAATGGATAACGTTTAAAGTCTTCGATGGCGCTGAAAAAATGACATCAGTGGTGGAAGGAGTCTTAATTGGCTAAAAGTGACTGAACCAAAAAAAATAAAGTTATTTTTAAATATTTAATTTGGATCTTCTGTATCATATTTGACGTTTGAGGCATAAAGTTATTGACTCAGAATTGAACGCTTTTGGCACTTTGCTCTGAAGGGAAAATGTGCGGAAGTCTGATTTTGTTATCGTGTGACGACGTTTCCCGCTTTTCTAGCCAATCAGAGGCGAAGGAGGCGGGACTTTCCCCTATCGTCCTACAAAAAAAAAATATATCACTGACGGGAAGCCTCTATCAGGAAGTCATCATTCTGAAAAAATTGATTCTTTACCATTCGTGGTGCTGTCTCTGATAACAGACAAACCCAATCAAACTTTAAGGAACGAGGTGTCAAAAAACGGAACAAACCTGAAAGATGGGAGAAGAAAACATCTTTCTTTTCGTGCCCAATATAATCGGTGAGTTTGCCTGTAGCTCGTTAGCCTTGCGTTAGCCGGTACAGGTGATGGTACCAGAGTCCGTCCAGAACAGCACGGACTATAGGGGAAAAATACCATATTTTTTATTCTCTATTCTTGGATTTTTGCATCTCTCCTGGACTCTAATAACGTCGTAGTGTTTCCCTTAGTTATTGCTGTGGTTATATTGACATGTTGCTCTAAGACAGGCCTTTAATGAGATAGTGGTGGGGTAGTAAATACTGTCTAGTACTGTTTGTTCAACTGAGATGCGCAGAGATATTTATTTTTTACTTTTACATCTGCCACAAATGAGCAACACTGGTGATGGTTAACATATTATACAATTGTCCACCTGTTTATTAACATCGCAGCAGAATTTAAGCATTCATTGTACATTCTGAACTGTGTGAGCAAGTCCAGCATCGTGTGGCCCCTGGACTGCCTCTGTAATAGGGCTGGACGATTATGGCAAAAATAATTATCACAATTATTTTGACTGATATTGAAATCACAAATAATACACATGATTATTCATTGATTTAAAAACTTGAATATTTATTGAACTAACAAAACTTAACTTGAAATATAACTTACAGCCAGAAATAAAATAGTTACAAGTAAACAGGTAAAAAATAAAAATAATAACTTTAGTAAATCAAAATTATAATTGCAATAGAAACAATAAAAAATAATAATTACCCAATCTACATGCACTCCTGTAAAACTTACAAAAAAAACCCCCACTAATAATGCAGCCAAAAAAAGACTCTTTGAGGGTTTTTCAAAACTCTTAAAAAAAAAAAAAGAGGCCACAAATTGCTATACTTTGTGGCCACAAAGTGCTTTACCCCATTACAGAGCCCATATGGGTGAGCATATACTGATACATATGAGTCTTAGGCCCGGACTACACGTATATAGATATTTATTTATCAGGATATTTTTGTACTCCCATCTAAATAAATGTATCTGTCCACACGTGTTAGTTCTTAAAAATATCTGCGTCCACACGTAGCCTTCAAACTCAATCCTATCTGGTGCCGCTTAAAAAAAATTCAGGAACAAGGCTACCTGATTGGCCGATGAATGGTAACAGCGTGATGCGTCATGCATTGTTTGCGGAAGCTACGCTAGTGCGTCGGGTCCATGTGACGGACCATGTGACCAATAAAAGTATTGGCCGCAGCAGACGCGTCTGTGAGCTGGCTGACTGGTGGATGTAATTGTATAAAACAAGGTTCACTTGCAAGGCTGAAATTAGCCCCAAAAGGGCAAAAAAAAAAAAAAAACATAAAGAATACCCTGTATGTCCACCATCGTTGTTGTTGTTTTTCTTTTTAATTCGCATGCGCGAGCTGAGGTTTGACGTCATCGATCCATAAAAGTCCAACCACACGAATCCACTACGGATACGGGATACGGATATTTTTTTATTTCTCCACTTGTTTTTCCGGATTCAGATTTATCCGGTTTGAGTGCTCCAAACTCCCGTTTTGGTGTGGTAGGGAGGCCTAATTGGACATTAATATGTGCGGTTTGAAATATATCCGCATTCGTGTAGTTCGGGCCTGAGTTAGAGCCCTATGTGCAACTGACCATGGCGGTGCACCATGGTCAGTTGCCTATAGGGGAAACCCTGAAGTTGGTCGGGTTCCCTCGGGGAGCAGACATGACAGCGTGACAAACTTTTCAAACAATTTTCTTTTGCTCGACGTCCGTCAACTTGAAGCCAAAATGTTTCCAGATAACTGAAGTTGTCCTACCTTTCTTCTCAACCAAAGGCTGCCTTTCTGCCATGTTTTCAATCGCTCCCCATATTATTGATCCACACACATCACACGCTTGCTGCAGCTGCACGTATCATGGGTGCATTCAAAGTGTTTTCCCAGCACAGGAACTTACATACACACTGCGCCATGCGGCGCATTAATTGTTTTTCTTTGATTATAATGTTTTTATGATTGTGAGAAGCCAAAATCGAAATCATGAATAAAATTCGATTAATCATCCAACTCTACTCTGTAACTGGTTCTCTGTGCACTGCTGTCTGTCTGCAGGTTATGCCCGCATTGTACTGGCCTTGCTGTCCTTCTACCTGATGCCCTGCTGTCCATGGCCAGCTGTCTTCTGCTACTTGCTCAGTTCCCTGCTTGATTCTTTTGATGGCCATGCTGCACGAGCACTCAATCAGTGTAAATATCCAGGAATTACCTTTACACATTTCTTTTTCAAATTCCTCTAAATGTCTCTGTGGTAATGTCCAGATGTCACCCATTTCCTGAAATGAAACTAAAAAGCAGAAAAACAATGACAGTAAGCTAAAAACTAGAGTAGCCATGCTCCAAAACGTTTCTCTGGAAACTCCAAACAGCCAGTTTTACAAACCAATAGAGCTTAAAATGCAGATTAAGGCATTTCTGCATCAGCGCCACTGTTAAGATGCAGACTCCTTTATTTACTCATTTATGTGTTTAGTCTGTACCCCACAGGCTACATCAGTGGTGGAATAAATTTGAGTTGTTGTTTGTTTGTTTTTTTGTTTGTTTGTTTTTTTCAACCAACACACATACTAGTTAGTCACCTTTACTTCACAGTTGTTTTTTTTAAGTGATAATGAGTCATTTGATATTAGTTATTTGACAGCTTTGCCTTATATTGGTATAATGTTAATAAGTACTTTTACCCAAGCCATGGGCTGGAGAACAGCTTTCAAAAACATAGACTTTGGAGTCAGCTGTTTGATTCTTGTTGCCCTTTCATTTGCTCTTTAAACCATATATCCATTAGAATGTACAAAACCCAATTCCATTGAAGTTGGGAAATTGTGATAAATGTAAATAAAAACAGAATACAATGATTTGCAAATCCTTTTCAACTTATATTCAATTAAATACACTACAAAGACAAGATATTTAATGTTCAAAGTCATAAACTTAATTTTTTTTTGCAAATAATAATTAACTCAGAATTTCATGGCTACAACACATGCCATAGTAGTTGGGACAGGGGCATGTTTACCACTGTTACATCGCCTTTCCTTTTAACAACACTCAATAAATGTTTGGGAACTGAGGAGACGAATTGTTGAAGCTTTGAAGGTGGAATTCTTTCCCATTCATGCTTGATGTACAGCTTTAGTTGTTCAACAGTCCGGGGTCTCTGTCCTGTATTTTCTGCTTCATAATGCGCCACACGTTTTCAATGGTAGACAGGTCTGGACTGCAGGCAGGCCAGTTGAGTACCCGCACTCTTTTACTACAAAGCCACACTGTTGTAACACGTGCAGAATGTGGCTTGGCATTGTCTTGCTGAAATAAGCAGGGGCGTCCATGAAAAAGACGTTGCTTGGATGGCAGTATATGTTGCTCTAAAACCTGTATGTACCTTTCAGCATTAATGTTGCCTTCACAGATGTGTAAGTTACCCATGCCTTGGGCACTAATGCATCCCCATAACATCATAGATGCTGGCTTTTGAACTTTGCGATAACAGTCCGGATTTGAAATGTGGACTTGTCAGACCACAGAACACATTCCCACTTTGCATCAGTCCATCTCAAATGAGCTTGGGCCCAGAGAAGCCGGCGGCGTTTCTGGATGTTGTTGATAAATGGCTTTCGCTTTCCATAGTAGAGTTTTAACTTGCACTTACATATGTAGCGACAAACTGTATTTACTGACAGTGGTTTTCTGAAGTGTTCCTGAGCCCATGTGGTGATATCCTTTACACATTGATGTCAATTCTTTAAACAGTGCTGCCTGAGGGATCGAAGGTCATGGGCATTCAATGTTGGCTTCTGGCCGTGCCGCTTACGTGCAGTGATTTCTCCAGATTCTCTGAACCTTTTGATGATATTATGGACCGTAGATGTTGAAATCCCTAAATTCCTTGTGATTGTACTTTGAGAAACATTGTTCATAAACTGTTTGACTATTTGCTCACGCAGTTGTTCACAAAGTGGTGAACCTTGCCCTATCCTTGCTTGTGAATAACTGAGAATTTTTAGGGAAGCTGCTTTTTTTCCCTTGCAGCAATGAAATTCTGAGTTTATTATTATTTGCTAAACAAAAAAAGTTAATGAGTTTGAACATTAAATATCTTGTCTTTTTAGTGTATTCAATTGAAAATACATCGAAAAGGATTTGCAAATCACTGTATTCTGTTTTTATTTACATTTATCACAATTTCACAACTTCAATGGAATTGGGTTTTTTAAGTGAGTGTAAAATTACAGAATTACTTAAGCACAAACTGGACTTCTTGTTCTTCACACTTGTCGTTATTCTCATATTGTTTCAATCTGGAGTATTTGCTTATTTTTCCCCTTTAGCCACAAAGTTTGGAGCCATGCTGGACATGCTGACAGACCGCTGTGCCACCATGTGTCTGCTGGTAAACCTATCCCTGCTCTACCCATCCTACACCTTTCTTTTCCAGCTCAGCATGTGTCTGGACATTGCCAGCCACTGGCTGCACCTACACAGGTACCTCATCAAAGAGAGAAGTCTGTGCTCCTTTGAGATGAATGTTGTTGATTATTTATTGTTAATGCTCAATGACAGCCTCACTTTGAGCTATGGGAGAGAAAAAGGGAGCATGAAGCTAAATTTAGATGTAACCTGTATGTGGCATGTTTAGAAGTTGATAAACAGATTTGAATTTTAGAGATAGACCTTTCTCTATTGTATCGAAACTATCTCTTTACACAGTTACATATTCCATATGTACAGGGACTCACCCACTGGAGCAGTTGACGTGGATATGTCTTTAGGACACACGACTCCACGTTCCACGCATGGTATAAAAGGCCCAGATGTGCATGATTACACTGATTCATTGATTTCCAGTGAGAGAGTAGGAGACGTGCGAGAGAAGCTGCAAACTTCAGACACTGGGGAGGCAAATTAACATCTACTTACCATGAGTTGGAGAGTTGGTCTGCGGGCCCCTCTCGGGATTGCTAGTATGCCTTCCCGATCCATTTCTAGGAAAAAGAGTCTGGTAGGGGTACCATACGACACATTGCACTATTTGCTCTGCTAATGCACCCAGGTACTGCCTGCTGCCGAAGCTGACCTGGTCGGCTGTTGCAGTTTTATGTTTCTCCCCACTCAGTGAAACGGGCAAGCAAACTTGTTCGGTGTAGAGCTTGCATAGAACGACAGGGCATCTGCGCGCTCTTCCTTCTGTGTGATTCACAAGCAGCACTATCCTGCATAGTGGCTGTTCTAACCGCTGTGTCTGCCCATTTCCTTCATTTGTTAGCCGCTACCTGCTAAGCACATTACACAGAATGGTGTGGGCATTAGCAGAAGCTGGAGCACCCCCTGGGAAAGCCAGCACACATTAACATTCTAGAAATGAGGGCAATTTGTGCACTTTGCACCAAGGCCACAGGGCCACCATGTACTAGTGAGGACAGACAGCGTCCCGGCAGCAATGTACATATACAAGCAAGGGGGTCTGAGCTCCCCCTGCCTTTGCAGGATGGTTCAGGAGCTGTGGACGTGGGCAGATGGGCAGTTTCTGTCACTCAGAGCTATGCATGTGCCTGGAAAGGCAAACCGGGGAGCAGACTTGTTGTTCAGGGGGGGACCCAGGGGAATGGAGGCTACACCCGAAATGGTAGAATACATCTGGCATCACTTCGACAGGGCAGTGGCTGACCTGTTTGCATCCAGGGGGAACACACACTGTTCTTTTCCATTTGGAGAGATGAGCTTCCTTAGGCACCGATGCCATGGCGCACAAGTGGCCTCAGGGACTCTTGTGTGCCCTATCCCTGTTCAGTCTCCTTCCATCTCTCCTGCAGAGAGTCCCAAAGATGTGAGGCCCTGAACTGGCCACACATGGTGTGGTTCTCATGGGTGATGCCCCACCTGGATGGGAGGCCATGAGAACTGCCAGTTCATCTGGGACCTTCTGAGCTAGGTACAGGGAGCTGTGTTCCACCCGTTTCTCTAGGGGCTCTAGGGGACTGTAGCCTTACCTCTCAGTTCCTGAGAGATCCTCCTTGTGCCACACAGGATATTGGTTGTCCCAACATGGGATCTGGACCGCCTTAAAGCATGAGCCCTTTGAGCCCCTGGAAACAGCAGACATTAAGTGGCTGTTACTTAAGGCTGCATTTCTTGTTTCAGTAACCTCGGCTAAAAGGGTAGGTGAACTGCAGGCTCTGTCAGTCCACCAGGACTGCTGTCGCTTTCTCCCAGATGACTCAGCCGTTGTCTTGCGCCCCAATCCTGCGTTTCTGCCAAAGGTGCTCTTAGACTTTCACTTGAATCAGCCAAAGGAGCTCCGGTCCCTCCGCCTTGCCTGAGAAGGAGGTGAGGTCGGTCAGGAATGTCGATCGCTGTGCCCAGTCAGAGCCCTGAGGATTTACATCCAGCGCACGCAGGCACTTAGACAAACGGACCAGCTGTTTGTCAGCTTCAAGCCTCAGTGTCTGGGCCAGCCAGTATCTAAATCTAGGCTGGTACACTGGGTTGTGGAAACAATTCTGCATGCATACAAAGGCGCTGGTGTTCCAACACCAGCGGGAATAAGGGCCCATTCCACGCGGGGGTTGGCAACCATATGGGCTCTGTGGCGGGGTGCCAGCCTCACCTAGGTTTGTGTGGCCACCTCATGGATAAGCCCTTTTATCTTTGCAAGGTTCTATTGTTTGAATGTGGCTATCGGCACCTCCTTTGGGTAATGTGTGCTCAGTACCTCTTCATGAGGGCCTCAGTTGGCAGGAGCCAGTTTGAGCCCACCAAGGGGATGTTCTTCATCCTTGTCAGATGGCATAGCAGAGGGCTTGCCATCTGAGTAACTTCCCCCCTTCACACCCTGCTTTGTGGGGCAGTGGCACACAGCGTCTGGCCATGCCACTAGTTGTGAGTGGGTGTGGTGTCTATTGATGTATCTGTTAGTTTGGACTTATTCTATATTTGTAGTATTCACAGGGGTCTCACTGTCATACACTGTTTTTAAATAAAGCACTCAGGTGGTGGGGACGTCTCATTTAAATACCAGGGATCATGGGGAATGTGTGGAGAGATAGTCTCTTCACTCAAAGAACCAAGGTTACCGTGAAACCAAGCATTCAGCAACACATGACTTAAAGAGAGTACTGTTGTTCAGCCTCATGGGTGGTAACATGCTTCCAGAGCCCTCTTTTAGGGTGCTTACTTTTCTGAGGTCAAGATACTTGTCTCACAACACTTCCACTCAGGATTTCATAAAGAAAATATAGATCATACCTGTAAAGTTTTTTTTTTTTTTTAATTTTAATTCAGGTGTGGTTGATTTCTCCATTTCACAGACTCCATCTTTGTTGTTGTTAACAAGGTGTATATTAGATCCTTGATTTTAAAAGATCATAGACAGAGATGTGAGATCTGAGAGCATGGTGGTGATCTAGAAGTTGAGCTATTTTCAACAGAGAGTGCTGTAAGCATAGTGACACTAAACACACAGGGCATCTCTGCACTGACCAAAAACACTTTAAACTCCTGTGAGGAGTATTTTGACTTTTTGAGGCATTAAAAATTACAATTTTTAAATGGTCATTTAATGTCTCAAACAAAGTTGAATAGCTTGAGAAATGGCCCTGTTTTAACAGCTTTGTCTATACATTAACTATACATTACACACTTGACCAGCAAAAGTTAGTAGGACAAGACAAGCTAATACTGCTCTGTCAGGGCTGTCAGAGCTTTAACCGCAATGGTTCTGAATAGAAAGGAGGTGCTGCTGGAGCAAAAAACATTGTTCGTGGAAATGGGCCCTTAATCTTTCGTAAAAGAAATAGACCTCCAGGGCCAGCATTAGTATTTCTGACAAAGTGATGCCGATTTTGGAGTATTCTGTACAAAAATGCATGAAATCCCCTCTTTCAGTAATTATGGTCCTCTGCCCGGTAACTTTAAAAGTCTGTTTGCGCTTTCATTTCACTCCTCTGGTTCTGTAACACTGCTAAAGCCCATACAGTGATGTAGGTTATTGGTTTGCTTTATAACTATTTCCTTCATTTTGTTTGACGGTTCCTTTATTCTGCTCCTTGTGCTCTGTAATGTCCCTTGTTGCTGCTGCACCTTGATAAATACTAAGTTTTGTGCTCTCCAAATAAATCAAGATTCATGTTAGAGATATCGTCCATGCTATTTGGTGAAACTTGCAGAAACTGAAATATTTGCCACAGTGTCAACAGGCAGAGGTAAAATCCTTGACTGTATCAATGGGCTGGCCTTCTTTCCACAGATGATCTTGATTTGGTTTATGAAACAGATTCTTGACTATGTGAGGTTTGGACCGATCAGATAACAGCAAAATAAGAAAATGGTCTGTTTCTGTGTTTTCAGACACTTTGAATGACTTCCAACTCTGTTGGTGGTAAAAACACTTATTTTGATCAGACAAATTTACCACTGTGGATTTTGCTTCATTAGACTAGTTTGAACAAGACTCCTCTGAAAAAATGTCTTATGAGTTCTTTTGCTTATCATCTCCTTTTCCTCCCTTTATTCATTAGCTCTATTATCAAAGGATCGAGTAGTCACAAGACCATTGACCTCTCAGGCAACCCCATCCTTCGCATCTACTACACATCCAAGGTGAGGACACACACACTCACGAACAAGAAAAGATACGATGGCTTCTTAGGCTCTAATGCAGCAGTGTTTGTCTCCTGCAGCCTGTGTTATTTGTGATGTGTGCTGGGAACGAGCTCTTCTTCTGTCTCCTCTATCTTCTCTATCACATCCCAGAACCCGCTGGTAAGACCTTTTTTCTCATCTTCTCACCTCTTAACCTAATCAGATCTTTACTATCCCTCTCACACCACAGATTGTCGAAGGGTATGCTTCAGTGTTTTGACCTGCTGTGTTTTTTTTTCTGCTGCAGCCTGGCTCTACTTGCTGCTGGGAGTCAGTGGGATCATCTGTGTGATCAAGGCAGGCATCAGCGTCGTACACCTTATCTCAGCTTCACAGAACATGGCTGCTCTGGACGTTGCTGAGCGGGAGAAAAGCAAGAAGACTCAGTGAGAGAGTGAGTGAGAGCTTCAGTGACAGACCTAAGCACTTGTATTCATTATTTTAAAGGATACAAGTGGACTTAAACAAGATGACTCAAGTGGGGCTTGATCAAAGCCAATCATCAGAAAGAAAGGCAAAAGTTTTTTGACCAAATTTCAGGACAGTCAAATTCCAATCAAAAGCATGAGTCTGAGAGGTGCATCATTTACGAGTTTAACTGTTTTTACTGTATTATTTTTTGTGCTTTGACTTTCACAAGCAGGCAGTGTGGACCACTTAAACAACAACTTGAACAACTTTATAATGGTTTTCCTGAAAATGAAGATACAGGATTTTAATTCACAACTAAAAGTCTACAGTACAAGACAGTGGGTCACTTATCTGCTTTACAATGCAAAATCTCTTGACCAGGATCACTAAGATTGTGACATTCTTATCAAATAAAACAGTACGAGCATGCATCTAAAGCCTCGGTTGGGATTTTTTAAAAATAAAAATGTGTAAATACGGCTGACATAAGAGCAATAAGATCAAAGATTTTTCTGTCCTAACTGCTATTGCCTTTAGTTATGTAATATGCAAAAGAATGCTTTGTCCACAGGGGCGCCAAAACTGAAAGAACCTAAGAGTTCCTCACAGGAGCTCTAAATATTCAGAGCATGTTTATATTTTTGTTCAAAATCACCTTGTTCAGAGCTAAGAACCATCTAACGTTTGGCCCATCTTAATTTAAATCTAATGTGTGCCTCAGTGTTTGGGAAAAAGAAATTGTGTCAAGGAGAAACTGTAGGTTTTCAAAGGTCTGCATGGGGCAGATGCACTTTTTGAGATCATTGTAATCATTCAGTTACTTTCTGTTCTGAGCATCATGGGGAGCCCAGACCCAAAATTGTGGAGGTCTGACTGCTTGACTTTGTTGGAGACATAGTTATTGTATTACATTTAGGAAAAAAATGAACCGCATGACCACAACAATCTTGGTGGATCACCAAACAGACAGAAAAGATAAATACACACAAGAGACATTCATGGTGTATATACATAAAATTGGGTCCAGTGTCTAAAAGCTCACAAAGATTTTGAAATTTAAGTGCCGGAGAACATCACAGAGAAGATTGCCACAGAGTAAGACCTCATTTTGGTGTTACGGGAATGTTGTGTTGGATCAAACAAAATACCAGAGCGGTAACTGTTGTGGTAGACCACAATCCTCCTCTTCTGCAACAAGGTCAAACTAATGCTTTTCTCAATATTACAGCTATTTGAAGTTTACAAAAAAGATTCACACTCCATGATACAAAAGACGGTCTAGCATGGGTTTTTTTTCCGGTGATGTTTTAAAACACTGAAATAAATCTAGACTGTTGAGTGGCTATAAAAGAACTTTGAAAGTACTTTGAATGCCACTGCAGTTTCCCCAAAGGGTAACATCACTGGCTGCAATGTTAAAGTGTAATGTTTTTTTTTTTTTAAACTGGGTTTAGTAGGGGTAGTTTTCCACTGTTAAGTATTGCTTAAAAAATCATATTTCACCAGAATAGTGATGAGGCTCTTTTTGGCATTCGCATCTTTTTCAGTGATGTTAATTATCTGGCTATTTATCAGTCAAATATCTTGTAAATTCACACTGCTTGCTTGTAAAGCACAGTGAAGGTCACAGTTTTGTCCAGCAGCAGTTTTATGACAGAGGTTGAAATGGGTGAAGAGCCAGTCTATCAAATGTTTATCAAATGTTACAGGATGAGGGTCAGTGGAAGTATTTAACACTATATTGAAAATAAGAAATGTTATATCTTACAGATATTAAAAAAGCCACGGTCCACTACTGTAAACAAACTTCCAGAACATGGTACATTGACAATTATCAATTGACAATATAAGGAGGATGTAGAAAATATGTTTAAACCTGAGTCTTTCTCTCTCAAGTTTCATGAGCTGTGAAAAAATCTTAATTTTTTTCTGGGTAGATCATTTTAAATCAGTCATTTAAAACATTTGGGTTACTAAAGTTCCATCTGCTGGTCAACTGGTTTCTATTATGGTCTGGCTTAAACCCACCCAGTGTGGCATTATCAGGACTGCCAGTCCTGGTAAGGTTACCACTGAGCCATTGTGCTGACTGCTTTTTTAAAATCTGGCTATGAAATGGTCATCTTTATTGCAATATATTTGGCTATATAACAACAATGAAGTCAGGTTCATATGAAGAAGGCCACAGTTCAGTTAGCATTTGCCACTCTAACTACATTATTCTCTCAAAATATAGAACAGTTATCTTTGCTTCTAGAATCATATGAAGGACATTTCTTTTACCATTTTCTTAAGTGTTATGGACCAACTGATTTATAGATGATTTGTGTTTAAATTTTCATGCACTCTCCATTTCTTTATCATTGAAAACTTTTCAATAAAGCCAAACTGCTGCTGACTTTTGACATTTTTCATATGTTTGTCACCTCTATGGGTTTGATGAAAACTACTAAACCACAAGAAATCTCTTCTATGATTCCGTAACATTAAATATATAGATAGATGAAGTAGGGGGGATTCTATCATGACTGTAGTTAAACTGGGTCACTGAACTCAATGACACAGAGACCAAATAACTGAAAATTTGAGTATACAGATGTCTTTTTGTTCCTGTTAAAGAAGAAAACACATACTTTCGTTTGTTAAACAACAAAAAAAACTCTGTTGCAATGAGTAGAAGTTGCTGAACTATTCCCTTTGTGGCCTCCAAACCACAATTTTTGTGTCATTAATGCCATTATTTCACGATTCCTGCTTGTATTTTGTTGTAGGTTTAATGGCAGTTGGTAAATGCTTATTTCATATTCAAGTAGTTGTTTCTTTGTGGAAAGAGGGATGTGTGTTTATTTAGCCCAGAAACTGAGTTTTGCAGGTCAAAAGTTATACCTGTAACACAGCACCAAGTATTTTGATTGAGGGTTTTGTGTTATACATATTCAAGTCACTGACCTGATGTTTGTGCTGCAAACTGAAGAGCTAAGTTTCATAGCAGAATGTGTGTTAGAAATAAGTATGGGAATATAAATAATTGCTTTTTATTTTCCAACATATATATATTTGCAGAGAATGTAGTCAAGTAACGTGTGTATAAACAGATATCAGCAAAACCAAGTGTGATACTGTATCAATCTATGTAGTTATTAGAATAATGGGTGGTTATTTTGTTTGTGAAGCAGCTGGTTTGAATTTACTGGAAAAAAATAGCCACAAAATAAAGATGATAAAAACAGATTGTCGTTTTGTCTTTTCAGCCTTAATCGATTACAATTCCTGGAAATGTCCAAGTCTTTTTTTTTTTTTTCAAATTCAAGGCTTTTGGATCCAAAACAAAGCTATTTATATGTCTCACTTGTACGTATTGCAGCTCCTCTTTTAGAAATCACATGTACCAATATAGGGATACATTTCTCTCTGTTTAAATATCCATCTATCACCGTATAGGTATTCAGTCAATGCTCTACTTGAAATACAACAGATGAACTTCACTTTCGTGAGTAATAAGAATAATGGAGCTTTGGTTAATATGACATTTTTCTCAGAAATCTGTGGACACCAATAGTCTGTAATAATAGCCAAGATACACAAAACAGTGATTGCCTTGGCATTGAGAAGTGAAAATAATAGGATGGCAGAATAACAAGACATTCAGAATAACTTCGGTTATTTATTTTGTCAAGACAAGACATTATCAAGACAACATATTTTTCATGCTATTCCACTGCAGGGATACTATCTCTCTTTACTTTTTAGTATCTCATATTCTGTATTTAGCTTTAAATTCATGCCGAATCTTCAGAATGAGATTTGGTGGTCTGTCTGTAAGTCTGACCCGCTGCTGAATGGACGTCATGGTTTGGGGTTAAATCAAGCTGTTGCACTTGCGCGCATCGTTACCTTTAAGATGCTCATGGATAAAGCCTTGAATAAGCTAAACTCGACACCATTTTTACTAAGTGTTTGCTACGTCCGTGGAGCGAGATCCTAGTCAACCGCTGCGGATTTGTTCTTGGCGGATTTTGTTCACTGAAGTGAGGTGAGGAAATTAGAGCCGTGCTGCTTCTACAATCGTCGGAATTCATTTTTTGTCGGCCTACCGAGAAGCGGCGGCGGGGGCGAGAGGGACGGCACGAGACGAGACGGGGTCCGCGAGGAGGGTGCATACTCAAAATACTTTCCCTTTAAAGCAGAGAGGGACAGAGGGGGTGAAGAAGAGATAAAAAAAGAAAAGGAAGAAAGACAGAGAGGGAGGGAGGGAGGGAGGGAGAGAGAGAGAGAGAGAGAGGGAGAGAATTTGAAAAAAAGAGAAAGATGTCATCCTGTCGATTGAAACACCGAGGCGGAGCCATGGACCGCGGCCGACCAGGAGCTCTTTAGTTGAGGGACGTTCCGCACGCAACGCCGAGGCTTGGGACCTGACGCTGTGGCCTTTTTGGAGCTATCGCAAATAAATGACTCTTGAACAGCTGCTGACCATGATTAGCACGTTTCGACTACTCGTCCTCTGTAAAGAAATTATCTATATTTTGCATGCAGTTCACGAAATTTTGTTACAGTAGACATAAGCAAATGATATTAAAATGCACCATTAAAGCAAGCATGATACCAACCATTTTGTCGCATTTACAAAATCATCAGTCAGTGCCTGTATATCGCCAACAGATTACCACGATTATTCACAACTTATAGCATCCTCATCATAATTTAGTGACCGTTTGTTTAAGCTAATTGTCGTCCGATGAGATCATATATTTCCATGAATTCACCCGAGAAGATATAGAGGCGCTGCAGACAGGCCTCAGGTTGTGTTTTTATAGCAGCAGTTGGAACATTTCTTTCTGGGCTCCGTTGCCCTTCTCCCTCCCCTCTTTGCTCCCGGGTTGGTTTGCTTTTAGTCCCTGCAGTGTTCAGGATGGATACCTCGTGGAGTAATTTCCTCTTTCAGGTAAGTCTTAATTGTTGCTTGGGCTGTGGTATCAGGTTTTTAAGGAGGAGGAAAGACTGAGGCGTGTGTGTGTGTGTGTGTGTGTGTGTGTGTGTGTGTGTGTGTGGCGCGGGGGGGGGGGGGGGGGGGGTATGGGTTGGCATATCTTCATGGGGCTAGATAGGGATGGAGGGGGTTCAAAAATTGGAGAAGGTCAGGGAGGGGTCAGGGTAGACTTTCTCCGATCAAAACTTCTTCAGTTGAAAGCCTTCTGTATCATCTAAAGTCATACCCCCATGTCTAACCTTATAACCATTGGCACCCATTGGTTTGTGTTTTGAGTACTGAATTGGAGCCTGAGAGGTCCTGTGAGGAGTTAAGAACTGTATGAAACCATAGACTGTATATAGAATGGACGCCGTCTGCCTCCTTGCTGGGTGAAGCCACTCTGAGAACAGCACCCTCTGTTGATGGGCTGCAGTATAGGTCATAAACCCCGCCTACGCCAGCAAAGCTTATGGGGCTGTGAACAAATTTTAAAAATTTATTACACAGAACATGAATTTTTCTCCCCCCTGGTTATGATGTTGACATGTCGTATTGTAAGACTGGTTTGTGCTCAAGTCCTCTTTTTTCTGTGCAGCTCCGTTTTTAAAAGTTATTAGGGGGGTCATGTTTTCTATGATTGACACTTGATACAGCCTATGGGCGTTCAGGGATTGCGTAGCTCTCCCGGGGGATATGCTGTTTTAGCCGAGCGTCCTCCCAGCGACTCTCGGCGACTGCGTGGCCAAATGCGCGCATCGCTATACAGTCTATATATGAAACAGACTGATATTGACAGTGATGGCTCTACATGGCATCAAAATACAAACAAAACCATCAATAACAACACTGAGACTGCAAACAGTGTCGATTTTAATGTCTGTAACCACTGTTAGGGGGTAGGTATCACACTAGACAATTGACAGCCCACTAGAACAACAAACAAAAAAAAAAACTTTTTCCAAGGATAATACTTAAGGAGTGCAATGAACTGCAAGGTTAGGGGAAAGTAGGATAAAATTACCATCAAATGACACTTTCTTCATGCGCATGATAAGATTAGCATGAAGGTGTGGTATCACTTTGTCCACAGCGAGGCAACAGAAACAGGGACTTCCTCACAAAAGTTTTAAGTCTGGACTTTTGTGACTGTCTTGCTCGTTTTAAAAAAGAAATAACCATAGTTTGACAAAAAGTCACAAGTGCAACAACTTTTCTTATATAAACATTGATGACCTAAGTTTTACCCTTTTGTATCATCTGTTTTCCTGCAGATAGACTCTAATTAACAATATATTCTTTATGCTAAATTAAAGAAGACTTAAATCAAGAGTTAAAGAATATAAACACTCAGGAAAGCTTTCCAGGTTTGGGAATCCAGAGAGAAATACCTCCCATACAATCAAAGCAGCAATTTGAATGGCATTAATTCATCTTACTGATCAACAGCATGGGACCTATTAGCATACTGAAAGTTCCTTTGATATAGAGTGTAATTTCAACAGGGATATTGTCACTGGTTGATAACGGTTCTGTTCTGTTCTATTGTATTTAGAATTAAGATCAAAACATTGGAATGACCAAGGCCTGTCTTAAAGAAAGAGCCTCTTTAAAAGACTTGATCAGATACTCTTAAGATTTATCAGTATGTTGTGCTCATGTGAGGCATAGTTCACTGAAAAAAAAACCTGTTTGTTTTTATAGCTGTGGTTCATTAAAAATTAAGTAAAAAATTGCAGTGTAACTATTTTTGGACAACTGAAGTATATGAGGCTTTTAGACTAGGATGGTTACCGTCTTACCTGCAGACTGGCTTGAAGGAGGTCCAACTTAATTATAAAAATGACAAAATTCATAAACTTTATGCAGATATCACTTTTCAAAACAAAACTTTACAAAATAAAAGGTCAAATTGAGCAAGACTGTAGTACAATATTTAAACACTTAAACAAAATAATGATTAAGAAACAAAAGAGATATGAAAATGGATAGATGGATAAAAGGTATAAGAGATAGATTAATGGCAGAAGAAACAAAGACACTTTGTAAAACAAAAACATCACAAAAACCACAGACCAGCATAAAACAAGTTAAAAAAAAAGACTATACATACAGTAAATGTACATAAAACACCAAAATATATACATACACATACAGATATACATATATTTAAACAATAGAAGATAAAAATACAGGATGTTGTCAGTAGCAGTGCCTGGACTTGGAGTATAAGCTGTGTCTAATAGTGACTCAACAGAAATGGATTTGCTCACTGTACTGAGAGAAAAGTAGAAAATAAGTACATTGGAGAGGGTGAAGGCTTTGTACATTTAACTTTTTTGTTTGAGGAAGAATCAGATCACTTCAGTGCTGTCTATCAACACCAAATGGATTAAGGAGCGTGTTCAGCTTGCCAGACTGAGTGCTGTAGAATTAATAAGAAAAATGTTCTTGTTTATAGACGCCGTCGACTCAGAGCCAGCCAGAGACGCCTCTTCAGTCCGAGCTGCTGCCTGAGCTGACTAGCGCTGCTCAGAGTCCTCCTGCAGAGCACATAGTGACACCGCCATCCACAGTAGACACCGCTGCCCTGAGTGAGGAGCCTCTACCTGGTGGGTGGGGGGAATCCTCATCTGTTGTAGAGCAAGGTGACATGTTAATTAGAGCTGCATTCTCATGGCATTTTGCCCTGATTGGATCCATACAGACAAAAAATGTGAAGAAAGCGTAATTTTTGAACTCACACAAAGCACAGTTGATATACAAACTAACCTTATAATAGAATTAATAGATAAGATGGTATCATGAAGCCCAGAAATAGTAATACATTTGGTAACACTTAATTTGAAATGTTACACATAAGACTGACATTATACATTTTAATGTCTTTGAAGAGCCACCCTTGTCGTGTCTCCCTGCCACAGGTACAGCTCATTCAATGGAAAACACAATACTGAAAGGGTTGTTTTTTCAAGGTTAAGCTGGAGTAATTGAATTTCCCGTCCGGGGATTAATAGAGTTCTTCTTATTCGTATTCTTATGATAAATGAAGTACTTTAATATAGCCCGACATCAGTTTGCAGATAACGATTGTACAAATGAGGCCTATAACAGACACTTCAGCCTTAATGCAGATGTTTTTGTCAACATGGTGTGAGGTTGTAAGTGTTTAAAACTGAAATCCTCCTTGTCTAATTTTATTACAGCAACAAAATTGCATTTAATAAGTGTGCAATGCTGTAATTATTGAATACAGCTTGACTGAAATTGAAAGAAAAAGAATGTTCCGTATTTTTTCTTAGTCAAACCGCTCACTAAGCCAAGCCGGCCAGCCCACATCTGCGCCACCTGCAACAAGGAGTTCAAAAACAGCTACAACCTGCGGCGGCACCAATCAGTGCATACGGGCATCAAGATGAAAGACCGAGCTGCTCGAGAGAAGGAGGAAGGAGGGAAGGTGACACGGGTGGAAAAGCAGACCATCCCTCTATCCCTCCTCCAACTCACCCTGCCCCCTCAGCCTACCTCTCTCCCTCCACCTCCCCCCACCACTATTGCCCCGGACGCCCTCCCCCAACCCGGTCAGCATGCCAACCAAGAGAGCCAGCCAGTCTCTGTGTCCATTGCCCCGGCAACTGTAACCATGGCTGCACCGCCTCAACCCATTCAGGCAGCTGTTGTTGTCGTTGGCTCCATGGAGCAGGTAGGTGCATGAAGAATGATGTTTATGCTGTCAGTTTAGATTTACTTTAAAGGGTAAAGCTGGAGTTTTTATCCCTCTGTACCCATTGGAAACTTCTTCAATTATTTGAAAGGGCCTTGACCTAAGGATGCTGATTTGATTTTGGTGGTCAAAGGTCACTGTTAACTCTGAAAAGATTCCTTCTAGCCTTAACTAATCCATCCTTCAACTTTTTATTTTCTTATGAATGATCATCATAAATGGAAATACACACATTTATTTAGACTTGAAGGAACCAACACAAACATAGGATGAACAATAATGAGTGACAAGGATTATCAGCAGGTTTGAGAAATTGGCAACAAATACTTGGCCAAGTACTAGAAGTTTAGACCGCTGTTATTCTCTTCAGAACCATAAGAACCAATCCATTTATTTGCTCAGTCATGGAAATCTTCTTTTCATCTCTTAGCCGACAGCTGTGTAGAGACACATCATCTCTGTCTTGCTGCTCCTCAGAACCCAAATCCCAACCCCAGTCCCACCTCCAACCAGGTGAGGAAGAACCATGCCTGTGAGGCCTGTGGTAAGGCCTTCAGGGATGTCTACCACCTCAACCGTCATCGTCTGTCCCACTCAGATGAGAAGCCATACTCCTGCCCTATCTGTCAGCAGCGCTTCAAGAGGAAAGACAGGATGAGCTATCACGTTCGCTCGCACCAAGGTGGCGTGGAGAAACCTTACATCTGTCCTCACTGCGCCAAGGCCTTTTCCAGGTATGCAGTCAGATACATGACAGGCTTGAACATTTGTTCATGAGTCTTTACCATGCTGCTTTAAAAAGAATTCTTGTATCTTCAAACCCTGGGCCTTGTATTTGATACATCTGGATCAAAATGAGCGATAGATCACACAAAGTATCAAAGGAAGCCAGGGGTAGACCAACAATTTCTACATGAGAGGCAAAATGACTGTTTTTATTAATAAAGTCTGGTAGCTTTAAAGAGAGAAAGAGATTTAATATCTGTTCTTCTTTGGTTTGTTTAAAAAATAATTTCCAATATTTATGTGCTTTAATGCCAGGGTCCACCCTGTAAAGTTGTCATGCACGTAGAATAACAGTCTGAGGAGTCAGTAGCGAACAGCAAGCCCTTCTTTGACCAGATACATTTGTTACTGACAGCCACAATAACCCATGTTCCTATATCAGAGTTTGAGCTCAGATTATGCAAAAATATGGATAAGGCTTTAACTACAGTTATCACCCTAAAAGTCAATACTAATGGGTAAGTGCAGAGATGAGAGGTTTTCTTTGTACGGTGTTTGTATTTTTTTTTTCTTTTTCAGACCAGACCACCTAAACAGCCACGTACGACAGGTGCACTCCACAGAGAGACCATTCAAGTGCACGGTAATATCTTACTCTGTTTACTGAAGCTCATGCTACATAGCTTTTTCAATTGTATTGACCATGAAACACTTGATTAAATGAATGATGCTGATCATGTTGATAGAGAAAGAGCATAGGTAAAGTATCCTAAAGCTAAGTAAGTCTGCATTACAACACCAAGCCTCAGCTTATGCTGCATTAAATCCCTTTTTTCTTAACAATAAGAAGAACAGATAGGCAAAAAGTCAACAAACATTCAATTTAACTTAGAATAATCAAAAAACATAAAGTAAGCCAAAGTAATCCAAATGTAACACCAGCTGCCCTATCTTGATATAAAGCTGTAAAGAAATTTACAAAGAAAAACAACCTGAATTTATGCTTTTCCCCCCAAGTTTTGGCAAAAACATGTGAAATGGACGTATGTATGTAAATGTAAAAACAAGATGAAACTATCGGAAGCAAACTAAATTGTACACACCCAAACAAACATGTATGTAATAACTTACTCAGCAGTCACAACCATAGACTGTATATAAGATGGACACCGTGGTTCCGCCTTCCGCCTGTATACGGATTTGAAGCCAAAAAGCTCTCGGTAATTCCGGGTTTTTCTCCACTTCCTTGAAACCAGAGCTGTGCAGTAGCGTTGTGCGCATTCGGCCGCGCAGTCGCCGAGAGTCCCTGTGATGACGCTCAGCTCAAACAGCGTATTCCCCCGGAAGAGCTACGCAATCCCTGAACGCCCATAGGCTGTACCAGGTGTCAATCATAGAAAACATGAACCCCCTAATAACTTTTAAAAACGGAGCTGTACAGAAAAAAAAGGACTTGGGCACAAACCAGTCTTACTGTAACTATATGTCAACATCACAACCAGGGGGGAGAAAAAATTATGTTCTGTGTAATAAATTTCTAAAGTTTGTCCACAGTCCCATAAGCTTTGCTGGCGGAGGCGGGATTTATGACCTGTACTGCAGCCCACCATCAGAGGGTGCTGTTCTCGGAGTGGCTTCACCCAGCGTGGAGGCAGACTCTAGCTGCGTCCGAATTGCCAAGTAGTAGTCGAAGTAGTAGTCGAAGTAGTATCTAGCATGTCCGAATTGGCCACCGGAGCGAGTAGCATGCTACTTCAGATACTACTTCAGATACTAGACACGCCCACATTGTAGGTTGGTCTCGGTGCATCCTACGGGCATGCTACTGACCCAAAATGCACCGCGGGCTTCTTCTTCGTCCTCTTAAAAGTTGTAGAAGCGCATGTGATGCTAGCGCCACCAGCTGCTCTGCCTATTTAAATGTGTCGCGAACGCCGGCTGGCCACAGCGGCGCGCACCATGTCGGAGCAGCAGCAGGCGGGACCGCAGTAGTACAGATGTAAGTTTCATGTAACTTCACACACTGTCCTAAAAAATGTGCGGTTGTATCTCTTTGTCATGTCATGGTGTCATATTTGCCCAAGTAATCATTTTATGAGCAAATACGTGGCGACATCATGGAGGTAAAGCTCACTTATTCCATCATTAAACTGCACAGCTGCAGTACTACAGCCAGGCCCGCAGATGAGGGGCTTCAGTTACCACTGTCTGCACGGGCGCAGTACCTACTCTATGCCTGCGGGGGTCGTCTTTCCCCACCGCTCGTCTAGTGTGTCCGAATTGGGCCAACGTGTTTAGGATGTAGGAGTAGGATCTAGCAGTAGTATATAGCAGTAGCATGTAGTATCCGAGTGGGCAGTTCGGACGCAGCATCTGTCCATCTTATATACAGTCTATGGTCACAACACACTTCTGTTCTCTCTAGTTTTGCTGTTTTCTATAGATGTTTGCACTCTCCTGTATTCATTTGATGCTCTTTACTTATTGACAAAACATTTGCTCAATTTTGTAATAACCTGGTGCATAACAATAAGTATTCTGAGACCAACGACTAGAGATTGAAGATTTTTAAGATTTTATTCTTTTTATCTGAGATCACAGGACAAATCATTAATGCTTTGAAGCAATGCTGTAGTTCAGACACTTTTGCAATTAAATTAACAATAAAAAAGTAAGCTTTGTTTTATTCCATACATTTCCATTCTGGTGGTAGTTTTTTGTTTCTCTCCACTCTTCCATCTCAAGCATCTTCATCTTCCTCTCTTTTGCATAGACCTGCACATCTGCATTTGCCACCCGAGATCGTCTCCGCGCCCACTTAATTCGTCACGAGGAGAAGGTGCCATGTCATATCTGTGGGAAGCTGCTGTCTGCCGCATACATCACCGACCACATGAGGGTCCACAACCAGTCGCAGCACCACCAATGCCACCTCTGCAACCGCAGTAAGACACAGGATAGACAGGTTTATAGATGGATGCGAATAACAAATTTCAACCTTGGAAACTGAGGATAAATAATTATGGGGAAATAAGTATATGATTACACAGCTTCTGTGCTTTGTAAATTTTAAATATATATGCATTGTAAAGAACATCATTTCTTTACCAGAATAAGCTAAACAAGGCTACAGAAAACATTTAAAAATATTTGTGATTTTTTCCCAGGTTTTACCACCCTCACGTACCTGCGTGTTCACGCCCAGAAGCACCATGGCCAAGAGTGGAAGGAGAGCGGAGGGGCAAGGGGGGGCTTTGGTGGGACAGGGGCAGGTGGTGTGCTGCTCTGCCAGCTTTGTGGGGTGCAGTGCAAGACAGCCACTCAGCTCCAAGGTCACATGGGAACCCATGCCAACCAGGGTGACCCTAACCCTGACCCAACAAGCTCAGGTCCCGTGGGCACCACCAGTGTGGCTGTCACTGTGTCCAGTGCAAGCACAGTGGGACTGCTGGTAACTGACTGCTCCAGTATCACCCCCCAGCCCCACAGCTAGCAGGCTTGGAGGGTAAGGGGGCTTGGGGTGGGCAGGGGAAATGGCTAAATAAGAACATGTGGAGGAGAGGATCAAGAGACAGCATTCTATCCAGGTGTGTGTGTGACTCATTATCCTGTATGAATATTTCTTGACACCTTGTGCCGTTGAAGGAGTGCACAACAGTATTTCCGGGTATTTCTGTGCGTTGGTGCTTGTGATTTTTGCTACATTACCCTGTCGCAACTGTATTGGTATGACATGTATCATATAAGTATTCATTACCATTTCTTCAGCATTATCAGTTCAGTGTGAGATACGACAGATAAATTTGCATCTGCATAGAAAATTGACTTTTAAAATGTAACCTTCCTGGCCCCTGGACAACATTGACAGTGTTATGTTCTTGCATTATTTAGAGGATCCATTAGTCCACAGTCTAGGTTTAAGTACAACACAAGCTAAGATCTAGACAAGAGGGACTTAATAGTAAAGTAGCAGTGGCATTAAAAGTAGCCGGGGTGTTTCAATATATTACAAAGAATGTCTCATATTAGTTGAAATCAGTTAAAACAGTTTAAAAAAATAATTTTGTATGAAATTGACTGCATGTTATTGTCTTTTCTTAACAGACTGCCAGAGGTGGAGATAGGGTGGCAGAACCTGCCAGTGAAATTATCCTTCCTCCACAACGTTTTTCACAGTTTCATGAGGCCTTTTTGGACCTTTTGTCTGTTTCAGTTGCGCCCAGGTCCATCTGCAATGTAAAACAGCAAACCTGCTGTGGACACTGAAAGACACTCTTATCTGCACATCTTACATACTGTACAATGTCCTACAAGTCACATACCAGAGAAGACACTTTGGATAAGACTAACGTCTGCTCATGCATTTGGAAGGAAAATTAATGTGTATTTTAATAATATGGCTTAGCAAATAGCAAATTCTATTTGCCATGATGTCATTATTTTGATTTTAACTAACACAGCACAGCCTGTCATGAATTTCTAAAGCTGTTGCTGTTTTTTGATCATTTAATATTCCATGATATCGGTGTCTGTTTTAAGGCCTGTTGGGAACTATACATTGACATGGTTTTTCTCATTTTCTTCCTTAATTTTGAACAAAACAGTCTAGAGTTTGCCTTTTTCAGATTCTTGAGAAAAGGGAAGGATTGAACAGATCATGGGAACAGCTGTTTCAGATGGGCCATCCTGTATATAATTATGTGTAGCTGATAAAGGCAAACTAATTCTTGTTTGTGTATATTCCCCATAAACATTGAATGTGCATAACTTTCTCTGCTTCATATGAACTTTGCTCTTACTCTGGATGCTGATTTGTAATTCTTTCAAAGGTAAATTGCCATGTACTTTGTAGCTACTTTGGTGACACATTTTCTGTGGCTGTGCATATTGATTGTACTCAATGCATAGTGCATAGCGCCTCGTTACTACCGTATTAAAAAGCAGTAAAATGCGTGTCTGGATTTAAGTCGGATGTTTTTGATAAGCCTTTACTGATTGAGTACAAGTCTTTTCCCGCATGAAGACCCAATGCTTTGTCAAAGTTATCATTGTTTACGGCAGAGAAGAGGTCCAACCCTCCCCCACCGGCTTTATCAGCTCCTCCTACTTTACAAGCTCGCTAGCTAGTTTTAGCTTTCGCCTTAAAAACGACCACAAACACAGCTGCTCGAAACCAACACGGTTGGATGAGACACGTCAACCCACTGAACTGAAGAAACTCCCTTTATTTGGCGCGTTTCCTCTGGATGTTACGACGCTATGAACAGCTAGCGGGCTGTCCGACGCTGGCCGCAGCTAGCAGGTCGGCTCCACCACAGCGCTAGCTAACAATCCGACTAGCTAAAGAAGCTCCGCCGACCAGCATCTAAGCTCGGCTTTTCCTCCGTCTGAGACTAGTTTCGAACTCCGACCTTTAATTGAGGAGGCTCGTTTTTGTAGTGCCGTAAGGCTACATTCAAGAGGCACATGATAGTTTTTTTAAATTATGTAGGTCACTGTAACCGATCAGCGGTAGTTATATGGGTCACAGGCAGCAGTGGGTTAACCTATTAGCTCGAACAGCTGGTTAGCAAGAAAGCGAGCTGGTTGCCAGACAACAGGGTATTTGTTTTCGGATAATCTCCGCAATAAAATGTAATAACGAAGATTCATATGTTGGGAGTCGTTGCCGTTGCAGTGCAGCCCTCCTGTCAAGCGATAATATAGTTAAAAATAGTATCTGTCGTGTTTGTGGGGCGTCGCAGACCATCGTGGTGAGCTGGATTCTGTTTGCCGAGTTAACCGAGCAGCTTCACTAACCAGGTAAGAGCAAACAATGGTAAGTAAGTTCACTTATTAAAGGCAGGAATCTGTGTTTTTTGTTTGTGACGCCACATTTAAGAGCCTGCTAGCGGACTTGTAATCATTAGTATTTTATACTTAATGTGTTGATGTTAAATGGATTTTAAAAAAAAAACAGCTACCGTCCGTCAGTACAGCAGCTTTATTAACTCTGTCATTTAACTGGTTTCCTACAACCATCGGCTCACTGCTTTTCTGTTTGGCACACAGGAAGCTGATGGATCATGCTTAGTGAAGCGCTGTGTTTCTTCCGCGCCTAGCCGGGCAAAGTGTTCCTGGGTTTGGTGAGAGGAGGATGGCATTTCACGGTGCAGGCCGGCAGACCGTCTGTGGAGACTTGTTTCCGGGCTCTGAGCTGGGCCACAAGTATTTCTGTGTCAACTCTTCCTGCGGAGCCCCATCCACGGGCCTCAGCGCAACACCGTGCCTGACCGGACCCACTGCCCCGGCAGGGACCCCTCGCCACCCCACAGCACTCGGAGGCAGCACCGGTGGCGGAGCGGCGGTGCCACAGCCTTACACTAACCCGGCAAGTGAGGTGCCCAGCCCCCCAGACATGGAGCCGGACCGTCCCATTGGTTATGGCGCATTTGGCGTTGTCTGGTAAACAAATATTATTGCGGGCTAAACCACTGTTTTGCATGTTTCCGCCTTTAATTACGCACAGCCTGTTTTAGTGGGGATCATGGCGCTTTCCCAGTTTTTTCAGTTCTATAGGGACTTAAAAAAGGACGTCCATCCCAGGAAACCTTATGTCCGTTACATCAAATTTTAATTGTTAGAGCAGTAAGCTTGAGTAATAGCAACCGGTCATCGCAGGTCTTTTATCGGTAATCTGATTCGCATTAATTTAAACACTTTTCCTGTTGCCAGTGGAAATGAAGAAATGGCGTTTTCACTGTCCTGATGAGCCCTCTCTTAAAGCACGAGTTAAGAATCCTCTCAACACTGACTGTATTACAGCTGAGCAGAAGGTGGTTTACTCTCTAATCAGTCAAAAATTAAAGTGTTACATATTTATTAATTAAGGTATTAGTGTTCTAAAGAAGTACTGATAAGTCGTTTTGCTGCATGACAGTGTGCTTAATGCCATGCCAGCTAAATTCTCATTTTTAACCATGAGGAGTATATGAATGTTCTCTTTATATTCTGTTAAATAGATTTTAGAGACAGCAAGAAAATGTCCTTCTGTGGTTATTTTAATGCTGGCTTTGTTTGACCAGCAGTTTAAAATCTGAATTAAGGGTTTTATTTTGCTTCACAGAAAAAAAACGGAATAGTTGATAGATTGTTAAAGTAGTACCAGCTTAAATATATAAGACAGACGTTTTAGTCTCAACTATCTTTGTTTTCCTTAAGGTCCGTCACAGATCCACGTGATGGACGCAAGGTGGCTTTGAAGAAAATGCCTAATGTCTTCCAGAACCTTGTCTCTTGTAAGAGGGTCTTCAGAGAGCTGCGGATGCTGTGCTTCTTCAAACATGACAATGTAATAATGAAAACAGGGCATGGGTTTTGGGATTCAAGACATGTCTCAGATTTGGGTGAAAGATGTCTTACTGTTTTCTCTGTTTGTGCAGGTCTTGTCAGCTCTGGATATTTTGCAGCCTCCACAAATTGACTGCTTTGAGGAAATGTATCCTTTTTAAATATATAAACACCAGCTCATGTGAAGTCAGAATCAAACGTCTTGGCTTTATATTACCATAATTACCTCCTTAAACCTTCTGCTCTACTTTCACTTTTTTTAAATTGTCCTCCTTTTTAATAATTTAGCCACTGCTCCTCTCTGGTCTACATTCAGACACTTCTTCAACCAGACCTGTGATCAGAGATGCAACGTGTTTGTGTAGGCGGTGGAAGGTTAGTCCGTGCGTGAGCTTTGGTTTTTCTTTGACATCCACCCCCTCCGGCAGCTACGTGATAACAGAACTGATGCAGAGTGACCTCCATAAAGTGATCGTGTCTCCTCAGCCTCTTACCACTGACCACATCAAGGTCTTCCTCTATCAAATCCTCAGAGGTTAGTGGACAGAGCAGAAAAATCCCATCTGTTGGGACCCTCCTTATGGCATAAGTGTCAAACCAACAGATAGGTTTTATATTTTTTGTTTGTCCAGCAAAATGATATGATTCTTTGGTAATATCTGTTGAAATTCAAAGTATGACGCATTTTTTATCACCTCTGTCATACAAAAAGTAGAATATAATTGCAAAATTGAGCAAATGAAAAACATGATGTCTTGTTGCTCAGGTTTGAAATACCTGCACTCTGCTGGGATCCTGCACAGAGACATCAAACCTGGAAACCTGCTGGTCAACAGCAACTGCTTGCTGAAGGTAAATCCTGACATGTTTAAGTTAAGAAGAGTGTTGAAGTTGTGAAACTTTTTTTTTCTTTAAGTTAGAAAAATCATAATGCTTGTCCTAAAAATTGTTGTGAATTAACAGGCCTGATGATAAAGCACAGCATTTCTCAAAACAGCATCAGAATAGGTACATCACTGTTGGTACAAGGAAATATCTGAGAATTTTATGCAACATCAGAGGCCGCCTCGGGCAAGGAACAAGTGCCACTCCCAAGAAAGTGTTGATCACTTTTTGTGGCACCATTGAAATAATAAGATGCAAACTGAAACAATACTGCACTGTTATTATATCACTTATTATGTTACAGTTTCACTTATAAATATGTTTCGATCTTTAATTTCTCCTTCCAGTGGGCCAAAAGTCTAAACACTCACACAAAAATGGTTTTAATAGTTCTTCATCGAATTCTAATTATGTTTCTGCTCAGATTTGTGACTTTGGCTTGGCACGGGTGGAGGAGCCTGACCCATCACGTCACATGACTCAGGAGGTGGTAACACAGTACTATAGAGCTCCTGAGGTGCTGATGGGATGCCGACACTATGGTTCAGCCATCGATGTGTGGTCAGTGGGCTGCATCTTTGCTGAACTTTTAGGACGACGCATCCTTTTCCAGGCTCAGAGTCCCATCCAACAGGTGAGAATTTCAGACAAGAGCACCTTCTGAGGCTGCAAGAGTAAAGTTTTCTGCATCATGGTGATTTTTTTTTACTACCAACTTAATTTGTTACTGGTACTGTCTTGTACTTCAGTAAAATTTGTGAAAAAGTCTAAAACACCCCCTGTCCTGCTTCCCTCTCTTGCTACAGCTGGATCTGATCACAGACCTGCTGGGGACGCCGCCTCTCTCCGCGCTGGCGTCTGCCTGTGAAGGAGCTAGGGCCCACATTCTGAGGGGGCCGCACAAACCAGTATGTGATTGAGTGGTTTGGTCCCACTCACTAGCCACCAACACGAACAACACACATTTTTGTCCCTGAATCAAATAGTCCTGTCATTTTTCCGCAAAGTAGTCTGATTTTTTTACCTGACGCTTCAGTCTGAATATAGTTTGGCTTCAGCAGACATTTAAAAGAAGGGATAGACAGTTTAAAACGTTTTCAATATCAGGCTAAAGTTAAGTTGAGGATTGAGAAGTATGAAATTCAGTGTAACTGCCTGGAAAATAACGTTTGCATTTTGTCTTTCTATAAAGACAGCATGTTTAATTAGTACCACTAGGGGGCAGTCACCATGTCTGCAGCTTGTTAGATTTCACCGTCAACATGAACATTAAGATACTGATAAGAGCCTCTGTAAATATTAAGGTTTTGTGATAACCAATGATTTGAGAACTTTAATCCTCAAAACCTTTTTTGTTTTCCTTTTTAAATTATTACTTATCCTGGAAATTAAAAGTCAGATCTTAGAACTGAGGGTTACAGGTTATCAAGCTGACATCAGTGCAATACTTCTATGTGTCCTAAAAGGGGACCTGCCATCAAAATGTAATTTTGTGGGTTTTTTGTGTCAGATAAGGTCCATATTATGTTCGTCTTATGTTGTAAATGTGAAAACAAACTGTTACGTCGTTTGCATTCTGTAAAGGTTTAAAATAAAGGAGGCCAATTGAAACCAGGCCAATTGAAAAAGCAGGTCCCTCTGACGTCCCGCTGACCTTGCTCATTATTATTCACGAGCGCGTCCTCGGTGAGCCGCGCCCACTCTCTCGTTCTCGTACTCATTCACAGTCAGAGCGAGACCCAGCTACCACTGTATCCGCTATGGGTCTCAGTTACGCTCTGTTAGTGTAGTATGCAGGCACAGAGGGGCTGTGGGCCAGCCCCTGCAGCCCCTGCAACGCCGCCGCCGCACCGAATATCCCCGGATATCATTACAGACATCTGGGCACCTTACTTTAGCACACATTAGCAAAATGGATAAACCAAAATCTGGACCTCCTCTGCTGAGCCAATCAGAGCATGGCAGGCTTCACAGCAGCGATTCAATCAGAGCAAAGCTCATTACCATAAATGTTAATGAGCCAAAAGCAGTTGGTTTTCCTGTAAGGTTTTTTAGGCATACTAAAAACAAACCATCAAATAACTTTTCAGCTAAAATTATGTTGCAAACATGATCAGAGGACATCAAGGATTATGAAAAAATGATAAAAATGGGTATGAAATTTTGATGGCAGGTCCCCTTTAAAACTAAGCTGAGTGCTGAGAATCATTTCATTTTCACTGTTTGCTCTGACAAAAAAAGTGATTTTTTTTGGGTGTTGTCCTCAGCCGTCGCTGTCAGTGCTCTACATGCTGTCTGACGGAGCGACACACGAGGCAGTGCACCTGCTGTGTCGGATGTTGGTCTTTGATCCGGTGAGTTAATGAGATCTAGACAAACAAACATCTGTGTTTTCCACCAGCTGAGACAATAAAAGTTTCCTGTATCAGGACACCAAGTTTATGAAGCACATTTTTTTTCCTCTGCAGACTAAGCGGATTTCTGGCAGTGACGCCCTCTCCCATCCGTACCTTGACGAGGGGCGTCTGCGCTACCATACCTGCATGTGCCAGTGCTGCTACTCTGTACCCAGCGGGCGAGTATACACCCGGGACTTTGAGCCAGTTGCTGAGCGGCCGTTTAGCCACAGCTACGAGAACAGCCTGTTGTCTGTGTGGCAGGGTAAAGGTACAAAACTTTCCACATTGTTTTTCCCTGAGCTTAGTGTCATTGTGTGATTAAAAATTCTGATTGTCAGTGTTCTGTGCCTTATTTTGCAATTTAAATCTTGATGGCTGACGTCCTGTTCTGTCCCCCACATCAGAGCTAATCCATCGCTTCATTACGGAGCACCAGCAGGGCAAACGAGTGCCTCTGTGCATCAACCCTCAGAGTGCTGCCTTCAAGACCTTTATCAGGTGAGGGAGGGGAAGGCGGAGCTCATAATTATATAATCATTAGTGTTTAAATCTGTATTTTGTGTCAGCCAGTCACTTAAACTACATGAGTAGTGCTCTCTCATTTAATACTTTAATCTGCTGCTGTTCCTGGTGTTGGCCATCCAGTTTATGTTAAAGTTTAAGAGAAGAGATTCCTGATGGCCTTAAAATTTCTGCGAGGAGTTTTTTTTCATCTTTATGGATATAAATTTTGATGAACCAATGCAAAGTGGACCATCAGCAACAAGACTGACATTTTTTATATTAAATATATGTAATTAATGTTTCAAACTGGCGCTGGGGGCTAAGTTTTAGCCGAGCAAAATAAGATAAGATCTATTTTTATTGGTCCCACAGGGGGAAATTCCAAATTTACAGCAGTAAATACAGCTTAAGAAACATGTCTAGTTGAACCACTTCAATGTAAAATGGTTAATGTAAATGACACAGTGACTGTCAAAAGTCAGCAGGGTGAGATTTTTTGTCAGATGACACAACTTAAACATAGAAAAGACAAGTCTAGCAAAGACTGCTTTGATCCCCAAAATCAATACCAACCGAAAGTTCCCCACAGAAGCTTGAATGTTCTATTTTTTATCCTCTCATATTAAGTGAGCTGTTTCCTCTGTTCAGATCAAATGTGATTTATGTTAAAGGTTATTGTTAACTTGAAGTAAATCAATAGACTGTGTGATGATTTAAAGGCCATCAAAAATGTAATTTTGTGTGTTTTTTGTGTCAGATAAGGTCCATATTATGTTCGTCTTATGTTGTAAATGTGAAAACAAACCGTTGCGTTGTTTGCATTCTGTAAAGGTTTAAAATAAAGAACGGGTTAACCAGGCCAATTGAAAAAGCAGGTCCCTCTGACGTCGCGCTGACCTTGCTCATTATTATTCACGAGCGCATCCTCGGTGAGCCGTGCCCACTCTCTCGTTCTAACCAGTCACAGTCAACATCACTCTCCAGCCAGAGCGAGACCCAGCTACCGCTGTATCCGCTATGGGTCTTTTCCAAACGACCGGTGTTTCCTTGGGTTCACTGCCGGGAAAATGCACTTAAAGCTGGGCAGAATTAATGAGAAAACACCACTGGAGATCTCCGGCTTCTTCTTCAACTTCCACCTCCTCTTTGGACTCGGGGTCTAAAATATATGGTTTAATACCTGCTTTTTTTTAGCCTTTAGCATAAGGTGACCAGACATCCCTGATTTCAGGGGACAGTCCCCGTATTGGATGACCTGTCCCCGGCAAAAGCTGTCCCCGAAAATGTCCCCGATTTAAGCGTTTCATGAATGAGAGCAAAAATGTTGCGCGTGGGCTCGAACAACGGTTATTACAGTAGCCGAATGGGTAGGAAGCACAAGTAAGCAGTCCTGAACAACAGTTCTTAAGGGGGTTATTACAAGGGGCATGCGCTGCTACTAAATAGTACAGAGATTTTGTCTGTGATCACGCAGACCCTGCACCCTCCCCGCCGCACCGAATATCCCCGGATATCATTACAGACATCTGGTCACCTTACTTTAGCACACATTAGCAAAATGGATAAACCGAAATCTGAACTTCCACTGCTGAGCCAATCAGAGCACAGCAGGCTTCACAGCAGCGATCCAATCAGAGCAAAGCTCATTACCATAAATGTTAATGAGCCAAAATCAGTTGGTTTTCCTGTAAGGTTTCTTAGGCATACTAAAATGGTTTGAAACAAACCATCAAATAACTTTTCAGCTAAATTATGTTGCAAACATGATCAGAGGACATCGAGGATTATGAAAAAATGATAAAAATTGGTATGAAATTTTTATGTCAGGTCCCCTTTAAAGCAACAACAGGATGATTAAGAACACCCCTCTTCAAAGAGGCCAAAGCCCTAACATTGTTTCTGATATTCAATAAGTTCTCCAAAAAAGAGCAGTTAAGGTGTTGACCATCCTCTGACCAGATGGAACATGTAGCATGTAAAGAAAAAAGACCCAAGAACACTCCGACCATCATTTCCAGCTGCCTCATCATGTCTTCACTGGATTCCAAAAAGACCCTCTCGGGTTTAGTTCCTGTGTTTTGTCTGGATTGGCCAATATCTTCCTTCTGAAAGCACAGTCCTTTCTTCATTTTTATGAACTGTTCTTACCTTGAGTAAAAGTTTTTGATCTGTGAAGCTCATTTCTTTGAGTGAACACATGGCATGAAGGGTGAATATATTTGAAACCCACCCATCAGACCGGTGAGTGGCCAGAAGTTGTGCATAAGCTGGCCGAGTGAGTGGCAAGGCTGAGTTGAATGACAGGTGGATGTCATGTAGCCATTCTCAGGGGCTGCCTGAGAAAAGGGCTGCCTCAGCTCCAAAACGAAAGAGAGAAAGTCCTGTCAAAATCCAAACTATTTTAACCTTGGCCCGTACTTGTTCTTTTGTCCTCAGGTCGACTGCATGGCACTCTTCTAAGGTCTCCAGGAAAGAAGAGAGATGAATGGGTCCTCTTGGTCTTTTTGGAGAGCCACAGCAGTTTAATTTCATGGGCCGCAACATGTGAAAACGCAGAAGAGTTTGGGTCTTTTTCTTTCTTTTTTTGTTGTTCACGTGGAGGGAAAACAGGGAGCTACCTGAGCTTCTCCGAAAAACCCTCTTTGTTTGTTCCTCGCAAATCTTCAAAGAAAATGACAAGCTACTGCTCAACTCCTTTGAAGACCCAGACTGTGGATGCTTGTGGCATTTACGGTGCTGATTTAAAAAATGCTGCTGAAGTGCTTGAGGAGAAGACTGAAAGAGGAAAACAAGTGAACTTGGTACTAGACTGGATTTTTCATCTATCTTAGTAGAGACATAATGAGATAATGGTTTTAATTGTTTGGTAGAGTTTTTGCTTAGTTGATATTTGAAGTCATTCCAGCCTTGTGCAATATGATTCAATTAGAAAAAAAGGCACATTTAAGTGCTCGCTTGCCAATAGGACTTTTTGGATTCTTGCTATAAGACCACGTTACCGGATCAGTGTGTCATGAGCTGTCACACATGATGGTGACATGAGCTGTCACCATAACATTAACCGCCAAAAACCTCCAAGGTTTTCTTTTGTTTTCTTAACTGAACTCATCGCTCACTGTGTTTTATGCGATAATAATGCAATCTAACAGATGTAGCAGGTTTTAACCACAGCCACTGTTCCCTGCTGTTTCCCCACCTCCACTTAGCCTTGTTGTTGATTTTTGCGATTTTTTTGGGGATGTTTGGTCCTGGGTTCCTGTTGAGTTACCTGTAAGGGGAATTCCACCATTTGAAAAGACAGGAACCTGCTTCTTTAATGCACGCTTAACAGTCGAAATGATAATGAGGTGAAAAGGTTTTGGGGATCCTCCTGTTGATGCCTTTAGGAAGCAGCTTTGAAACTTGCTATAATGGCTGCAGTGATAAGGGCAAACATGCTCAATCACAGCAGGCTGTCTCTAAGTGATTGATTTTGCCCGTTAAAGGTTGTTCTACAACTTTTTGTACCAGTTAGGAGTACAGACCGCAAAAGCATATTTAAAGGTTGTGCCCTGTTAAGTCTGATCAAGCTACTGATCTAAAAAGAAAGTCACCCCCGTTTTTTAAATTTTTGTTTGTTTGTTTGTTTTGGTTTTAGTTTTCTGATCCAAAACTTATTTTGTTTTGAAAATCCCTGCAGGAAGAAGAAAGATGCCAAAACAGATATTTTGATTTTTATTTCTCATGTGTTAAGACAGAACTTTTGTTGATGTTTTAAGGAGTTTTTTATGACTTCCTTAGCCCCAGGAGAGAGAGAGAGGAAAAAAAATTGCATCTGTTATTTTTCTGTTTTATTCTTAATTTATTGAGTGTTTGTTGGCGTGTGTGTGTGTGTGTGTGTGTGTGTGTCTGTGTGTGTGTGTGTGTCCCCTGTCTCAGTTTTAAGTGACCTCTCTGTGGTCTTGGTTACCTCAAACCCTTGAAAGAGGATAATGAAAAAGGAGTAACATGTGCATATCTGTAAAGTGAAACCCTCCCCTCATAACTTTCATTCCTCCAGGTCCTGGTTCTTACCTCGTGCTCGCTCCTCGTCTCTCCCCCAGCCACCCAGAATCAGCGTGAGGTTTTGAGAGGAGAAGGATGTTGTCGATGAAATGCTGCTGTTTTTATTTTTTATTTTTCTTCACTTTTGTGTTGTACAGTTTCTGTTTCTAGTTTAAGGCTCAGGTGTCTCATTTGTTGAGGATAAATGGTACAGAGCCTGATGGGGAGGCACCAGTACTGCCCACATTTTGGTATGATGAGGGCTAACAGGATTATACCTGAAGAGGTTTCTGTCCACTGACAGCAAACAGAAAATCATGCTGAAGATATTCTTTATGTCAACTACAAAGTGAGACCACAAGCAAAAAATGAAGTCTGATCAGAGTCCTTTCCACACTGAGATTAAGAGAAATCCTACAGATGGATATGTTGAGACCAGTGGAGGATAGAGCTGCTGCGTATCGATGATTTCTCACCATCAATCCAGGCGTTCACCGGTGATTTTCCAAAGTCAGAAAGGTCACTTCTTCAGGAGGCTAAGGCCACGTCTCTGATTAGATCGTAAATAGTTTTCTTTTTTTCAAATTCTTCTCATTCCAGTGTTTTAGACCTGAAGAGGTGGCTGTCATGAATCATGACAGTCCATTAAGAAATCTTTTATCCAAGAAAAGCATTTCCATGTGACCTCAAAGATTGAAGTCAGTCCTTCAATATGTCGATTTTTGGACAGTTTTTGATTTTGTATTAACTCAGGCATCTGTAATGATCAGTTTGATCTTCTGGTTGCTGGTAGAGCTGAGATGTTTGGCATCAGTTTTGACTGTAGGAACCTTCCTCATGATTTGGGAACTTCTCACAATGACTCGGCTCGCTCCAACACTATTACTGATCGCCTCAACTCTGCCAACAGTTCATCACGACGGAAGCTAGGCCCGAACCATTTTTTCTTTTTTTCCTTTTTTTTTCTTTTTTTGGTCCTTTATTTTGTTTTTTTTCATGTGGCTCCTCACATCCTTGCTCATGTCTAGTCTTCTTTCCTTTCTTGTGTATGCCCTGAACCTCCAGCAGGCGGGGCCCTGAACCTCTGATTTTTTCTGATTTTTTTGTTTCCTTAAAGCCCTAAAACCTCAGCTCCTCTCTACAGGATCACACAGCAAGTCTCCGTTTGAGGCTGCCAGATAACCTGACTTGTATATCTGCATGTGTATAGTTATTATCCCATGGAGAGCATTTTGGTTTGAATGCTGTGCAATGGTTCAGTTTGTCAATCATGACGAAAAAACACATTTTGTGGTAATTTTTATTTAATTCATCTTTAGGAAGTGATTTTATTAGAAGTTTTGTTTTTGTTTGTTGTGATCTAATTAGATTTGAATGAAGCCAAGAGGCTGGAGAAGGCAGGATTCATCGTTCCCTTGAGTGAACATTGACATGATAATACAGTCAAGTTAAAGCAGAGTTATTTAGCAACATCACAGTTTCTGAATTGGCACCTTAAGGTGAAGTTTAAAAGAGGAGTCTTTGTTGTAACGAGTCCTGCAATCATTACATTTAGACTCTCCTCTCACCTTCATCTACCTGAAACACTCCACATCTTCATTTGCTCCAAAATTACTTGTTTGTTACTTTAAGAGACAAGCTGGAACTATTCCCAACAACAGAAACAGAAAAAAATGAAGCCATATCCCCACAAATTAAAAAAGCTGCACCGATAATCTAAAGTCGGGAAACTTCCTGAGTATCTAATGGACTGTTAAGAAGGTTTTCGATGAAGAAATTAAATGTTATTTAAGGTTCAGATTTCCAAATGAAGGGAGCAATCACTCCAAACTTCTCCCCTCTCTGGACATTATACTTGCTTTCTTTTTTTTCTGTTGTTGTGTCAGTAGACACCCTTCCAGGTCAGGAACAGTTTTAAAACTCGATGGCCCGTTTTGTTCCTTCAGAGTCCAGCTGACGAGTCTCTTGGCTCATCTGTTGGGGGTATAAGGTTGATGTGAAAGGAGAGCAGAGCGGGTTGGACAAACGGCCATCTTTAGAGATTAGAGATGTCTTTCTTCTTTGAAAAGAAACTTGATGTGTTTATTATCCTAAATATGGAACTGATGTTTTCGTCTTTGTTTTAGCATAAAGATTTTGTTTGTTTTGACTTGTGTTTCCAACAAATACTTGAATTTCTTAAAAAAAAAATTAGAGTTAAAGTAGTTAATGATGGAATAAATAAATGGACACTGGATATTTCTCTGCTCTGTTGTGGTCCCTTCTCTTCCGACAGCTCATATCAGTGTAACAAAGTATGAAGTGCTGGATATCAGGTTATAATGTGTGTATAAATATACTTACAGGTGATTTTTTTTTTTTTTCTAGTAACAAACTCACTGTTTCCAGTTTCGTTGACAGCTTATCCAAAGGTTATGAATGATTTGCATCCTCAGGCACCGAAAAAATCACTGAAGACTGCTCAAGATCTCAGAAGGAGTCATCTGATAGGAAGGCGGTCTTTTTGACGCAGAACTTTTAGGGCCACATTAAAGAAAAAAATATGTGTTCCAAGAGTAGCTATTCTATGTTCTTTAGGTCATCTTCTCACGAGAATAAAGTCTTTGTAAACTCTTCATTTTGACCCTCTGTAAATCGTAAACCACGACTTTATCACCACTTTATAACTTGATGACTTAATTCTAAAAGTATGACTATTTTTGTAATTAACTTTCAAACACAACATCATGGCTTGATTTTCTTTCAACATTATTCCGAGAAGAAAATGGCTGAAAAAAATGTAAAAGCTTAAAATATATATATATATATATATATATATATATATATAAATCTTTGTTTTAAATTGATATAAATCTTTGATTTAAAACGATAAAATAATCGAAGCCCTACGTATAAAAGCATCTGTACATTTGATTTACTGTTTTCCTGTGTTAGTTAAACTCTTCACAATAGATGAACATAATTCATATCTCCTGTAAATGGCTTTACAGCATGTCACAGTCTGGCCTATCCTGTTTTCTTGACAAAACTGCCCCGTAAGAAAACAAGCTCTGTCTTTCAAAATAACCAGATACCTGAACATGTCATGAAGGAAAAACAACTTCCAAAAAAAAAATGGTCATAAATCCAAGAAAAAAACTCAAAGCAACCGTACATCCCAGAGAAGTCAGGGAAGTTCTCTTGAGATGTGATAGACAGGGTGTTGGAGTCAGCAATATTCTTGGAAAAACTGACCAACTGAAATGTACAGATGCATGTCTGCTTGCTGCTACTGTGAAAAATCATAGCCATGAATAAATCAATGCAGCAACACTTTATTCAGACAAAGTTCTATGACACAGTCTGAAAAATTGATAACTATTTATTGATTTGTGGTTTGAAATGTGCAGCATACAATCAAATCAGAGAGTGGAGTCAGTGTTATTAAAGAAGATTTTGGTTTGACAGGGGGAATGGCAAGTATCAGATATGTAATTGGATAATGCAAATCAAAAATGCTCTTTTCGCTGATTATATGACCAGCAATTGTCTGTATACGTTGCAGTAATCCTTTACATTGCGTGTCTGTTGTACTGGAGTATTTCTTTTACATGGTTTGAATTCTGTCACTGCAGCAAAGGGGAACTACCTCAACCTCCTCTGACAGGTGGCAGCAGAAGGCTCCTCCCAGCTGATCCTCTTCACTGAGCTCCTGAAAATCTGTCGCCATTTAACACTCAGCACACCCAGAGTGTGTGTGAGAGCTCATCCGCACCCTTACTAACTCACACATTAAAACACGTGTCCTCACACACTCAGGAGCCATAATGGCCCTTGTAGCTGCTGGCTCTATTTTCTTCCCAGGACTTTTTCTTCTCTCGAAGAAGAGTCTGAAACACATGATGGGATGGAGCGAGGGGGATGCTGCGATCGTTTCAACACGGTAAGAACACACACATCCTCACAGACACTCAAACAAATGTTGTTAGACTCAAGAAGCTTGATTGTATTGTAGTCTATGAGGAAAATTATTAACCTCTGTTACCTTTTTCTTTAGCTTTTAATGCTTAATGCCACTTTGAAGTCTTGGTCAATATGGTATGAAGTTAATCTTTCAAACTACAGTCCTGTTCATTAAAAAAAACAACGTTTCTGTCACAAGGATTGTTCCTTAGAAAAATCTACGCGTTTCAGTTGGACCCAAATGTTTCTTCACTTGGATCAAATAACCGGAGAACTTCTATTCAGCATACCCTTTTCTTAGAGCACACCAAAGACACCTGCACAGGAAAATATGGCCGCAATGTTTTAGGGATGCTTGGTATCCACTCCTCTTACAGGCCCTTCCAAAACTAAGGTGCTTTCAGAAGTCAAGATATGACATATTTGGCTTGACTGAAAGTCAAAAGAGATACATATGAGTGTATTTATCTTTTGTGACAGTTGTGTTCTGAATGAAAAAAGCAACAACATTTGATTGTACTTTGTATTGTTTTCTTCTTTCTCTCAGATTTGTGTCCTCTGTCCAAGCCATCATGGCCTCTTCAGCTGGATGTATCATCAGCTCATCCTGCAGGGAGATAATAGAGGACAGGTGAGGATCACTTTTCTCCTGTTTACCCTTCATCCCCCTTTCCTCTTCCATTCTCACCTCCCTTCTTCTTTTAACGTTTTTCAGAGGGTGTCCACACAGTTACAATGCCCTGAAATGAAACTGCCCTCTCCAAATGGTTAGCTGATGCTAGCACGCTGACTTGATAAACTAAGAAGCCGAATAAAGGCACCATCACTGACTCTTAACGCTCCTCCGTTAAAGGAAACACCAAGTCAAGACAACATAAGTTGTACAGAAGAGCACAGCTGTTTTTATTACCCCCAGTGTGATGACCTATGATTCCTCTTACACCACCACAACAAGTCAGACTAAGTATTCACTTTGCCCAAACCTGCCAAACATAACGGTAGTATGACTGTCTGGCTCCCTCTCCTTTCTGGGTTACTCCTGTATTGTTGTTATTGTTGGGACATGAAAACTGAAGCAGTCTAATGTAACCTGTCTACATTTTTGGTATGCCTCACATTAGCTTACTTTTTGATCATATCTGATCGGTTTGCTTGTTTTATATCTATATCAGAAGAATTGTATACATTAAATCAGTGAAATATGATCAAATGAAGAGGATGAAGAATCAAATCACAATTTCACTATTTTTTATATAAAAGATAGAAATAATTTGTGTTTAGATACTCGCAGGCAGCATGAGTGCGTATGACCTGAACCTCAGTCTATAATCTAATTAACAATCTAAGCTGAACAGCAGCAGAGCTATTTCAGGCTCTAAGACAGTCACAGAGATCACTAATCCTCCTTACTGAGGACAATGGGAAACTCATTTATGCACAGGCAGAGTGTGGGACAGAGGACACATGATGGGCTGGGTGGTTCAATGAATTCCAGGTTTTCTCTGTCAGCCCCTCATTTCCCAGTCAAAGTGGAGAGGTTTGTCTGTATTTGTTTAATCAAATCAAACCAGAAAGGGCAAAACTAAGCAGCATCCAGTACCAACACAATTTCAACTCTTATCTTAGTCATCTTCAATAAGGGAGTTTTCCTGTTTGTCATTTAATGCTTTTTAAAGTTGACCAGGTTTGTGAATTTTCTTTTAAACCATCACTATCATTATTTGACTTCCTTCTCACTCTGATTCCTTACCAGACATTGGCTGACTGACTCCTACATCCTGTTTGCGACGCCTTACTTTGCCTATGACATCTATGCAATGTTCCTGTGTCACTGTCGTAAGCTGAAGGTCAAAGGTCATGAAGAGGAGAAAGAAGTGGGGATCGAGTCGATGGGAGCAGCTGTGGTGGGTTTCCTGCGCAAAGAGCTGCTCATGGTGCTTCATCACATCTTCGTGGTGGCCTTTTGCTTCCCTGCATCTCTGGTAACAACAAGAATGACTACAACCATGGTGATGGTGTCTTCAACATCCAAGTGATCTTAACTTTTGCACTGTGATTATGTGTGTGTGTGTGTGTGTGTGTGTGTGTGTGTGTGTGTGTGTGTGTGTGTGTGTGTGTTACAGCTGTGGCGGCAGGGTAAAGGTGATTACTTCCAGGGCCTCCTGTTTTTAGCTGAGCTCAGCACCCCATCTGTCTGTCTGGGGAAAGTCCTGATCCAGGTAGGCACACCTTCAAGCAACAACCCACACCCACCCCCACCCCTCTGTGTAAACTGTGTGTGTACAATATTTCCTCAGTCACCTTAAACTCAACAAAGAGGTTGTGTGATTCCAAAAACCCGATTTCTCATACTGAAATCAATATTAATCACATTTTTTGTAGTGGTTAGCCCTGTCACCCCAAAGCGAGTAGGTCGTGTGTTCAAATCTAAGTCAGGACCTTTCTGTGTGGAGTTTGCATGTTCTCCCTGTGTCTGTGTGGGTTTATTCCAGGTACTCTGGTTTCCTCCTACATCCCAAAAACATGCAGAAGTGGGGTTAGGTTAATTGGCCACTGTCAAATTGTCCATAGGTGTGAATGTGAGTGTGGATGGTTGTTTGTCTCTATATGTCAGCCCTGCAATGAACTGGCAACTTGTCCAGGGTGTCCCATGCCTTTGCCCCAGGATGCTGGGACAGGCTTGAACCCCCTGCGACCCCCTCAGTGGGATAAGCGGTAGAGAATGGGTGGATGGATTTTCGGAAAAATGTAGAGTTGTTGTGTTTGCTGCAGTGGTCCTGAAGGTTATTTCAGGACCAAACAAGAAATGATTTCAGAAAATAAACTTCAAATCTGTTTTTTAATTTGATGTCACATGTTTCCATTTTGTGTGGAAACATGTCATCACATTTCATTCAAATCAAATCAAAACTTTATTCATAAAGTGCTTTTTATACAAAAGGATCTAACACAAAGTGCTTTACAGTCCATAAAAAACAAAAACAATCCCAAGTACCCCACACAACTATGAAACCCACAGTCAACAGTCACATACAGTCTTACCTAAAGCCACATACACACACAGACAGACACCCACACACACACACACACACACACACACACAAACACACACACCAACGCACCCACATGTATGCATGGCAAGATAGCGTACATAAAGGTGAGTACAGATGAACCAGTTGAGAGTTGAGAAAGCACAATCAGAGGAGCTGTCAGCACCAGGAGCAGAGAACCGCACACAGCTGCAGAACACCAATGCAGGGCCCAGAGGGGATATGTAGCAGACACCAACCTCTAACAGGAACCCTGTGACAGGCCCGTGCAACCACAGCTGACCACCGCTCCTGGGGCCGAGGGGTCCACCAGAGGAATTAGTTAAATCATTAATTATTTGTGCTTTCTGTGAATTTTTTTTATTTAGAATTTTTTTTGTGTGTTTCTTAAAGTTTATTTCTATCATTTTTAGGATGAAATGTTTATTTATTTACTTTATTTTCTTTGCCTTCTCTCCCCACCCCCCACCCCCCTAGTACAGGAAGCAGCACACTCTGCTACATAAAGTGAACGGGGGCCTCATGCTGCTCACCTTCCTTGGCTGTAGGGTGTTACTCTTCCCATACCTGTACTACGCCTACAGCAGGTAACTGAACCAACCAGCAGGCCTGCAATGCTGTACATCAACCAATCACATTCACTCACCTTAGAGCTGCTTTGGGTTCCTTTTACTTACATGTTTTATATTAAAGTGAATATGCAGGTGCAGTTCAAATTCTTGATATCTTTTCTGCAGTACAGTTGTGGTTGCATGCCTTGTTTAGTTTTCTTAAGTTGTGACTTGTAAATGCACCAGAACTTTGGAATTTGAAACTAATGATAAAAATGTGAACGTGCTGATGTTTAATATGATAATAGTGATATGAAATATTACAATATTGTGAATATATTCATTAGCATGCTAGTATAACCCTATTAAAATAGTTTGTAGACTAACCACATTATTTAAGTTTAGATAGTTTAGGTAAGTATAACATTTACACATTTGACTGGTATTATTTTATGATGTGTAGAGTTTTATACTTGTTTTCTAAATCTAAAATGAAGAAGCTAAGCTGCCTGTGCACACTTCTGCTGCTGTAAACAGCATTCATTCAAGTGCCGGTAGCTGGATGCCTTTATAACACATATTGTATCTTGTGGCATATATCAATGATTATAGGCTGTAATTAAAACTTCTTTCTCATATCAATGCTTCTTGTCAAATTTGACTTTAGCGGGGGGTTATTCACAGCTTTCTCGTTCTCAAATATTTGCGAATTTTTTCTTGTGAATTAATTACTTAAATGTCGTAAATATGAATTTTGTGAATTTACCATAGACTGTATATACTATGGACAATGTGGTTCTGTCCTCCACCAGTATACGGATTTGAAGTCGAAAAGCTTTCAGTATTTCCACGTTTTTACTCCACTTCCTGAAACTAACATTGCGCAGTAGCGTTGTACATATTTCACTACTTGCGCAGTAGCGTTGTACATATTTCACTACTTGCGTAGTAGCATTGTACGCATTCAGCGGGAGAGTCGCCGAGAGCCGCAGTGATGACACTCGGCTCAAACAGCGTATCCCCCTGGTGAGCTACACAATCTTCGTACGCCCATAGGCTGTATCAAGTATCAATCATAGAAAACACGAACTGCCGAATAACTTTAAAGAATGGAGCTGCACAGAAAAAAGAGGACTTGAACACAAATCAGTGTTACAATAACTACATGTAAACATCGCAACCATGGGGGAGAAAAATTTATATTCTGTGTAATTAATTTCTAAAGTTTGTCCACAGCTCCATAGGATTGCTGGAGGAGGCAGGATTTATGACGTATACTGCAGCCCGTCACCAGAGGGTGATGTTCTTGCAGTGGCTCCCAGCTAGGAGGCTCTCTTACCCTTTAAACTTTTTCTAATCTTGTACGACTGTATGTTTAGTCTTTGAAAATTACAAGAAAATTCTGTAAATTTACAGAAATAAACTTTTAAATGCATAAATTTATACTTAAGTCTAAAACCTTTCTCCTCTTGATTAAATTCTCTGACATAAACAACTCTCTTTTTGTAAATTTGCTCAGGAGCTGATAAGTAACTCCCTTCGCTCTGTGTTTCAGATATGCATCCATACCGCTGTACTCTGTGCCCCTAGTGGCCCCGTGGCAGTGTAACCTGGGGGCCGCTCTGCTCTGGCCCCTCCAGCTTTACTGGTTTGCTCTGATCTGCAGAGGAGCTTTCCGCCTATTCATCACTGGACATTCAAAGCCACCAACAACGAATGTCAAAGCTGAGACCTGTATGAAACAGAGCAATGACTGGTCAAGTTCTCAGGAGTATGGACGGACAGGAGGACACTGAAACGTGAAAAGAAAGAGAAGACACAAGACCCAAAACCAGGAGGCGGACTTGAAGCCTCAACTTGGAGGGACTGACATGAAAGCTCTGTTTAACACGGAGAAACCCTGCTAAGTTTTTTTAAATTTCAAAACTGTCAGCACTGAGTGTCAGAGGATCAACGAAGAGTCAAATAAAGACAGAGTAGAAAGATAAAGACTCAACGTTTTCTATGAGGAACTTGTACCAGGTGAAGGGACAAATGAAATCAACATTCAAGAAGTTAATTGATTTAAAATGTTAACCCAAACAGCAACAACAAACCCACAAAGGCAAAGGCTGAAGTTAGCTCTCTGGGATGAATATAGTGATGGTGAGATAACGGCACCCTGATCACAGAGATGTTTAGAACTCTTCCACCATCACAAAAAAAACAAAAAACAAAAAAACAAAAACTGATACAGAAAATGGAAATACAAACAGAAACAGTTAATTATCCCAGTCATCTTTCCTCAGAATGAGTCAAATCAAGAGCATTCAGGGTTGGGTTTTTATTGTATTTCACATATCTAAGGTGCATAATAATAAACCTGGAAAACACATATTGTCCCAACTTTTTTGATTCTTTTTTCACAGAGTGAAATACTAAAGATTCAAACTCAAGAAAATCCTCATTAGATCCGATGTCAGATTCATTAAATTCCTCATATCAGAGGAAGAGTAAAAATGATTTATTTCTTTTTTCACAATTGTGGTTCCTGGCCTTCACTTCACTACAGTATAACTGGCTTATTATCTCATAATTAGAGAGGGGTAGAGGAGGGAGAGTAAGTAAAGGGGTGCGACTAAAAGATACAAGTCACACAAAGGGAAAGAAAGGATAAATGAGCCAACGAAAACTAGAAAACATGGAAAGAAACAACAAAAGAGAAGGAAGGTTAATGTAAAAACTGAAAAACAGTAAGGGCGAAATTGAGAGAGATGAAAGCTCCTGTGAGTAATTTTTTTTGGGCGTTTGTAGAGTAGACTGAAATCCATATGAATACCTTTTTAATGTACAAAGGGAAAAGAGACCACCAGTGACAAGATTGCAGACTTAAAATAATCAGTTTTAATGATTAAAATGATGTGATTGGTGTAGACCTGCAGAGCAAACAGCCCCCCACCCAGAACCACTTGTTTTTGGACATTTTATAGATTAAATATTCACAGAAATTGTACATTTGACTGTAAAGAGTCAGCAGGATAAGATTTTTTTTTGTCAGAGGATGAAATTTAAGGCTTTGTCAGCTTTGTCCAACATCGCCAACATTGACACTAACTGAAAGTTTGTCACAGGAGGTTTAAAATCCAGGCAAATAAGGAATGATGGCGTGAGCTAAGGATGAAAGAATATGCGAAAGATAAAAGATGGGTGAAAAGAAAGGATTGATGGAGGAGGTAAAAAAGAAAAGGAGGGAGAAAAGACTATTTTTGTCACAGTAATAAAGAGATAAAGGTGAAAGGGAAGGAGAAAGGAGACAGAGCTGAAAGGTGAGGAAATAAAAGTAGAAACTGAAGGGAGCAGGAGGAGGAAGAAATGATAGGAGCAAATTGAGGAAAAGAAAAACAGCACAGGAAAAACAAAACTGCAACCACAGAAAGGAGAGGAACCTCAACAGAACAGAAACGAAACATATCAGCACTGCGCCCTGGTGGATAAACGGGGAATGGCGCCACTTTTATGTCTGTAACTTCTGTTTATACTCACAATATAAGCCCCAGGATTTATGCTCTGAGTATATTCCTTTTCCCTTCTGTCACTTCAAACTTGTGATCCTTTTTTCCTCCCTCCACAACTCTTTTCTTTCTTTTGCTCCGTTTGATACTTTTTTATGGTTTGTATCTGGCACTGTGTTTTCTACAGTTTTCCGCCAGCTGAGACCAAAGCAACAGACACTTGAAAGACTAATAATAACAGATAAGTGATAATAGGCAAAGTTAGAGACTCAGGGTATCTGGGTGGTTTAAATCTTTCCTAATTTCATAATTAAGTGCATTTATTGACATCAAGTGGAAGATTTACTTATATTATGTTATTATATCTAAACTGGTACTATATTAATCTTACAAAGTCTGGAGATTACTAAGCAGACCGGAAGGACTACAAACATTTCAGGCACCTCTCCCCTTTGCTGACAGATCAGACAGCACACGTTGTGTCCCTAAACAGTCTGGATCCGGCCCTGTTGAGAGCTTTACATGGTTGTTTATATATAAATAAATAAATAAACAAACAAACATATCTACACATAGTATATCTATAGTAAGGATATATATGTTTGGTATATGAGGTGTCATCCTGAGTGGAGCATCACAGCCCTCCTGACAGCAGGACAGGTTCAGTGCAGTCACGCCTCCTTCGAAGGCTGTATAACTCCCCTGGGTATCACTAGACTCAGTCAGAAGAATCCAACCATGGAGGTCAAACTATCAAACTGTCTATTTTGTGATATCCTGCTGGTGATCTTGGCCATATCAGGTCAGTGCTGTTTGATACAGAACTCCTAGAGTATTGGTGATCACAGTTAAAATGATATCTACTGCCTCTTTTATTGACTTAAAGAAGTCATAGAACTCAGCAACTGTTATGTTTGGTCAGACTGCATATTTATGTGTTTACTGGACAGTAGTTTTTGCGAAAGGACCGAATTGTAAATCTTGATGTCAGATTGTAATCTTTTCCTGTTTTTCAGAGTTACGAGTTGATAAAAAGGGACCAGTAGAAAGACTCTTGCGGTATCAGTACTCATACCTTCAGGATTTGTCACTCAACATGAAAATCCAGAACAGCCAGTTTGATTGCTGCTCTGTTTAGCCAACAGTGAGTCCTGCGTAGTCATGAAACTCAATCATGAGGTATCTTCATACACAGATATCTGTTATTCCTTTTTAAAATTAGAGTTCTCTCACAAAACTTAAATTGAACTTGTGAAAAAAAGTTCAAAGACAGTTTGAAAATAAAAGCTGAAGTGTAACATTTTCTCTTAGTTAGATAGTTATTGAAACTGTCTCCACCTTGACTTGACTACTTCCTCCTAAAGAATCTGTGATAATAAATCAACATTATGAAATACGGAAGCAACAACTCACAAAAGATTTGTACTTTTCTAATGACAATACACACTGGAGGATTAATGCATATTATAGAGTACTTTTGTTCTTAACTTTAACTTGTATATATTTTGTACCCTTTTTTGTTGTACATTTTCATTCTATTTCTGTTTCTCTCTTCTTTTCTTTTTACCTCTATTGCACGGGAAATGGAGAAAATCTCCAATGTCATTGTAATCCAGTTTAATGACAATAAAGGGCATTCAGATTCTGATTCCGATTCTGCAGAATTCACACTTTTTTCTTAAATGAGGGACTGTTTTCCCATCGTTATATTCCCATGATTCATAAAACATAATCAGTCACTGTTTAGGTCTCCAGAAAGATGCGCACCTTTTTCACATTCTTGTTGAGAGACAGACATTAAGATTGTTACAGCTGGATTTCTGACATTAACAGGACAAGTGAATAAGCTATACAAGTTCTTCATTCCTTCTTTACGTTGCCCTCAGGCTTGAACTGGCAAAAACATAGTCTTAACAATATTATGTTGTTATAAGAGATGCTTGACAGTGTCTCAGAAAGGATCACTGCATTGATGGACTCATAGATAAGGAGGCTTTTCTGGATTTCTATTAAGCTCTTTTTCAAATAACATGACTAAGATGGCAAAATTGACATATGTGAGTATGAGATCACCTCAATATTCTTGTACACTTTAACACAACCCATGTTCAAGCTTCTGTGAGAAACTTTCGGTTTGCGTCAATGTTGGTGGTCAAAGCAGTCTTTTCTTATCTTATCTTCTACATGCAAAAGGAATATCCTCTGACAAAAATCTCATTCTGCTGATTTTTGATTGTCAAAAACATCATTCATTGTGCATATTTGATGTGAACTTTCTATGGACAGTCCCTTTCTGTAACTACTTGGTTGACATCTACCCCCCTGTAGAGGTTTCAGGCATCAAAAATTGCGATACACCATCAATCATTCTTCTGATGGTCTTTTTTGATTATTCTTGAAGACAACGGTGAGAATTTCAGTCTATTTCTTAGATGTAAATGATAAAACTCTTCACAGGAGCTTTGATAACAAAGTTAAAAGTAAGTATTCTTTAAAATGTTGTTGTAAATGATGTGAAATCTTTCACCCTTGCTGTTTTACTTAGCAGCTGGCTAACCCAGTATGACATGGCAAAAGAAAGCAGCAAGCCTGACTTTCAAAAGTCTGTCTTATTTTTGAAGCTGTATGAAATACACATCAAAATAATTGTTCAGAACAGTTCACTATTTTCCAGGTATCAGAAAGTCTAAATATAATCAGATTTTTTTCAGACCTTTAATTAAAGTTCATGTAAGGAATTCCTGAGGTTACAGTTTCACAGTCAAAGTACAGTGGTGTTCTTAGTGTGATGTGATTCAACAATCAAAGGATCCTTGCCAACAGGAAGACATGATGATCCGATCCATGTTTGGAGAGATTCTCGGAACTGTTTAGAGATTAATTGTGATGTTTTTTTCTCCTTTTGTCTCTCCCACAGGGAACAACGCTCAATTAGATGGTGAGTTGTGTTCTCATTCTCTGATTCACTCATTTTTATTATTATTATTATTTTTTTGTTGTTGTTGTCTGTTTTGGTCTAACTGTGTTAAAGTTTGAATAGGCTTCTAAACTGACCTTAAAACCCTTTGATATTTACAAAGTTAAAGTGCATTAAATCCAAATATCCTACCACATTTCAGCCCTTGTTCCTTGAAACAAGGGATGAAACGCACCTGCGACCGGACACACCAAAGGAACTAGAAATAGCTTCAGTGGGGTTCCTCTAAACATAAGTTAAGGTAACTCTAGACAGAGGCTCAATTGTTGCCAGTAACTTGGAGAACATAAAAACAAATGCTGAAGGAAGGTCTCCTTTGAGATTCTTAACAGTTTGGCAAATGTTATCATACCTTACTGATTACTTCAAAAGAGTATCTCAGAATATGTTTATCAAAATAGGGTGACCATACGTCCTCTTTAACCCAGACATGTCCTCTTTTTGGGGAGCTGTCAGGCCTTGTCCGGCTTTGTCCTGGGGAGTTTATAAAATCCTTCAAATGTCTGGGGATTTGTATGGAAGTTTTGAGTTTGTGTCGCGTGGACTTACTGAGTTAGAAGCACATAAAAAACACTCGACTCAACCTGAAATTTTTTTAAAATTAACTACGTGTGACTCCACCCCCGCATGGTTGTGTCTTCTTTTTGAGAATTCAGAATATGGTCATCCTAATTAAAACATGTGCTAAAAATACCTAATAACAGACACCAAAGAATTGTTGAAAATGTTTTTTTGTTGAGACATCCTCTCTAGGGCACCTTCAAACAAACCCTAAAGAACAGAGTCTGCCAGTGTATGTTGAGACACATGCTAGAGGATACCAAAAACAAACACCAAAAAGACCTAAGTGTGTGTTGTAAAATATGCTTTAAGGCTTTAAAAACAACTACGTAAGAAAGCTTAAAAACAGATCCTCTGGTGTATTTTGAGTAATTTGCTAAAGGGTACATAAAAATAAAAAATAAAACACTTTCGGATACCTTGACACAAATTCTGAAGAAACTCCAGGTGTCATCAGGTGCGTTAAGACAAAAATATGCATAAGGGTCACTAGGATGGCTGAGAAGGTCATTGGGTGCTCTCTGCACACACTGGAGGACCTTCACAGCTCTTACTGCCTCAGGAGAACCACCAACATCATTAAGGACTCATCCCACCCGGGCCGCCCTCTGTCCGAGCCACTGCCGTCAGGCAGACAGTACAGGGCCATCAAAGACAAAAAGACTGCAAAACAGCTTTTTCCCAAACTCTGTCCATTCCATTAAGGCCTCTATGAGAGCTAGATGATGTGTTGCCTATGTATTTATGATTGCAGTTTTAATTCTTTTACTAGTTTTAACTCTGCACTGGTTTTATTATTTTACTGTCTAATGTTTTATTGTCCCTTTTTTTAGTGCACTGACTGTAAAGGCACTTTTTAATTTCGGTGTGTTTGTCACAATGACAATAAATTCTATTCTATTCTGTTTTTTGGAACATTCACCTGATTCCTTGGCGAGACCCTGAGGGTACTCTAAATGAGCTGCTAAGGGACACCATTTGTTGTTAATACTCAATCTACTCTCTTCTTCAGTTTGTGGCGTTGCACCACTGAACACCAGGATCGTTGGAGGGGACGATGCCCCTGCAGGGGCGTGGCCCTGGCAAGCCAGTCTGCACAGAGATGGCTCTCATTTCTGTGGAGGATCTCTGATCAACAAGCGCTGGGTCTTGACTGCAGCTCATTGTGTCCCTCAGTGAGTTCTGACGTTGTCACATGACTCAGCACTTCATCTGTTTAAACACACTAGGCTTAAGTCAACAAAAGAGAATGTAATGAAGGTGTGGCATCAAATCCCAAACCACCCATCATTGTTTTTCTCATTATATAACCAGTAATGGTCAGTTACCACAATATATAAAACACCTGCACAACGAGAACATTGACCTGACTGTCAAAAAAAACAGAAAAGGTTCCAATAATTAAACCAAAGTAGGTCAAACATCTCTGCCACCACAGAGGCATGAACACAAACATGAGCCTCATCAAGGCTTCATCTCTGACTGGCTGGGCACATAATGCTTCTGTAGACATTATTTTCTAATAAGACAGACTTGACCACACTACTGTGACTCTGTAACAAAAGACTGTTGAGATGGATTTAGAAAAATGTTGGTCTACTTCATAAACTTCAAAAACCTCGTCCCTGGAGCTTTTCATCCAGTTTTAGTCCCGACTTTTGTGTTTTAGTTTCACCCTGATCTGAACATGTTATGATCAATGTTAGACTGCATTTGTTTTCTTTTGCTGGCTGGGGGCTAGGCCATGAGGGTATCTATTTCATCAGTTTAAATCCACTGTTTCTCTTCTGAGGCCTGCTTCTCTATGAGGACCCAGGCAGATTTCAGGTCTGATGAGATTAATAATATCTCTGTCCCATTGTGGATGAGGAAAACAAGCTCAACTGGCTCTGTCAGATTCCTTTTTAGTTTTAAGGCTCAGCTGAAAGAAAGGACAGCTGCCTTTCCTGAACCAACGCTGTACTTTTACATCTGATTGTTTAAAGGTAGCAGGGTGAGATTTTTGGGGGTTAAAATAAAACCGACACATGCAAAAGACAAGACCAATAGAAAGGAGCCTTTTTCTTCACAGTGATCCTTGAAATCAACAAATACTGAAAGATCCTTATAAGACTATTTAGTACAATAACTAAAATGTATGAAAACACCACAAGAATATTTTAATGTTCATTACACCTTCTCTGATCAATCACAAAGGTCAAACACAATTGGTCTTGTGGTCTATCTTGGACGACAAACCCAGCAGTTCTTAAACTTCAATGAAGTGTCCCGAACTGTGAGCAGGATCATCAACCACCCAGACTATGAAGACACCCCAAACAACAATGACATCTCCCTGCTGGAGCTTTCCTCTGATGTTACATTCACTGACTACATCAAACCGGTGTGTCTTGCTAAGAGTGGTAGTGTGTTCAGTGCTGGAACCACCTGTTGGGTCACTGGATGGGGGACCATCAGAGTTGACGGTGAGGATTTTTTAGAGCCAACTACTCTTGAGTCTTTATTAAATAACTAAACCAAGACCTCAACATTTCTGTCCCTTTGCAGTCGCTCTTGGTTTTCCACAGACACTGCAGGAGGTGAGCGTTCCCATTGTGTCCAACAGTCAGTGTAGCCTGTCCTACAGCACTCTGACCAACAACATGATTTGTGCAGGTCTGGAGGAGGGAGGAAAGGATTCTTGCCAGGTAAGTCTGTCTGCAAAATATCCTCATCCATCCTCTCATACCATCTATCAGTAGTTGGGTGTTCGTGTGTGTGTCATATTTGCAGTTAAAGTACTGGGCAAGCCTGGGAATGAATTGAACACAGTCTCTGAGGTGATAGTAACTAAGACAGTTAGCTTGCTAGCTCTAACCTAACTTTGTGCTGTCCTTGTGTTGGTAACTTTTTGTTTGCTAAAGCTGTATTATTTAGTGACTGGAATCATATTAGCTTTGAAAGTAATACAGTAAGCTATCCAACATATCTACATACGACATTTACGAGCAAAAATGTGAGCAAGCTCTGGTTGGCCAGCTAGCTATTGGAACAAAACTAGAAATGTGCAACAGCACCAATGCAACGACAGACAGTGGAAAAAGAGTTATAGACAAACAATTCAAAAGGGTCCTTTATGTACCCTTATCAGCGACCTAAAAGAGCATCTTACTATTTTAGCTAGCTAGCATCTTATACAGGCTATCAGGCTAGTCAGCATTATACAGCATCAGCAGTCTAAGAGAGCTCACTGAGAAGGTGTTCGCCTTGGCTTCCCCTGAATTTGCTTTCTTTCTTACTTTGCCAGATGGGCAAAAAGTGTTTAAGATTTCTGTGGAACTGATGGCAAATAGCTTTTCTAGACTGACCTTTACTAAATGGCCTTAAATTTGGTATTTTTCTCCATGAGGCCTCTACCTGAAAATCAATCAACAGGCTGCCACAGAGAAAGGTCTATCTCTATCCAGAATTTAGTCTGTCCAAACACGGCAGTCCATGGAGTTATTATGGTTGTCATCAGCGAGAACTATATGACAGGATGTATTTATTGTATTTTATTATTACAGTTGTAAATTTAAAATGCTTTAGATTGTTTCATATTATATCCATCATGTGTGACCTCTTGCAGGGGGATTCGGGGGGCCCACTGGTGTGTAAAAGTGGTTCTGTATGGGTGGAAGGTGGGGTGGTAAGTTTCGGACGAGGCTGTGCTTTACCTGACTTCCCTGGAGTCTACGCTCGAGTATCCAACTACGAGTCTTGGATTAACAGCCATATCACCAGTGACCAGCCCGGCTTTGTGAGTTTCACCTCGGACGGTTCAGCTGCTTCAACCTCTGGAACAGCTCATCTGGTCTCCTTTTCAGTTCCTCTGCTGCTCTCCTTGTTACCTGTTCTGTTCTCTCTCTTCCTCCTTTCCTAGCAACAGACATTCACACACACACACACACACACACACACACACACACACACACACACACACACACACACACACACACACACACACACACACACACACACACACACACACACAAAATATGCTGTAGCCCAAAGAAGAAAAAGTGTTTCTTTGATTCAGTTTGTTAGACAAACTATCCAGGTAGTGACTTTTGATGATTTCAGTCAATACAAGTAAATTTAATTTACCCAACCCCTGCATCACATCAAATCCATATTCAAAAGTAAAGGGTTTTATTGAAATAATGTTACTTATCTTACTTATCCTCCTTTAATAGACTTTAAATTCAACTTTCAATAAAGCTGGACACTAAAAAGCGGGTAGACTTAAAAAATTGAATTCATACAACAAACCAGATCAAATCAGTTTAAGTAACTTGACAAACAGGAACCCCCAAACTGCTGCAGACAAAAAAGTTATGTGAATTGATCTTTTAGGCTCTGATTTTGTGTCCGTGTTTTTGTAATCTGATAATAGCCACACGAAAATCAGTTTAGATTTATGTCAAAGTATGAGTTAAATAATGTTCGAAACATTCAGTTTGTCATCTTTGCCTGATGATTATTTTTGACTGCAGTTGCATTCAAATTCATACTGGAACAAAGAAAAAGACAGTGTGTTTTTGAAAACAAATCCAGGTTTAAAAGCTAAATCAACATGTTTTCTTCCTGACCTAAATAATGGAATATTTGCACTGAATGTGTATTGATTTTACTTCTTGGTGTATGTGCTGTGGCAGGAGTAATGGTGTTTATATGGACTTTATCTATTCTGTTACCACTAATAATTTGCTGTATTATGTACTGTAAACTGCACTGTCTTGGATTTTATTGTAATGACCAACTGTGACTTACTCTGAGCATGGGAAATATGAAGCATAAACTATATTTTTAATTAAAAATATGTACACCAAACATTTGAAACTCCAGTGAATGTTTTGTACCTCAGCGTGGTGCCATTGTTGAGTAGCCTGTCTGGATTCCACTCAGCAGGTTGCAGAGTTGGACTTTTTATTTTATCTTTATTGTATTGAACTAAAACAAGAAAAAAAAAAAAAAAATATATATATATATATATATATATATATATATATATATATATATATATGTAAGACAAAAAAAAATCAATCGTTACCTTAAGACAATATATATATATATATTATTGTCTTAAGGTAACGATTGATTTTTTTTTTTTTAATGAGAAAACACCTCTGTTTTTATCTTGCAATTATGAGATAAACAGGTTGAAGAAGAAAAAGAGTACACAAATGCAGCCAATCAACAAAAATGAAGTTAATACAATGTATGGATACATGTTTGCTCAGGGCGCCTGTAGAGAGTAGATGCTCTTATAGTTCCTGCATATGGATACTGCATCATAACACTAGAACACTAGCCCTTTCATGCATGAATTATGAGATCTTCAGATAAGATTTTTTCCTATGTGTTTTTATTCTTCTTTGGGCATATAAAAAATGATGCAATTGAAATTTTTTCCACCGTGTGTTTGACAAACAATTTGACAAACAAATGCCAGCAAATGATACTCTGTGAAAACTGTGAAGTAAAAACCTATTCAATGCAACCAGTTTTGTCTTCTTAGATTTTAACATATTCTAACACATACTTAAAGCAATGCAAAAATGTTGAACTTAGCTCTGAACAAATAAACTGCAGATTTCTTAAGATGTTATGCAAAAAGACCAAAAAAATATTGTTCATAGCCTTCCAAACACTCTCTGAGAAAGCAATACAGTCTTCAATATTTCTGCTTTTCTACTGCCTCTGTTCAGTCTGACTCTAACTTCAAAGATATGGTAAAACAGACAGGGCTCAAACCAGAAAACATGTATGCATCAATTAAGTTTTTTTGCTTCAGTAAAATTTTCCCTTGACCCTTCACTCACCTACAAACTGAGGCAGGTCACCCTGAAACTGGTTATCTTTGGTTTTCCAAACATTTCTGATTTTTCTCTGTCCCTGAGCTTTGTCTGGTGGGACATCCCAAGCTCCCTCAGCATCTTCAACAACCGAACCTCTCACAGCTTCTTCTCCACTCTCAGATTCACTGCTGCTGTTATCATCAATTGATCCTGAGCCTTACTTTTCTCACAGCTGTTCATCGTCACTGTCTCTAGCATCATCTTCACTTGACTCAGATGGTATATGCTCAACTATTCTGCCAGCCTTCCTATCACATGCTTCATTTAAGCTCAACAAACTATCAAGACACTTATTGTAGTAGACTTTATGGAGATAGTATGCAAATATTATTGGTTTTGTTAAATAAAAAAACATTTTACTACATTCTGTCAACAAATATAAATTGTTTTACACTCAAAAATATCATTGGAGATCAAATTTATCAAGAAAAGCAAAGTAGCAGTACTGATCTGAATTGCATTCAAATTATTGCCTGTGATGCATGCCGTCCAATTCAGTGGACACATTTTGAAGTACAGATTTCTCACAGTATAAAATAAATATCCAGAAACTTTAACAATAATATTGAGTCTTAGATGTTACTGAATGCAAGCATATTTTTTTACCTTCAGTGCTGCCCTGCAATAGAAGGATTACACATAATTCCTAAGGCGCTTGGCCTTTCTGACTCACTGTCGGCTATCTTGATTTTTAGTTTAAAAAACTGGCCAGTTGGTGGCAATGTGCAGTGTTATGCACAAGTGTCCACTGTGTTGGTTGATATGCATCTACAACCACAAAATCCATGCATATACTAAAGAGCACCTTTTGAATAGCTGTCTACTGCAGTGACCACTATGCACGAAAGGGCTAGAAACACTAGATGTCATGAAAAATGCAATGCACATGTGGCAGGCAGCACCTTGCTGCTGTTGAATGCAGCTCTCCCTCCTCCTCTAACCCCTCCCTTCCCCTATTGTGGCAGGCAGCACCTTGCTGCTGTTGAATGCAGCTCTCCCTCCTCCTCTAACCCCTCCCTTCCCCTAATCAGGTCAGCTGAATAAAAGGCAGCAGCTCACCTACAGTCGGCCTTCTGCTCTGCTTGGAGTGCTGGTGAGCAGGGTGGCTGGTAACTTTTAATCTTTAGAGTTTTATGATTGCTTTCAACAGCATGTCCTTTTTGTTTGTAGGTTGTAGACCTGCTGCTGTTTTGTTGCCCCCATTAACTGTTGTTATTTTTGCCTGTTTACTTTGGTTGTTTCTGCCCTTTTGATTGGTTTCCCCCCTTACTTGGTTTGTTTCTAACTCTAAGTTTGGTTGTTTTACCCAGTTACTCCCCCATTAGTTGCATTCTGTTCTTCGTTACACTTAGTTGCTTTTCTCCTTAGAGATTCTAGTTTTACCAACTGGGTTCGCTGTTGCTGGTTTGTCTGTTTCTTTGGTTAATCCTTTTATTTTATTTCAGAAGTTGAGCCCACTAGTTTGGGAGGCTAGGCACCCCGGATGAGGGCCCTCCACCTTTGCATGAGTTTGACACGGGGTCACAAGACTACACCAATTTGTTTCTTTTTTGAAGGTTTGAAGTGTGTGTGCTGTGCTTCACTTAGTGAGTATAAGGGAGCATTCCCCTGCACTTTCCCTCTGTAGTCTACCTCCCTTCTGGTGGCCTCAGCTTATTTTAAGTTAACTTAGTTTGGGTTTCTTTGATTTAGTTTAAGTTGGGTTTATTGTGCAATTTCCTTGTTTTAAATTATTATAGAAATTAACTTTCTTGACCCTTATCTGTGTTTTGTTATGTTGTTTTTAACTTTATCCCTTTCTTTCCCTCCAAGGTTAAATTTCTGTTATATTTAAGTTTAATGTCATTTTGGATCTAATAAACATTTTGAAATATTTTGAACTCTGTCTCTGCCTCTTTCAGAACTTACCTGTGTTGCCTTATTCTTATTTTAGCTTCCTGTTATGATTTTAGTCTGAAAGTACAGTTTCCTGAGGTGCAAGTCCCCAGGTGGCGTTGCTGGTTGGAGACAATATCATCTAATTGTGAACAAAATAGCACCCCTTGCCACACGCAGTATGTTGATCTAAGACAATGTACCTACACTGGCTGGTAATCTTGCTTCAGAAATGGTCAGTTTGGGAAAAAAGAATACTAAAAAAGTTGGAAAGATTCCTGTGAGGAGCTTTGCCTTTTTCTCGTCACACCACAGTTCAGCCGAGAGTGCCGCAAAACTATTAAGGAAACATAAACCAGCTGAAAATCCCTTCAAAAGTACAGTTTTTAATCCACCAGTAAGATTTTAGATTAAAAGCTCCCTTTCTTACGCATGGGTGAAGGGACCGTATCCTTTTAAGGAGAAAAAGCTTCTTTGATGTAAAGATTCTCTAATCTCCAGTTTTTACTGTCAAAAACTCCTTACAATAAAATCATTAGGCTGTACATACTCTCTTTTTCACTTTCTCCAAACCGGTATTTACTAAAATGAGTGTCACTTTCTCACCTATTCTGCTTACCTAAGACACATGGGGGTGAAAATGATGGCCTCCTATGGGAGGAAACCTGCCCATACATACATTAAAAAAGGTCAAATTTTGTCAACAAAAACAAATATATTTTAGCATTTATGTTATTTTCTTTAAGTTGAATATACTTTTGACTGTCAGATTCATTTCCACCACGTCTTGCATACTTGCCAACTTTCCCGATTCACGGAAACTCCCGATTTTTAACCGTATCTCCCGCGATGCTTCCGGGCCTTAATTTTTCCGCTAATCTCCCCATTTTTACAGTGACGGAAACAAATAAGATTGTGGCGGACATTTGTCGCAGTAACAGACAAACCTGGCCTGCCTGCACATACAAGACATGCCGGTGACGTGACCCAGTTACTCGCTCGAGACAGCGATATGACAAATACCTTTATAATGACAGTAATATAATTGTAGGGGAGAGTGGGGTAAAATGAGCCATTTTTCATACTCCGGATCACTACATCTAATAATAATAATGCATCAGATTTCATATAGCGCTTTATCAGAGACCCTCAAAAAGCTTTACATTGGATACATCATTCATTCGCTCACACAGTCACACTTTGGTGGTGGTGGAAACGTGGCTGCCATTCTGCGTCTACGACCACTACCACACAACACTCACAATCATACACCAGTGGAGGACACACACTGGGAGCAAGGTGGGTTAAGTGTCTTGCCCAAGGACACAACGGACAGACTTGGATTAGGGGGGAATCGAACCGCCAACCTTCTGGTTATTGGACGACCGCTCTACCTCCTGAGCTACTGCCGCCCCATCTACGCATTCATACACAGGGGTGGCTCAATTTACCCTTTCGCTCAATTTACCCCTCTCCCCTAATAAGAGGTAACTCACTGGTGGTTTCTATCTTCCGCTCAGTTCAGCAGTCAAACTAGATGGATAGAGAAATAATTCCTGTGCATTATCCAGGACTTGTTTACCTGCTAGATTTTTGCCTCGTTGATATAATATGTATCACTAGTTTCCTGATGTATTAATGCTATTATGCTATAATGTGTTCATTGTTTAATTACACGCCCCATTAGCAGCACAACTTTGTGGAATTCGAAGTACAAGATCAATTTTCTTCATGGCAACAGTCATTAAATCCTTTCGATCAGGGGTTCTCAACTTTTGCAAGCTACCCCCGCCCCCGGTGCATTACTAAACTGGAGCTGGATGACTGATAATGCTGACTGTTTCGGACACTAGAGTGAAGGTGAGGAATATTTCCTTAATGTTTGAGCAGTTCTATCTCTGCTCGGATGTTTGGTGGACTGATGCTGCGTTCGAGTTACCTCGGAAGTCAGAAGTCGGAGCTGAAAATGACGTCACATCTGAGTTACCAAGTCAGAAAAAAGCAAAATCGGAGGCCTTAAAAATGGTAGCTACATACGAAAGTATGTACCTAATTTTCAGTTATTAATAACTTTCGTAGATATAGCCATCTTCAATAGCCAGTGGGTAACGCTTCACAGAAGGTTTTCATCGTTCCCACTAAACATGAATGCAGCACATAGTCAGAGTAGTGTGTTGTTTTCTGATTGGACCTTTTACAGGAAAGGGGAAGGCAGCTCATGGGCTGGAATAATGTAACGTATCTTTCTTAAATTGGCTGTATGTTCACCTTACTTAAGCTTGATTTAAACCTCAATAAGTGGAGTTTTGAATGGACTATCAACAGATTGTATTAAACTCACATACATTGTTACTACTGTCATGTTTGATCGCGGTGGAGGGAGAGCAGCTGACAGAGGAAGGAGGCGGCTGGTGAGTCTATACAGAGTGTGAGCTTGTTTTTATTCAGATCTTTAAAACTCGAGATTAAACTGCATTGGAAACTGCCAATTCCCTTTTGATTGTTGCTTCAGTATTTTCACACGAATAAAATGAATAACCAAGTGCTGAAACATTTGAAATAACCATGAAAGAATAGCAAATTTAAATGATGTTTTTAATCGAATTTAGAGCAATTATAATCAGGCCTCACCTGGTTTCTCATGTTAATATCTTTCCCTGTTTAGGTCATTCACTTCAGACTTCAACTTACAGGATGAAGGTCCCTGTAATATTGAGGTGTTGGACAGCTCTTCAGTCTCATACCAACAGTTTATTAAAAGGTATGTTCTGGTGCTCAAAAACCTTCACTCTTCACCCTCAATAACAATGACACAATCATCTCATCCTATAGTGATGCAGAGGTATCTGCTGTAGGGGAGACAAGGGATAATTGTGACACTTTTTGCTTTGCTTTTGCTTTTGCTAACTCAGTGAATCACAATCCCTGGGCTCCCCTACATTTTATAATCAATGTGGTTTAATTAAAAAATGCATCGGTCTGATGCCAGGTACTCTTGTAGTGACATCCGAATGATGATAATAATTTTTCCCCTGGAGATTGGACTCATCTCGTAATGGGGTCCTAGACTCTTTGTATATAGACTTAAATCGAGGTGGACTTCTTACAGCAAAGATTGAGGCACTCCCTTTTTATCATTATAGGCCAAGCTTAGTGACTTAAACCTGCTGAACCAATATTTCTTTTCCAAGATATGCCTACAGCAGGCCGGTGATCCTGAGAGGCTTGACTGATAACAGGGTATGTGTCTTGCATTCTACAAACAAATTAGAAATTGTACAGATGATATTTTGTTTGCAGTCATCATGACATGCTAACTGAATGATCTCCAAACCCCTTTTTAAGACTTCTTGCACATTATAGTATTTGTTTTTACTAATCCTGGCAACTGATATGCACAAATGTTAAAGCTAAATATTGCTGACTAATCAAGACTCATCCCTGAAGATGCAGACACGGAGTGAAACTTTCATTATGGACTTCATTTTAGAAATTCAGGACGTTGTGCTCTAAGTCGAGCTTGCTAGATGAATACGGCGATCGGAAAGTGCGACTCAGCACAGCTAACACATACTCTTATAAGAAAGGTATGCATGTGTAACACCCATGATGCATTCCTGCTTTCCTTGTCTACAAGTAATGTCACTAACCTGCAGAAATTTCTTACATTTGTTTAATTATTTTTGCATTTTTTTCTGACTCACCTGGATTTTTGTTCCAGTGGATGTCCCATTTCAGGAGTATGTGGACAAGTTTTTAAGGCCTCAGTCTGTGGACACACTTGGCAGTGGTGAGTTCAAATTTAGTACAATGGCAAATTTTATATCTTTTACATCTTAAAACAGAGAATTTATGTCCAGGGAGCATCAGACAGTGTTTGTTTGGACCAGAAACTGAATCTGGGGGTATCATCTGAAAAAAAAAAACCCAAAATTGTAGATTTTGACAAATATATACTGATGAATATGTTGGACTTGTTCATTTTGTAGAGTGTCTTATTTTTTTAATGTCTCTCTTCTGTAGACACGCTGTATTTTTTTGGAGACAACAATTTCACAGAGTGGCAGAGTTTGTTTGAGCACTATGATTCTCCACCATACGTCCTGCCTCGCACCAATGGAGCATACAGCTTTGGGATTGCAGGTGATTGTGAATGAAATAACTGAGCATGGAGCTATATTAAAGCTGCCATGGGGAGTTTTTTGTGATAAATACATAAGAATTGATAATAATGCCTCCTCATGACTGACGAATGCAAACAAATCCATAGGGGAATTCGATTATTTCTGATTATTACTTGTAGTGTCTAAAAGCACTGGCAGGGCATCAGTGCTAGACAAGGTGAATAAGTGTTTGCTACTAAAACAGCCAGATTTCAAGTTTCATATAAGGGGATTTTGAGGGACGGCACATTTTCTATAGTGAGAGAACATGACTGAAGCCGAGTTTTGGCTTCTGCATCAGACCTACACCGTACCTGTGCTGTAGGTGCAAATACCGTTGAGTCCTACATGCTTTTGTGGTGGAATGTATGCGTCACTCTGCAATATATCACTGAAATGCAAGCTGGTCGTGCATTGTCTATGCTCGTCATGTCCTGAGTTTTAGTCCTGCAATATTCCTTCCTTGACGGTGTACAGGAAATCATGGCGACTGAATACTAGCGTTATATACATGAGTTGAAGCTGACCTGTGGTGCAGCAGTTAATCAGACAAATAAAGTTCATCTTATCTTATCTATTCTTACCTTATCTTAAATTATAGCATCAAGACATTGTAGGAGACAAACTACAAAACCCAATTCCATTGAAGTTGGGAAATTGTGATAAACGTAAATAAAAACAGAATACAATGATTTGCAAATCCCTTTTAATCTATATTCAATTGAATACACTACAAAGACAAGATATTTAATGTTCAAAGTCATAAACTTATTTTTTTTTGCAAATAATAACTCAGAATTTCATGGCTGCATCACGTGCCATAGTAGTTGGGACAGGGGCATGTTTACCACTGTGTTACATCACCTTTCCTTTTAACAACACTCAATAAACGTTTGGGAACTGAGGAGACTAATTGTTGAAGCTTTGAAGGTGGAATTCTTTCCCATTCCTGCTTGATGTACAGCTTCAGTTGTTCAACAGTCCGGGGTCTCCGTTCTTTTTTTTTTTTACGCCGTATTTTATGCTTCAAAATGCACCACACATTTTTAATGGGAGACAGGTCTGGACTGCAGCCACCCCTGTTGCTCGGAAAGTACCCGCACTCTTTTACTACAAAGCCACGCTGTTGTAACACGTGCAGAATGTGGCTTGGCATTGTCTCGCTGAAATAAGCAGGGGCGTCCATGAAAAAGACGTTGCCTGGATGGCAGCATATGCTGTTCCAAAACCTGTATGTACCTTTCAGCATTAATGTTGCCTTCACAGATGTGTAAGTTACCCATGCCTTGGGTACTAATGCACCCCCATACCATCACAGATGCTGGCTTTTGAACTTTGCGTCAATAACATGGTTCTTTTTCTCTTTGGTCCGAAGGGCACGACGTCCACTATTTCCAAAAACAATTTGAAATGTGGACTCATCAGACCACAGAACACTTTTCCACTTTGCATTAGTCCATCTCAGATGAGCTCGGGCCCAGAGAAGCCGGCGGCATTTCTGGATGTTGTTGATAAATGGCTTTCGCTTTGCATAGTACAGTTTTAACTTGCACGTAAAGATGTAGCGACAAACTGTATTCACTGACAGTGGTTCTCTGAAGTGTTCCTGAGCCCACGTGGTGATATCCTTTACACATTGATGTCGGTTTTTGATACAGTGCCGCCTGAGGGATCGGAGTTCATGGGCATTCAATGTTGGTTTCTGGCCATGCCATTTACGTGCAGTGATTTCCCCAGATTCTCTAAACCTTTTGATGATATTATGAAATCCCTAAATTGATATTATGATGATATTATGAAATCCCTAAATTCCTTGAAATTGTACTTTGAGAAACATTGTTCTTAAATGGTTCGACTATTTGCTCAAGCAGTTGTTCACAAAGTGGTGAACCTCGCCCCATTCTTGCTTGTGAATAACTGAGAATTTTGGGGGAAGCTGCTTTTATACCCAATCATGGCACCCACCTGTTCCCAATTAGCCTGCTCACCTGTGGGATGTTCCAAATAGGTGTTTGATGAGTATTCCTCAAATTTCTCAGTATTTTTTGCCACCTTTCCCAACTTCTTTGTCACGTGTTGCTGCCATCAAATTCTAAAGTTAATGATTATTTGCAAAAAAATAAAGTTCATGAGTTTGAACATGAAATATCTTGTCTTTTTAGTGTATTCAATTGAATAAAAGTTGAAAAGGATTTGCAAATCATTGTATTCTATTTTTATTTATGTTTATCACAATTTCCCAACTTCAATGGAATTGGGTTTTGTTTATGGCCAATGAGGAAGCAGTGGGGGAACGGTGGCGATACCAGAAATGTCTGCCGGTTTGCAGGCAGGGGAATATGTTGCATCAGAGAGAAGGGCAGAAAGTGTGCTTTATGACTAAAAAGGTACGTGCTAAAAAAACATTTATGAACCGCACCTCCAGAGTTCTCGTTTTCTCAACAGAGGGTCAAGCTCTAAAGTCAAATCCTTTAGATAACAGGCTGACTATTAAAAACTTCCTTATATAACCTCACTCAGAGATAAAACAAACTTCTCTGAGGTGGTTTTCTTTGATAGGTAAGGATTACAGAAGAGGCACCATCTGTAGCTGTGACCCTCAGATCCACTCTTTTTCTTTGTCTGCAGGTCCTGGTACAGGAGTCCCCTTCCACTGGCACGGTCCTGGATACTCTGAGGTCATCTATGGAAGAAAGGTGGTCCAATAACATCATGCACATGCTCTTTGATATGATGCCTGAAAAATAAATACAGAAAATTGTCCATGTCTGAAAACTTTGTGGCTTGAATGACCAATTTAGTTGCAATTGTACAGCGCTGGTTCCTCTATCCACCTGATCAAGAGCCTCATTTCCATCCAAACCGGACCACTCTGGCCTGGTTGATGGAGACCTACCCCAACCTGCCAAAGGATGAGGCTCTGCTGGAGTGCACCATCAGACCAGGAGAGGTGGGATTCAGTTTGCAACACCCCCTGTGATGCTTAATTAACTTACCAGCAACATGGGGTGTTGATTATAGATGATCATTATTTAAATAAATATAAAATTATTTGTCAGTTAAGTCCAACATTTGTAGCATGAAAGTAACAAGGACCTTCTTCAGCATCTCTTTCTTAAGACAATTCTCAGTTTGAATTAAAAAAAAAATTCTCTTTGACCTTTAAAACGAATTATACTGGGAAACTGAAAAAAGGCTGAATTATTCTTTTTGAGATTACATCCATCAGCTCTTTAAAGCTCCTGTGAGAAACTTGGTTTGCATTGAATTCGGTGCCCGCTGAGGACAAAGTGATACCTCATATGTCTGCTCAGGGTAGGATCAGGTGCATCTAGTTTGACATTTAATAGAAGACAAACTTAACATGAAACTTCAGCTAACAACCAGAGTAAATAAGAATAAAAATAAAAACTAGAACACATTTAAATGTGAAAAAAACTTGACCTATGATCCTCTTCATGTACAAGACGAGTTTGCAGATAAAAACTTCATCCTGTCATCTTTAAACCGTGAAAAAGTCTTAAAAGGCTTCTTTTTCCTGCTGTCAGTTATCTGATCTGACATCGACTCCCCACATTTGTTTCAGGGCATCAGAAATGACAACAGAGAAACCATCCGCCCTGTTTGTTTTAAAGGTTATCGGTAATAGTTTGCCTTTTTCCTAACTAGTTAAAATTCCTCACAGTGCCAGTGAATGATGGATTATAAAACCCTCTGTGTGAATTCTGAACTTGAAACCAGCCGTTTTTATTTACTTGGTTTTCATCAAGTTCAGAGTTTGTTTCTGCCCCCTTAATTTAACACAATAGCTTTAATCACAGTCAGAGCTTTTCATCCAAGACTTTACATTATTGAAGCCAACAGATTATCGTTTCTCTCTAGGTGCTGTATTTCCCTGACCGCTGGTGGCACGCCACTCTCAACCTGGACACCAGCGTTTTCATCTCCACCTTCCTCGGCTGAGCTTCACCTTCAGCTGTTTTCTTTGTCCTGGAGGAGACATATGAAACTCTCTCTTAGAGCTCTTAGAGCTAGAAAATGCATGAATAAGATTTTTTTTAAAAATCAACATGTGAATATAAAAATGGTTAAAAACCCTGAAGTATGGGAAAGGCTTGAGAAATCAGAAAGGTTTGAATCAGTTTAAATGAGCTTGAATTTGTTTTAAAAAATTGAATAAAGAATCAAGAGTGAAATTTTTTAAAACTGGGAAATTAAAATGATCATAATCTGGAAGTATGAGAGGTTTGAAGATTCAGAAAGGTTTGAATCAGTTTGAATTAGTTTAAATTTATTTGAAGAATTAAATAATGCATAGTCAATGAGTGATTGAAAAATGGGTAAAATTCAAATTAATAAAAATCCTGATTAGACCTCATAATGTCCTCAGTGAGCTGAATTTTTTGAGCCCTGCATGGTTTCTGTAGCTCAAAGTTTGTGGGAGGAGATGGATGCCAAAGATTGTCAAAAAACTCTAGTGAAGGGTTTTAAATGTAATTCCCAGTACTCTGTGTACTGAGCCTGGCTTCATGTGTCTCATACAGCCATTAGAAGAGCAGCTTTCCAGCCAGCTGTGTGTCTCCAGGTGCTCTAATTGGTTGTCATGGTGACGTTTGATGCATCACAACAGCAGGAGAAAGGGGGCTTGAGGCTGAGAACATGATGCCCAAACAACGCCCTAATTCTCTTCCTCTGTAACTGCTATCTTCATGATCAGGAGCTTGTGAGAACCACAAGTCCCGGCTGAACACATTGATACAACTTCTGTGTTTGTGGAGCCAAAAATGCCTTCACTAGTACAAATTAAAAACATGTCCAGTTTGTGTTTCCTCTGAAAATCCCCTCTGACGTTTATATTGGAGTCAATGGAGAAAGCTGGAGAAATGTTGGGGATGACTGTGGCAGTTGGTGTCTGCCCAGGCCACTGTGTGTGTCCTATGGCTTTGATTTTTGAGATGAAGAGTGCCAGCAAGTTTTGCCATCGCTGTACCAAATATTATCCATGTAGAGTGAAGTGAGTTGCCTCAAACCTTTTGTAAAGACAAAGTTTTGAGGATTAATTTTCTGCCTCTCTCACTCTAGCGATGAGGTCACCCACTCTAGCTGCCAACATTCCATGCAATACACACTAATGTTAAAACCTGAAGAGGTCAGAAAATCCTGCGACTGTTTGAACTGTCACTGTGAGAAAAGTATGAATGCCATGAAGATGGTGAATAAATGAGTGAATGTCTGAAGGTGTGTGAATGAGGTTTCTACGTGGAAGTATAGAGCAGTCGAAGGCTTTTGAAGTTGTGTCAAGAAAATGTGAGAAAAGGGCCAATCTGAACATTCCGTGATTCATTCCTAATGGGAGAAATCGGTCGGAAAACCGGGAATAACTCAGAAAGTGTGTTTGTTAGGAAAATTTTGAATACAAGCCGGAATCTCCTCAATGAGATGAATATTTTGAAGTTTGAATGGTTTAAATATGTTGAAGTATGTGGAAGTAGGAGCGGTCCAAAAAAAGGTGGAAGAATAATAACAACTAGAAAAATTGCATTTCCTTGCGGAAAATGCGTGGAAATGCTGAGTGCTGAAAGCTGAAAAAGCAATACAAAACCGCTAAAAAAAATGAAGGAAGGTTTAAATTTAAAATTAGTTAAAGGGGTGAAGAAGAAGTGGAAGTTGGATGAAAGTGAAAATTGTGAAGTACAAATAGTATTAATGTGCTTCATAAATTAAAATTGCATTCATGCTGAAATAGGCTAGAAAAACTGTCTGATATTGCAAAAAAAAATGGATAAGGAAGAAAATTACCTTAAAACACAGAAAGGTGAGTAAAGTGGCAAGAGTTTAAGTTTTAGTACTAGAAGTAGTATGATAATAGGTAGTTGTAGTAGTAGTGATATTAGTGCTTTTGTGGCAAAGTTTGCAAAAACCCACGTGGCCTGAAGATCCACCAGGCCAAGATGGGATGTGTGCAGAAGGTGCAGGCGTCACAGCGCGCAGGGCCCGCCCCTGGTGAGATGCAGGAGGAGCTAGGCCTGGAGCCAAAACACAGTGCCCAGAACCTCCAGGTGACACAAGCCCCAGACCCACATAGACCATCAGAACATCGGCGGGTTAAATGGCCCCAAGCTAACAAGGAGCACGAGTGGCGCCAGTTTGATCGAGATGCCGATTCTATCTTGGAAGTAACCGCCAAGGGGGAAGTCAACCGCCGTCTTGAGATCATGACCACCATCATCATCAGCCTAGCAGCAGAGAGATTTGGCCTGGAGGAGAAGAAAGCGACAAAACTCCCTTATACCAAAAGTAATCGGGCAAACAAAATCCACCAACTCAGGCAGGAGCTAAAGACCCTGAGGCGGCAGTTTAAGGAGGCAAGAGAGGAGGAGAGAGGACCTCTGTCAGAGCTACGTGGCATACTCCGCAACAAGCTTATGACCTTGAGGAGGGCTGAGTGGCATAGGAGAAGGAGGAAGGAGAGAGCCAGGAAGCGCACAGCCTTTCTAGAAAACCCATTTGGATTTACAAAACAGCTGCTGGGGCAGAAGCGCAGTGGCCAACTTTCCTGCTCCAAGGCAGAGATCGATCACCACCTCGACACAACCTTAAGAGACCCATCCAGAGAGCAAGAACTGGGCAACTGCCAGTCCCTGATTGACCCACCTGAACCAATGCTGGACTTCGATGAGAGGGAGCCTAGCTGGAAGGAGATCCAGGAGGTGGTCAAAAAGGCAAGATCAAGCTCAGCCCCAGGACCAAGTGGAGTACCTGACAAGGTATATAAGAACTGCCCGAAGTTACTGCACAGGCTCTGGAGGATCATGAAGGTGATCTGGAGGAGGGGAAAGGTCGCCGAACAGTGGCGCTTTGCAGAAGGAATATGGATTCCGAAGGAGGAAGAATCTAAAAACATCGAGCAGTTCAGAACCATCTCCCTGCTTAGTGTTGAAGGGAAGCTAATCTTCAGCATTGTAGCAAGGCGACTGACAGACTACCTCTTGAAGAACTCCTACATCGACACCTCAGTCCAGAAAGGAGGGATCCCAAGATACCAGGGTGCCTGGAGCATAATGGTGTAGTCACCCAGCTGATAAGGGAAGCCAGAGAAAACAGGGGCGACCTAGTTGTGCTGTGGCTGGACCTCACAAATGCATATGGGTCCATACCCCACAAGCTGGTCGAAGAAGCTCTACGCCGGCACCATGTCCCAGCCAAGTTCAGAGACCTCATAATGGACTATTACAGCAGGTTCAGTCTGAGAGTCTCAGCAAGGTCCACAACATCGGACTGGCATAAGCCGGAGAGGGGGATCATAATGTACCATAATGTACCATTTCTGTGATCCTCTTCGCTCTAGCCATGAATATGCTAGTGAAGTCTGCGGAGGTCCAGTGCAGAGGGCCCCAAACCAAGTCCAGTGTCAGGCAGCCACCCATCAGGGCCTTCATGGACGACCTGACTGTGACAACACCAAACGTCCCAGGGAGCAGGTGGATTTTGAAAGGCCTGGAGGAGCTAACCACCTGGGCCCGTATGACCTTCAAGCCCGCAAAATCCAGAGCTCTTGTGCTGAAGAAAGGAAAGGTCACCAACAAGTTCCACTTCACACTTGACAGCACCCAGATACCATCCATCACCGAAAAAAACGGTGAAGAGCCTGGGGAAGATGTTCAGCTGCAGCCTGAAAGACACAGCAGCCATCCAGTCAACCAACCAAGAGCTGGAGGCTTGGCTAGTCGCAGTGGACAAATCTGGGTTACCGGGCAAATTCAAGGCCTGGGTGTACCAGCATGGTATCCTCCCAAGGATTCTCTGGCCCCTCCTGGTGTACGAGGTCCCGATCTCTACAATCGAGAGCTTTGAGAGGAGAGTCAGCAAGTTCCTACGGAAGTGGCTGGGACTGCCTCGAAGCCTCAGCATCATCGCACTGTACGGGAAAAACAACATGCTGAAGCTACCGATCAGCAGCCTGAATGAAGAATTCAAGGTGAGCCATACTAGAGAGGTGCTGCAGTACAGAGAGTCAAGCGACCCAAAAGTCTCTCAAGCCGGGATCGAAGTCAGGACGGGGCGGAAGTGGAGGGCAGCAGAGGCCGTGGATGCCGCGGAGTCACGGCTGCGGCACAGGGTGCTGGTGGGGACGGCCGGGGAAGAGCAGGCCTAGGTAGCGGTGCAACACCTCGCTACGACAAGGCTAAGGGGAAGGACAGGAGGGCACTGCTCCAGGGAGAGGTGCGAGCAGCAGTGGAGGAAGAGAGAACCAGCAGCATGGTTGGAATGTGGCAGCAGGGAGCCTGGATGCGTTGGGAGGCAGAGCGCAAAGTCACTTGGACTGAGCTATGGAAAGCTGAGCCCCAACGCATTCAATTCCTCATCCAGGCCGTCTACGACGTACTGCCGAGCCCATCTAATTTATTCTGTTGGGGGAAGGTTGAGTCGCCTGCCTGTGCACTGTGTCAGAAGAGAGGGACCCTGGAGTACATCTTGAGCTGCTGCCCGAAAGGCCTGAGTGAGGGGCGCTACCGCTGGCGCCACGACCAGGTATTGAAGGCCATAGCAAACGCCATCTGCAATGGAATTGCCCACTGCAAGCACCTGCGCCCAACAAGGAAATCCATCTCCTTCATCAGAGCATGGGAGAAACCATCAGCTGCTGCCAGGACCACCTCCTCTGGCCTGCTAGCAATGGCTCAAGACTGGGAGCTGAGAGTTGACCTGGGGAGACAATTGGTATTCCCAAAGAATGTGGCCACAACATCGCTGAGGCCAGACGTGGTACTGATCTCAGCAACCTCCAAGCAGGTCGTTGTAGCGATTTGAAATTAGCCTCACAAGGCCGCACCAAAATAATACTGTAGCGATTGGAATTTATAATAAATGTCTGAAGATTAATTATCTCAAATTATGACATTTATGCACTCGTTGAAAGGGGCACCACCCACCCTTAATGGTGGGAAAATAAAGAAAACAAAAGTTTAATTCAGAAATCAAACATCAAGTCAGTTTTAATTAATCAGTCTCATATCTTAAGTCGAAATTCTAATTTCAGGGACTCCACTTCTGGAAGAACACTAACAGACAGGAACTTAGAAAAATAATGATCTGTTTATTACAGGATAAATGATGGTACAACATACATGCAATAAATGATGATAAGATAATGAGGATAAAATAATAATAGGTGAATAAATAAAGATTCTGAGTCAGGCTAGGAGCACTAAAGTTAATGATAGTGAGTGAATATGCGCTAACATATTAACCTACACTAACTTTGGTGTTGAGATAAACTCGGATGTGGATTTGGAGGAATCTAAGATTACCAGAATAAGAGGATATCTGAGCTATGAATGCCTGAGACAGCACCAGCCCTCTTTGGAACTCTGGAGGTTTGCATACTTAAGTGAGACTGGTCCTTGGAGAAGGTGGAGCAGGTTCCGAAGGTCCGGGCTACCGGCAGTTCGAGCGGTTCAGCTCAGAAGACGACTGAAGTCAGCCGAAGGATGGGCCTGGAGTTGTAGCACTCGGGCCTGAAGTAAAGCCGGCGCCTGTGGATCCTGTGGATGCTCGCTTGGTCCCTTCCTTGGTCTCACTCAAAAAAAACTCTGGCACAGAGGATGACCTGGGCCTGCTGGGTTGCGTTCAGAGGTGACTTTGAAATCACGCAGAGAAACGTTCAAAAATGGCTTCGCGAAATTAAAGAAAAATCAATCAAAGGCTTAATCTTGAATTGCTATGTGCACAAAAAGTTGAAGTTTCAAAACTTGAACTAAGACGATGTTAAAGAAAATCAACGTGAATCAACACGTGGCGTAAAACTTAGAAGACTAAGAAAAAATTCTAAGAGAAAATAAAGAAGCGCACCACAGAAGGGTGTGGGCAGAAGAGTGGGTACAAGAGAGGAAGGAAGTCTAGAAGCATAAGAGAATGAGCAACCCCACTTCACTGGTTTTATCTTCTCACACTGGGAGTGTCTCCGGCATGTGTGTGTGTGAGGAGAAAGAGGAGGAGGGTCGTGTGGTCTCCAAGCAGAGATGAACTCGGATCTCTGATTATTTGATCTAACTTATTCTTTTGGCTGGTAAAAGAGTCAGATCTGATACTCACTCACTATGATTAATATCATTGAATGCTTGGTTTCATGATAAATAATTTGATACTAAACACATATGAATGAAGTGTAGGATCACATCAAACATTCTCATTATGTTTCAAGTATCACATTGAACATGCTAAATTACTCTGAAATGAAACAGATAGTAACACATGGAAACTGTGAACAACAAAAAGAGTAAATACATGTGAATGAACTTCATCATGATTAATAATGGATTCTAAATACTCACATTCAGATTATTCAATGACATTATAACCACCTAATGGTTAAAAATACTAAATAAACAACTAAAATATAAACCAAACATTTCTAAGCTATTTCTGTTACTTAGAGTAAACTTAGGATTCATAGTCAATAAATTTAACTCTTAAAAGTTCATGAAACAGTCTGAAAAGCTGTTGGTCTAAAGAAACTAAAGAATAAGGATTTATTCTGTCAGTGATAACTCGGCTTCTGAAGCACATAGAAAAATGGGAAACACCTCAATTTAACACAAATTTCATGATTAGACAGATTAGTACATTGCTGAATGCATAAGATGTCATGATCAGTCATTTGTATTCTTTCACCAAAGGAATGTAGTCTTTATCAGTGTATGGTCAAGCAGGGTTTTACGACCGAGGTCTGGAGGTCAGTGTCCCCCCTTATCCTGGGGTCCGTGTGTTCACACACTTTAAGAAGGTAAATCTCAAATGGGAGATCTGGGTTGAGACGTTAATGTTTATTTAGATGGTCAGTAATGGAGTCAGTTTGAAAGGTAATAAAAACTCTGTCTCTGTTCTCCGAATCGACCCATCGTGAAGAGTCAGAGGTTTAGTCAACCTCCGGTTGGGTCACTTATTTAACCTGAAAGTGTAAACGAGTCTGGAAAGATTTATATCCTGTTTCCTGGGACCAGATAAGGAAACTTTCCTGTGAGGAATGTGTGAGTTTCACACCCAGGGTTGTCTTGATTGCTACATCGTGCTGCTGGAGCTCACGGTACCATGGGAAGACCGAATCGAGGAGGCCAACGAGAGGAAGAGGGCTAAATACCAGGGTCTGGTGGAGGAATGTAGGCTCAATGGGTGGTGGGCAAGATTTGAGCCCATCGAGGTGGGATGCAGAGGGTTCGCAGGCCAGTCCCTCCGCAGAGTATATAGCATGCTGGGCATCACAGGACTAAGCAAGCGAAGGGCCATCAAGGAGGCCACGGAGGCAGCAGTGGTTGCCTCACGGTGGCTGTGGATCAGGAGAGGAGACCCGTGGGTAGGGTAGCACTAACTGGACACAAGCTGGGGATTGATCACCCCCGGCTGGGTCGCCTGGAGGAGACCCGAAACACTCCATGATCCCAGGTCACATCACTGATGATGTGTCCAGGTTGCATCAATAGGTGATGTATGTCACAAGTGATATTAGTAGTAGTTGTAGTAGTAAATCTGGGAATCTGAGGAATTAAATGTTGCATAAATAATGAGAATGATTTTAAAATGGGAAAAAAATTGAATTATTAAAAATCCTCAAGTATTAGACAAGGACTAAGTATTAGAAAGGTTTGAATCAGTTTGAATGAGTTTAAATTTGTCTGAAGAATTAAATAATATATTAATAACGGGATTACATTTAAAGTGGGGAAAATTTAAATGAATAAAATTCCTGAATACATTTTTGGAGCCCTGAATGGTTTCTGTAGGTCAAAGTTTGTGGTAGGAGATAAGGGTCAAAGTTTGTCAAGTGCTCTGGTGAAGGGTTTTAAATGTAACCCTCAGTGCTCTGTGTACTCAGCCTGGCTTCATGTGTCTCATATGGCCGTTAGAAGCAGCTTTCCAGTCAGCTGTGTGTCTCCAGGTGCACTAATTGGTTGCCATGGCGAAGGAAGATGTGTCACTGCAGCAGGAGAGAGGAGGCTTAAAGCTGACACTCACGCACACACATTGTCAGGCTGTGTGTGTGTGTTTCGTTAATGATTGCATCTTAACAGGTGTCAGACATCAAAGGCATTAATTGACCTACTGTTTGAATGAGAAGCTGCCTAACTGCAGTAAATTTAGGGCCTCTGAACTTCTTCACCTCGCTCTGTGAGCTAAAAACTTTTTTGCATACTTGCTCATATATGTAAACTCAGTGAGTGTATAGGTCAAGGGTGCCCCCCAGATTCCTGAATGATATTTTTTATGTTTCTAAGTTAAACAGAACTGGTAGTCCTTGCTTTGTGGGTCTTTTCTCTCACATCAAGGCATTAACTGACCTACTGTTTGAATGAGAAGCTTGAAACTGCAGTGAATTTAGGGCCTCTGAACTTCTTCACATAGCGTGATTTCCTTAAATCCCAGAATGAAAATAAGAACATCGTACAAATTCTCCGCCCTTCATGAACACAATGATGTGTTTTTCATGTATGTACTCTAAAAAATGTGGCCACAACAGTGAGTTAAAAAAGTCTGAGCCTGAGTGACGATCAGGATTTTCTTGGAGAAAAATTACATTAGGGCCAATACCGGGGTTCTTTGCCTTTTTTGGACAGTTTGTCACCTGCTGGCCAGCACAAAAAAGTGAATACAACATTAATAGTCGACAAGTGAATGAACATTTTAAAGCAAAAATGAGGTCTCTAGGTGAAAGTATGCTGAAGTTATAAGGCTGAGAAGGTGGAGGAGTAAAAGGTATAATTGGAAGATTTCCCCATTCATTTCAATGGGAAAAATTTTGCACAAAAAGTAAAAACTATCAAAAAGTATAAGGGGTAGAAAAGTGAGAATACATCCGCACTTGTCCTGAAGGAGAGGAATAGTTTAAAAGTTGAACGGTTAAAATAGCACAAAGTATGAAGGAGTTGAAATAAGTGATTAATAATAAAGAAAATGGCCGACAGGAATAACAATAAGTGGAAATGCTTAATCGGCATTTCCACTCAATAATAATAATAAAGAAATAGGAGAATAACAATAAGTGGAAATGCTTAATCAGCATTTCCACTTAATAATAATAATAATAATAATAATAATAATAATAATAAGTTTAATAAAGAAACAGGAGAATAACAATAAGTGGAAATGCTTAATCAGCATTTCCACTTAATAAAGATATGAATAACATATAGTGGGAATGCTTCGCAATCCCACTCAATTAAAAAAAGAATGTTGTCTCTGGAATACATGAAGTTAGGGAAAATCCAGTTTAACATGATGTTTCAAGTTTCCGACTCCAGCTGTTGTGAAATCTGATGCTAAGCCAAATGCTAACATCAGCTTGTAAATGCTCCTACAGTAACAAGCAGGCATGACACAGCTGTAACGTCCTTACATACAAGGTAAGCATACTAGCTTTTGCTAATCAGCTGTTGAAATATTTTAGTTAGGTGTTAGGCTGTGAAAATGTCTGTGAAAAATATTTTAAGTCAAGAGTAAGTACTGAAAGAAATAAGAAACCAAACAGGTATTGGAAACAAAGAACATTTATTTCGTCACATTTCTTTGATTTACTTTCTACAGTGCAACAGGTTGATTATTCAAAATGTTCTTGTTTGGCTGAAATCAAGTAAAGAAAATAAAGCTTCCTTTGGCCAACATTACAACAGAAAATCAGAAATTCACTTTTGATAGTCAAAGCTAGATTGTAACATAATATTCAGCATAACCAGCTAAAAGTAGTAAGGGAATTAAGCTGTAACTGATGCTAGATTTATGATCACAACTGTTGATTACTAAGATGTACAAACCTTAACAGAACAAACAAAATAAAGTTTGTCTGCACAGAGAACTTTAACTGTGGGCCACTGAGGAAGAAGAAGTCGTTTTAACAGCCGACCTTTTCACCCAGCTACAGCCCTATAATTTCCTACCTTTTAGTTTGCCAGCAAACACAATACTTGCCCACAGTAAGACTTGGAATGAAGAGCAGCTCCAGCAGTGCGGCTCTGATACATAAACTGATAGTCAAACACTGTAAAAGCTGCAGCTGTATTACTACATCAACTGATTAACAATACTTCAAAACGACACAAAACACTAACAAGAAAGCAAAACTGCTGAGCCTGAAATCCTCAAATGAAATCCTCTGACCCTGATCTGTGCAGGTAGTTTTTCATCATCTTATCTTGAAAGGATGAAAAGCAAACACAATATTTAATTACCAATCTTACTGAGCTGCATCTGCTGTCCATACTGAATACAGTGACTTTCTATCAGATTATCAAACTATAATCTCACTCCGTCAGTCTCAGGCCTCGGTTATTTTCGATAAATACAAATCAGAAACCTGAGGAAATCAATGTTATTTGAAAAAATCAGGTTCCTTTTTGTTTGAAAATAATACATATGTGAAAAATCCAACAATAAGAACAAAAAGATAAGGAAAGACTTGTTTATATTTCTCTTTGCCCCATCTTCAAAGATTGAATTATCGGCTACTGAGAACAGACTACTGTGGAGCAGACAAGATGTGCCAAGCATATTCACATATTTACAACAAAGAAAAGGGAGAAGACTGTCAATTGCAGTTTTGGGGGACATTTTTAGGGCTGGTTCTAGTGGTTCAATAATCTTTAAGTCATCCAGGGATTCTGTTTTAGTTACACAAAATTAAAGCTCCTGTGGGGGTTGTTGGGTGGTGACAAATGGGACAAATTTATCACTAGGATCTCTTCTTGCATTTTCTTTAACACTAGTTAATACAGCAGTAGGGTTTGTTTCTGGTAATGCAATGAACACCCTGCCAAATCTGCCTTTTTTTTTTTTTTTTTACATTTTCTTTAGTCAAGAATAACAACATTAAATATGTTTGACTGTCAAAGACAGTATCAGAACCAAGAGGTACAACTCTGTCCACAGGGAGGAACCAAAACAAACACAAGCAGGAAGTTCCACACAGGAGATTTAGGGAAAGAATTTAAAGTGCCTGTTAGGAATTTTCTGGCTTTAATAAAATAGACCCAAATTCATGTAGACATTTTTATGACCAACAGCAAACAAGATCATCAGGGATAAGACTGATCATTTTGATGCAGTAATGTGTCAGCTGAGAGAGATGCAGCCCTGTTCTTACATTTCCCACATTAAAAATTCACCACTAATAAAACATGTGGCTGTCAGAAGACACTTGAAAATGTGGATGACAAGCACAGAAAATACAGCTGCGTGCACCGGGAGCGCCAAAATGACACATACAGCAAGTTCCTCACAGGAGCTTTAATTTTTTGATGCTCAATTTTTATCTCAGCTGTTACATTTCAGTCTAAAGTGCTTGGCTGTTTTCACTGACCTGGAGAATCAGTGTATATTTTCTAGCATTCGGACATTCCCATGCTGCTGATTTTACACACATTTCAAAGAGCATCGCTCAGCCCATTTGTTTTATTTAGCTTTTTCTTTTTTTTAATCTGATGACAGAACAACAGCCCCTCTCACACAGCACATCACCACAATCCAAGCTCCATTATGCAGCCTGAGCAATAACCTCACGGACTTAAATCATGTCAGCCATGTGGAGTATGAGTAAGCGTGCACACCAGCTCAAAAAGGTACAAAAAATGGGATTGGGACACACTGTTATGGCATCATGGCATCACACGTGACCTGAAAACAAGCAGGGCAGTTAAATATTAAGACAGAAAGCTAAACTTCCAGCATGATTTGGATTGAGCTGCTTCCTTTCATAGGTCAGTAGTCCTCCACCCATCCATTCTCCATGATAAAAGCATCAATGACCTCCTTCATGGCAAGGTTTGGTATGAGCTGGTCTTGGGTCAGAGGGGTGCGTGTCACTGGGTCGAAATGGCCAACACGCTGGAAGACAGATCAGATAGATCAATATGATAAGAACTAACTTTAAAGACAAAAACCAGGCTTGAGATAAATCTATTGGATATCACTTCTGACTTTAAAGTTTGTTACATGACCCATCTGTTAAAATAGGAGACAGGCCTTATGACCTGATATCCTTCCATCCATCCATCCATCCGTACATACATACATTCAAATAACCTTCTAGGAAGATTCAGTTGATTTGATTCTGGAGCTTAATGAGAACATTTAACACAGTAATGTAATAATGTACTGACTGGAAAAATTTCAGAAACTGGGCCAAGGATTGTTCATGTGGGGATGTGTTTCCTGTTTACTATGCAGGAAAAAAATATTTTATTTTTAAACAGAATGTTGTATCACACTCTTTATGTTATCCAACTTCCTTTTTGTTTTAATTCTCTTTTTATTAAGACAAGTTTCATACATGTAACATTCAAACTTTGCCCACACTCCTCTTTTCATCTCTCTTTTAACTAACATTTTATTACACAAAATAAAAATACAAGGTAGGAGCCAATAGTTGAGAAAAAACATAAATAAAAAATAATTTAAAAAAGTTCTAACACAAAGGAACAAAAGTACAGGAACATATAATAATTTTAACAAAGGGTATCTTCAAGAGGTACATTTTTTTTTGTCTATATTATATTCTATCAAAATCAGGTCTAATTGGCGCTATAAACTCAATCCAGTTTTCCACACAACCTCAAATTTGCCTTGCTCTAGCCTGAGAGAGAAGGTCAGTTTATCCATAATGTAGATATTATGCATGATGCTATACCAGTCTTCCACCTTTGGTGCCTCAGCCCTAAGGCTGTTGTTGTAGCCTTTTTGCTTGGAATTAGCATAATCCTCCGATCAGTACTGACGGACAGTATTAAAAACAATGAGGTGCATGATATTTCCAAAACCTTAACTGTTATGCAGACATCACTCTAAGTCATAGAAAAACAGTAAAAACTGGTGCATTGATAAAGAAAAATAAATCCCAGAAATAACCAACAATAAACTGTTCCAAATATGACAAACACAAGAGGCAATCCAGACTGCAGAGGAAGATGACTGATAAGAGGCAGTTTTGGAACATCTAGTTTGTGCTTCCCTTACTATCAAATTAGTACAAATGTGTGTTTTCCATGGGGCCCCTCATTTGGAAAAATTGACAAAAGATAAGTATCCCTTGGCCAATACCATGCCTAACTCTTACCAAACAATGCATTTCTAAACTCAATCCATCCATTTGTTATCACTACATCTGTCCAACCTTCTATCAATCCATCCTTCCATCCATCCCAGGGTGTGCGTGGTTGTTTGCAGTTTTGCCTCACTTTTGGACAGATGTCACGTTGTCCACTTGTGATGTGTTCTTTCACCTCAGTGTTGAAGACTGACTTCATACTGAGCTTGATTTTATAATAAACAGCCACTCTGAGCAATCTCTTTGTACATCTGTAAAGGATTTTTTTACCTGCAGGTGCTCTTCAATATCTTTTCTGTCGTAGGTGACCCCACTAGGAGTGATGCAGGGCTCTCTCATTAACTCAAAGCTGATCTTTCCACACAGAAAGTCTGGGATCTCACGCTTCTATTGAACACACAAAAGGTTTTCTTTTGAGATCAGAAATCACTTTTGCTTTATTTGTTATCATCTTCAGGTAAATATATGTTGATCAATTTGGATAAAGAGTTACAGGCACTGACCTTCCTCTTCTCGTCTACCTGACAGAACAATTCTTCCATGTCTGAAAGAAACTTGTCCTGCAAGAAAAAGACTTCTAGGTTACAGATTATCAGTTTAAAGGGGACCTGCCATCAAAAATGTAATTTTGTGTGTTTTTGTGTCAGATAAGGTCCATATTATGTTCGTCTTATGTTGTAAATGTGAAAACAAACCGTTGCGTTGTTTGCATTCTGTAAAGGTTTAAAATAAAGAAACGGGTAAACCAGGCCAATTGAAAAAGCAGGTCCTTCTGACGTCACGCCGACCTTGCTCATTATTATTCACGAGCGTGTCCTCGGTGAGCCGCGCCCACTCTCTTGTTCTCGTACTCATTCACAGTAAACATCAGTCTCAAGCCAGAGTGAGACCCAGCTACCACTGTATCCGCTATGGGTCTTTTCCAAACGACTGGTGTTTCCTTGGGTTCACTGCCGGGAAAATGAACTTAAAGCTGGGCAGAATGAATGAAAACACCACTGGAGATCCCTGGCTTCTTCTTCAACTTCCACCCTCTCTTCGGACACGGGGTCTAAAATATATGGTTTAATACCTGCCATTTTTAGCCTTTAGCATAAGGTGACCAGATGTCCCCGATTTCCGGGGACAGTCCCCGTATTGGATGACCTGTCCCCGGCAAAAGCTGTCCCCGAAAATGTCCCTGATTTAAGCGTTTCATGAATGAGAGCAAAAATGTTGCGTGTAGGCTTGAACAACGGTTATTAAAGTAGCCAAATGGGTAGGAAGCACAAGTAAGCAGTCCTGAACAACAGTTCTTACGGGGGTTATTACAAGGGGCATGCGCTGCTACTAAATAGTACCGAGACTTTGTCTGTGATCACGCAGCCCCTGCGACCCCTGCACCCACCCTGCCGCCACCGCACCGAATATCCCTGGATATCATTACAGACATCTGGACACCTTACTTTAGCACACATTAGCAAAATGGATAAACCAAAATCTGAACCTCCACTGCTGAGCCAATCAGAGCACAGCAGGCTTCACAGCAGCGATCCAATCAGAGCAAAGCTCATTACCATAAATGTTAATAAGCCAAAATCAGTTGGTTTTCCTGTAAGGTTTTTTAGGCATACTACAACAAACCATCAAATAACTTTTCAGCTAAAATTATGTTGCAAACATGATCAGAGGAAATCAAGGATTATGAAAAAATGATAAAAATGGGTATGAAATTTTGATGGCAGGTCCCCTTTAAGTAGCTGAACATGAGAAACTTCTTCCCCTCTTTCTCATTTCCAAACTTAAATGTTTTGAGAATGAGTATTACTCAGTAATGCTCATGATAAATCCAGAAAAATAACCTACATGTTTTGTGTGGATCTCCTTCACATCTTGCGGAATTCTGCTGTTGTCTGATTTGTCCTCTTGTTTCAGTTTGCAGCCCTCCAGTTCCCTGTCAAATGCAGCGCACAGATTTAATGAAAGGCAAAAACAAAGACGAAAGTCTTACTCAGGGTGACATATTCTTTCTGGCACTGACACTGATGTATATAACCTGCCTTTTTTTCTCAGCCAGGATGAGTTTGGTAAGGTAGGCATGGAGCTCGCTCTCCTGATTGATCCTTTTGTCCTCCAGACTGTTCCAGCGTTTCTTTTTCGCTATCCGCAGAGCGCTGGGGATGTCGTCACCAAAGTTCAGCCGCTGCTCCTTTGCCAAGTTATAGGCTAAGAAAAATAACAATGAAATTAACTTAACAGAATTTGGAAGAAGACAGCTTAAGAACTTTAGAGGTTGCAAATATTCCTGATTTTTTTAAGCTTTTTTTTGTTATTCAGCAATTTCTACCCTCATGCAACAAGGACAAGAAACAAGCTAGTTTTAAACAATCACAAGATGATTGAAAAACACCCCAAAAAGATATAACACTGTATGGTTTGCAGATACAACCCAGTTAAAAAGTTGATATCTAGGTCTGCAAAAGCAGCCCAAATCCAATTCCACAGAGTGGCCCCTTTCTTCCTGCTCTCTCCCCTGTTTCCTGCTTTGACCATTTTCCAAGGAGACACTTTTATTTTCTCTAGTTGTTTCTTTAACCTGATGTTTTGAAATATGTTCTGCAAAGAGAAAACACGATGTTCTGATATCGTCACAGAGTCTTCTATTTAAAACAACACCAGTTTTATGGGTTATTATTTTATGAGTGGTCAGGGGCATTTTTGCCTTTGCTGGTAGGTCAACTGAAGAATGATAGCACATGTGGGGAGAAAAGAGCATGGGGAAGACATGCCGCAAAGGCTTTTTTCTGGGAGTGATTGCAGCAACGAGGTTGATGGCCTGTGTATATGCAGCACACACCTACACAGCTAGGCCAACCAACACCCCCAAACTACACTATTTTGAAGGAACCAAAGGGCGTTTGATCAAGAACAAAAAATTAACCTTTAGATTTTAATATCCTGATAAGTAGGATCTCTTGTACCTCTCTGTAGGTTACCGATGGCTTCATCATAATTCTCCATCTCCAGGTGACACTGGCCCATGAAGAAGTAAGCTTTGACTAACTGACTATCCAGCTCTAGAGCCTGTCTGCAGTCTGCCAGAGCTTTGTCATACTGCTGTAGCTTTACATAGCACAATGCTTTGTTAGTGTAGTATGCAGGCACAGAGGGACTGTGGGCCTGAAAAAGAAGAGACGTTCAAAAAATGAACTGTTAGGATAAAAACACAGCATTAAAACTGATGTCAAATGTTGATGTCTTGAAAAACAGCACTTGGATGTTGCATGGATTCTGTGATGAGAATGATACTAAGGGTTCTCACTATGGCTTTGCTGTAACAGGCTGCAGCCTCCAGATACTTGCGGCTCAGAAAGAGGCGGTTTCCCTGCTCCTTCAGCTCCTGAGCTGACACCGACACACTTTTCTCCGGGCTTTCAGACATTTTGTTCACCAGGCTTGCTGCATCACTGGCAGCTGCCTCTTTGCTTGTCTTCCCAATCCTGATGTTTAGATTCAGCAGTCGGGACAGAGACTGTCACAGAGAGATCAAAAACAGATTCAGTTGATTTGATTCTGGAGCTTAATGAGAACATTTAACACAGTAATGTAATAATGTACTGACTGGAAAAATTTCAGAAACTGGGCCAAGGATTGTTCATGTGGGGATGTGTTTCCTGTTTACTATGCAGGAAAAAAATATTTTTAAACAGAATGTTGTATCACACTCTTTATGTTATCCAACTTCCTTTTTGTTTTAATTCTCTTTTTATTAAGACAAGTTTCATACGCAACATTCAAACTTTGCCCACACTCCTCTTTTCATCTCTCTTTTAACCAACATTTTTATTACACAAAATAAAAATACAAGGTAGGAGCCAATAGTTGAGAAAAAACATAAATAAAAAATAATTTAAAAAAGTTCTAACACAAAGGAACAAAAGTACAGGAACATATAATAATTTTAACAAAGGGTATCTTCAAGAGGTACATTTTTTTTTGTCTATATTATATTCTATCAAAATCAGGTCTAATTGGCGCTATAAACTCAATCCAGTTTTCCACACAACCTCAAATTTGCCTTGCTCTAGCCTGAGAGAGAAGGTCAGGATAATGTAGATATTATGTATGATGCTATTCCAGTCTTCCACCTTTGGTGCCTCAGCCCTAAGGCTGTTGTTGTAGCCTTTTTGCTTGGAATTAGCATAATCCTCCGATCAGTACTGACAGACAGTATTAAAAACAATGAGGTGCATGATATTTCCAAAACCTTAACTGTTATGCAGACATCACTTTAAGTCATAGAAAAACAGTAAAAACTGGTGCATTGATAAAGAAAAATAAATCCTAGAAATAACCAACAATAAACTGTTCCAAATATGACAAACACAAGAGGCAATCCAGACTGCAGAGGAAGATGACTGATAAGAGGCAGTTTTGGAACATCTAGTTTGTGCTTCCCTTACTATCAAATTAGTACAACTGTGTGTTTTCCATGGGGCCCCTCATTTGGAAAAATTGACAAAAGATAAGTATCCCTTGGCCAATACCATGCCTAACTCTTACCAAACAATGCATCGCTAAACTCATTTTTTCAAGAAAGACCTTAGTAAAGGAAACTCATCCTTTCACAGAGCATCACTTCCATATTGCAAATATGTAAGGGATGATTTACTGAGGTGTAGCATCACCCCTGGACAACTCTCCACAAATGATACCTGTTTCTGGGTTAAATCACTGTAAAATATGGGTGCCACGACTATCCAGTCAGTGTAAGAATAATCTAGTCCACATGCAGGGTAAACTACGGAGACTTTAGCAGCACTTGAGACCGTTATCAACCTGCAGCTCCGTGCAGCAAGGGCCGATCCGGAGCCACACTACCTGATCTCAGACCATCCAAATACACAGTAAACACATCGAATGAACAACACAGACAGCCAAACACGTTTGGCTACTTCCACGGGCTGCGACAGTGAAAAGGTTTAAACCCGACAGAAACTCACACACACCTGGAGATCGACTCCACTGCAAAAAGATAAACACAAACTGACGTCACAACCCGGAAACAGTTCCATGTCCTTGAAAAGTCCGGCGGAAAGAAGGAAACGCACTGCTACACGAATTCCGCCTCATGTAACTCTGTTCAATGGGGAAGTGTGTAGTTCGGCTATGAGTCTACCTGCGGGATAGAGTTAGATATTTAAAATATTTAAAAGGCGATCATGTGTCTTGTCGGAGTCAACTACTGCATTTTCACATCATTCCCATGGACACGTCACTGCACGTCGGACAGTTATTAGATAATAACGAACATGGCTGCACCCACAGGACCGAGAGGATCATCAGCCTCTAGTTCTCCCGGGTTTGAAGGGTTTCCGTTTGCGGTTGTCGGGAGTAAACCTGAGGACAGCCCTGGTAAAGACCAGGAGCAAACCGGAGAAGCGAAAAGGAAGCCTTGCAGAGCTTGTACGGACTTTAAATCCTGGATGAAGGTCCAAAAGAGACAAGCTAATATACAGGTGACATGAGGTCAAGGTTTTGTTTACAGCCGCGCAGTTCGGCGCCACAAAATGGGGTTGATTTCGGATCACACAACAGCTGGCTCCAAACCTCAGGTTTAACTTGACTAACGTGCTCTCTTAAATAAAACAGCAGTGGGAGTTTTAACTATAAGCGCACTCCGCCTTTTTTGTATCTACCTATTGAATTACTTTGTAAATTTAATCTTTGGCTTCATAGCCGTTGACATGCTTATTTGTAATGAAATCTACATTTTGTTGCAAGTGTGCAAGAAAATGTTGATGTTTGACTTGGCAACAGTCCTGTGGGTTTTAGGGGCTAAAAAGGTCACTCTATAAGGAAAGAATAACGAATCTCTGCCTATCTGTAACTGTTACTCCGTTATATCCCCCAGAATTATTTACAAAAACAATGTCACAGAAGGATGTGCTAACATACTGAATATCAGCATTGCTTTGATTTTATTAACTGAGTCACACCTGTGCTCATACAGTTACTCAACAAACATCTTGAGTGATGTTTCTATAAAACTGAGTATCATCACCCTACATTGTTATCCAAAAGTTTGGCAGGTTGTTGACAAAATTAGTTGTTTAATGTGGTTTCCTTGTGAGTCACATGTGTCTGGTAAGTCTTGTTAAAATCAACATGAACTAATGTGGATTATATCAAAATACCATTGAATTGACCCAATTAGTAGGTCTTACTGACAAAGTTTTCTGTCTTGTCTTCATCTGAAGGTGACCAAAGCTGGAGAGGTAGAACCCCAACAGGAGCCTCAGTGTCCACTGGACAGGGAAGAGCTGGGCCGTAACACCTGGTCATTTCTACACACTATGGCAGCATATTACCCCGACCAACCGTCAGCTACACAGCAGCAAGAGATGGGGCAGTTCATCAACCTCTTCTCCAAGTTCTTCCCCTGTGATGAATGTGCAACAGACCTGAGGAGCAGGTTGGTAAACAGTGCTTCTTTAGTTGCCACATAAAACCTGTTTGTTACCTTTGGTTTAGGCACAAGAAACAGTACAAAATAAAGAACAGGCAATTTTGAAAAGCACAATTTCTTCTTCACAGATTAAAAACCAATCAACCAGACACCAGGAGTCGCCATGCCCTTTCTCAGTGGTTTTGCCAAATCCACAATGATGTCAATGTTCAGCTGGGAAAACCTGAGTTTGACTGCTCTCGTGTAGATGAGAGGTGGAAGGATGGATGGAAAGATGGCTCCTGTGACTGACTGCTGAAGACAGAGAGATGAAAGGACTGAGCTTAGACATTGAAGGAAAAGAAATATACATGTCAGAGTTAAACTCCACCTTGCACATGTTTATGTGTAAACTGTCAAGGGAGGCACTAGAAATGTTGCATTGATTAGTAGTAATGGATATAACTGATGTGGTTATAAAAGTGAAGATGCAAAACAACCAAGAAAACCCCCTTTTTCCTCAGTTTAGAACTTCTCTGAGACAGCACAAGATTTACAGCATATATTGTAACCTATTTTCTGTTTATGATTTTTCTTTATTTTGAGATTGTCCCTTGATAATTATTATACAATGCATAAAGAACCCTCCCTAGTTTGACTTTGATAATTACAATTGTGGCACTCAATTGTTTGTATGTTGTGAGCTGCTTTAAATGTGAAGCTCCTGGATTTGCAATGACTAACAAAATTTTGGGGACTATAGCTACTATGTTCAATTTACAGTTTAAAGTGTACAGATTATAAAAATAGATTTTTTTGTTGAGTGAAGCTTCTCCACAAATCATCATTTATTTGTCCTTTTTGGGGTTTAATGGGAGAGTCATTGCATTTGGTTGACACATAAAACAGTGTGAACCACTCAAGGTTAATGGGACGAGAGTGTGTTACTATTGATGACATTTTATAGAATGAATAAACTCAATATAGAGATTGAATCAGTGGATTATTGTCGGATGAAAACAGCTGTTAGTTTAAGCAGCATGTGAAGCCTTTTCTCCTCTACTCAGTGATGTGTAAGTTCAAGTCACCTGATATGTGTGCCATTTATAAATTGATAATTCTTTTTTAATTTAGGAACAGTTCAAGGGCACATGAAGAGTTGATCAAGTTTAATGTGCTGCTATAACCATGACAGTAAGGGATTGATAATGAGCTTCGACAGTCCAAGTGTTTTGGCCAAGTAATGGGGCAGCACAGACCATAAAAGACAAATCTCTACAGCCAAATGCATGTGCCTTGTGTCTGTCATTGGAATCAAAGAAACATTTTTATGAGAGCGTTTATTGCATCAGTTTCAAGTCAACATCTGCATCAGAATGTATTTGACGTTTCAAAAATGCACTACTCTAAAGTGGCCTCTAGAGGTCGTGGAAGCCCTGATTTTGAGGCATTACTGGGTCTGTATATCAGCTGTACACACTTCTTCCCTTTCACAATAGCAGTTCATGGCCTGAATATTGAACTACAGAATAAACTTTTTAATATAACAGAACATAGTCGAGACAAGCTTGTGTCTGCTTATTCAGCTGAAGCATCTTGTGAAGTTCATCAATTTGACTTGAGAGCGTTTGGCATTTAGCTGGTTGGTCACTGTTAAAGCTGCTGTGTTTTATAAAAAATCTCATGATACGCCACTTGTGACTTTATTGTGTTGTGGTACTTGGCACACCAACACATCATGAGACTTTCCTTCATGCTGAATTTTAATAACTGAGTTATGTCTGTGACTTTGTGATTAACAGTTTGGTCTGGATAAATTCAATATATACAAAGTCTAATTTCAGACTCACAAAACAGATATAGATGGCTTTGTGCTTCACTGAAGACATGAAGGTTTTGTTCACTTAAAAAATATATGTAGAGAGTTTATATTCAGCTGTTAAAATCACCTCTGAAGTCACTTCTTTTATTGCTCATTATGGCCCTGCTCGGCCCTTAGTATGCTAGCACCTCCTTTTCCCTAAACCTCTCTGACATTCTTGTTGGATCATGTATCATTATTATCTGATCTTAGCAGTTCTTGAAATATTACTGTAGGTCTACAGGTCCCTTTGGTTTGACAGCTGAATAATAAAGTTTTGAGAAGTTGACTAATGACTCAGCAAAAAAGATCCAGGCAACAGTCCTGATGTACAGTCACCTGAATTAAAATGACAGTTTTAATTTATGCAGTGACAGCAACAACAATATTAAAAACAAATTTATTTGTGTAGCACTTATAAAACACGAATTTACAAAGAGCTGGGAAAATCTGCATAAATAAAAAAGGAAAAAGAAAAAAACCAACAATAAAAAAGAAACCCATGAAAAATTCACTCAAACAAACGACATAAGGACCCAGAAAACACAATATGAAACCAAGAGCATCATATATAGCAAAGAAGCACATCATAAAACCCCCAGAATAATCTAAATGAATCTAAATAACCACAGGCAATACAGGAACCACAATTTATAAACAGAGACCAGAGGCCTGTGGGTGAGAAGAAGGAGCATCAAAATTAAATAAAAGAGGAAAGAAGAGGAGGACAGATGACACTCTGTCTATAAGAATAAGTTTTAAGAAGAGATTTAAAAGAAGCAACTGATTCACATCTCTTTTGGCAGATTGTTGCAAAGACATGGAGGCCTGATGGAAAAACCTTCAGTTTAAGTCTCAATATTGAGAGACCAGGAGTTCCCCACCCAATATCTAAGGCTACAAGGTGGCTCATAGGGGGTTAATAATTATGTAAGGTACTTTGGAACTAGGCCCTTATGTGCTTTAAAAGTGATGAGTAAAATCCATAGACTGTATATACTATGGACAACTTGGTTCCGCCTACCGCCTGTATACGGATTTGAAGCCAAATAGGTCTTGATATTTCCAGGATTTTTCTTCATTTCCTGAAACCAGTGCTGCGCAGTAGCGATGCGCGCATTTGGCCGCGCAGTCGCTGAGAGTCACTGTGATGACACTTGGCTCAAACAGCGTATCCCCCGGGAGAGCTACGCAATCCCTGAACGCCCATAGGCTGTATCAGGTGTCAATCATAAAAAACATGAACCCCCTAATAACTTCGGAGCTTCACAGAAAAAAGAGGACTTCAGCACAAACCAGTCTTACGATAACTACATGTCAACATCACAAGCAGGGGGGAGAAAAAATGATGTTCTGTGTAATAAATTTCTAAAGTTTGTCCACAGCTCCATAAGCTTTGCTGGCAGAGGCGGGATTTATGACCTATACTGCAGCCCATCAACAGAGGGTGCTGTTCTCAGCCAGCGAGGAGGCAGACGCTGTCCATTCTATATACAGTCTAGTACAGTCTGGTAAAATCCCATTTCTGAAACTTATGAGCCAATGGGGAGATGCTAAAACTGGGCTGATGTTGTCTGTCAACACCAGTAAGAAGCTGAGCTGCTGCTTTCTGAGCCAGCTGGAGGCAAGAGAGAGATTTTTGGTTTATGCTAAAGAATGGATCGAGACAGCCAGACAGACAGCTAGATCGCTAGCTAGCTAGCTGGCTGGATAGATAGATAGATAGATAGAATAGAATAGAATAGAATATTCCTTTATTGATCCCCCATGGGGGAAATTTTTTGTCACAGCAGCATCACAGACAAAGAGTGCAAAAATGCAGTTATAAAAATAAAGATTGTAATATTAAGAGCTTAAATAAATGTAATAATTAAGAAAAAATTTAGAAAAAGGAAAAAGGGAGAAGAAAAATAAAACTATATACAATATACACAATTTAAATGCCAGAAAAAAAGTTTTGGTGTGAGTCTAGTTTTATTACAGTTCGTTGTAAAGGGAGGAATGACCTGCAGTAGCGCTCCGTCTTGCAAGGTGGAAGTCTCAGTCTGCTGATGAAGGAGCTGCTTAAGGTCCCCACAGTCTGGTGCAGTGGGTGAGAAGGACTGTCCATGAAGGATACAAGCTTTGCTAACACCCTCCTCTCACCCACCTCCTCCAGGGAGTCCAAAGAACAGTCCAGGACAGAACTGGCCCTCCTGACCAGTCTGTTCAGTCTCTTCCTGTCCCTCTCGGTGCTCCCTGCCCCCCAGCAGACCACTGCATAGAAAAGTGCAGATGCTACCACAGAGTCATAGAAAGTCCTGAGCAGAGTCCTGCACACTCCAAAGGACCTCAGTCTCTTCAGCAGGTGGAGACGACTTTGGCCCTTCTTGTACAGGACGTCTGTGTTGGTTGACCAGTCCAGTTTATTGTTGAGGTGGACACCCAGTAATCTGTAGGACACCACCATCTCGATGTCCAGACCCTGGATATTCACTGGAACAGTCTGAGGTGTCCTCCTCCTGCGGCCATCCACGACCATCTCCTTTGTCTTACTGGCGTTGAGCTGAAGGTGGTTTGTGGTTTGTGCCACACCAGTTGACAAAGTCACTGATGACAGTCCTGTATTCCCGCTCATCCCCTGATGATACACATCTGACGATGGCTGTGTCATCAGAGAACTTCTGGAGGTGACAGCTCCCAGAGTTGTAGCTGAAGAGGAAGGGGGAGAGCACTGTCCCCTGTGGAGCCCCCGTGCTGCAGACCACCATGTCCGACACACAGTTCTGAAGCCTCACAAACTGTGGTCTGACGGTGAGGTAGTCCACGGTCCATGCGGCTAGGTGACAGTCCACTCCCGCCCTCTCGAGCTTCCCCCTGAGCAGTGAAGGCTGGATGGTGTTGAAAGCACTGGAGACGTCAAACAATATGACCCTCACAGTGCTGCCGGTGTTCTCCAAGTGAGCCATGGACCTCTGCAGCAGGTAGATGACTGCGTTGTCCACTCCGATGTTCGGCTGGTATGCAAACTGCAGAGGATCCAGATGAGAGCTCACCAGGAGGCGGAGGTTCCTCAGTACGATCCTCTCCAGAGTCTTCATCAGGTGAGAAGTGAGGGCCACAGGTCTGAAGTGGTTGGGCTCCCTGGGGTGTGCTGTCTTGGGGACAGGAATCACGCAGGAAGTCTTCTACAGTGCTGGGACCCTCTCCAGACTCAGACTCAAGCTGAAGATGTGCAGTAGCACCTCACAGAGCTGGTCTGCACAGTCCTTCAGGAGTCTGGAGCTGATGCCGTCAGGACCCATGGCTTTCCTTTGCTTCATCTTCCTCAGCTCACTTCTCACCTGGTCAGCTGTTATGGAGAGGCTGGGGGTGGTGCTGGAGGGGGTGGTGGAGGATGAGTGGAGGGGGGTTGATGGTGCCAGTGCCATGGAACTGAGGTGGTGTGAAGAAGAAGAAGAAGAAGAAGAAGAAGAAGAAGAAGAAGAAGAAGACTAGAAAAATTGCATTTCCTTGCAGAAAATGCGTGGAAATGCTGAGTGCTGAAAGCTGAAAAAGCAATGCAAAACTGCTAAAAAATGGAGGAAGGTTTTACCTTAATTACCTTAAAACACAGAAAAGTGAGAAGTGGCATAAGTTTAAGTTTTAGTACTAGAAGTAGTGTGATAAAAGGTAGTTGTAGTATTGATATTAGTAGTCATGTAAGCAGTAGAAGTAGTTTTAGAGAGTAGAAGTCAAAGCAGTAGAGCTCGTGGTAGAAGTAAGAGTAGAAGTAAAAAAAATATTAAGAGAAGCAAGAGCAGTGGCAGTAGAAGTGAAGATACAAGTTAAAATGACATAAGTAGTAATTGTAGTGGTAGAACTGGGATTTTGTTTGAAGAATTAAAACATACATAAATAATGAGAATGATTTTGAAATGGGAAAAATTTTAAATAATTAGAAGTCCTAAAGTGTTAAACAGGTTTTAAGTATCAGAAAGGTTTGCATCAGTTTGAATGAGTTTGGATTTGTCTAAAGAATTTAATAAAGCATGAATAATGGCAATAGTTTTAAAGTGGGAAAAAGTTAAATGAATAAAAATCCTGAGTACACCCCATAATGTCCTCAATGAGCTGAATTTTTTGAGCCCTGAATGGTTTCTGTAGGTCAAAGTTTGTGAGAGGAGATAGGGGCTGAATTTTTACAGGTGCTCTGGTGAAGGGTTTGAAATGTAGCACTCAGTGCTCTGTGTACTGAGGCCCGAACTACACGAATGCGGATATATTTCAAACCGCACATATTTATGTCCGATTAGGCCTCCCTACCACACCAAAACAGGAGTTTGGAGCACTCAAACCGGATAAATCTGAATCCGAAAAAACAAGTGGAGAAATAAAAAAATATCCGTATCCCGTATCCGTAGTGGATTTGTATGGTTGGACTTTTACGGATCGATGACGTCAAACCGCAGCTCGCGCATGCGAATTAAAAAGAAAAACAACAACAACAACGATGGCGGACAGACAGGGTATTCTTTACGTTTGTTTTGCCCTTTTGGGGCTAATTTCAGCCTTGCAAGTGAACCTTGTTTTATACAATTACATCCACCAGTCAGTCAGCTCACAGACACGTCTGCTGCGGCCAATACTTTTATTGGTCACATGGTCCGTCACATAGACCCGACGCACTAGCGTAGCTTCCGCAAACAATGCATGACGCATCACGCTGTTACGATTCATCGGCCAATCAGTTAGCTTTGTTCCTGAATTTTTTTAAGCGGCACCAGATGGGATTGAGTTTGAAGGCTACGTGTGGATGCAGATATTTTTGAGAACTAACACGTGTGGAGAGATACATTTATTTAGACGTGAGTACAAAAATATCCTGATAAATAAATATCCATATACGTGTAGTTCGGGCCTGAGCCTGGCTTCAAGTGTCTCATATGGCCGTTAGAAGCAGCCTTTCACGCAAGTGTGTGTCTCCAGGTGCACTAATTGGTTGCCATGGCGAAGGAAGATAAGTCACTGCAGCAGGAGAGAGGAGGCTTAAAGCTGACACACACACACGCACTTTGTCAGACTGTGTGTGAGTGTCTCGTTAATGATTGCATCTTAACAGGTGTCAGACATCAAAGGCATTAATTGACCTACTGTTTGAATGAGAAGCTGCCTAACTGCAGTGGATTTAGGGCCTCTGAACTTTTTCACATAGCGTGATTTCCTTAAATCCCCAAATGAAAGTAAGAACATCGTACGAATCCTCCGCCCCTCATGAACACAATATGTTTTTTATGTCTGTACTCTGAAAAATGTGGCCACAACAGCGAGTTAAAAAGGTCTGAGCCTGAGTGATGATCAGGATTTTCTTGGAGGAAAAATACATTAGGGTTAATGGGAGAGATCTCTGCCTATTTGGACAGTTGGTCACCTGCTGGCCAAGGGGTACAATTTAATGATTTGAAACCTCTTTTGTGAGAAGCAGGACACATATACCTCCATTTTGATGTATTTTTTATGGCTGTGGAGTGAAATTTGTGGGCGTGGGAGCGATATATTCGAGTGAGGTTCTGTCGATCCAAGAGGAGGTCTGCACTCTAGCGATGTAATCAAACACTCTCGCCTCTCCAATACACACCCATTATAAAGCCTGAAAATTTGCTGAAAACCACGAGTTGCTAAAAGCTAAATTGTGAAAAAACTGTAAAAGATATCAAAATTGTGAATACAACTTTATTAGTCGACAAGTTAATGAACATTTTAAAGCAAAAATGAGGTCTCTAGGTGAAAGTATGCTGAAGTTTTAAGGCTTAGAAGGTAGAGGAATAAAAGGAAGAATTGGAAGATTTCCTATTCATTTCTAATGGTACAAATTTTGCACAAAAAGTAAAAAAAATCAAAAAGTTAAAAGGGTAGAAAAAAGAAAAATACATCCGCACATGTCCTGCAGGAGTGGAATAGTTTAAAGTTTGAATGGTTGAAATAGCACAAACTGGAGTAGAGTAACGGGCCAAAAAACGGCAGAAGAAAAATAATGATAAAGAAATAGGAGAATAACAATAAGTGGAAATGCTTAATCAGCATTTCCAGTTTACTAGAAAATGCAATTTCTGAAGAAATTGCGAGTGGGATTGCTCCAGTTGAAATTGCTATCGCTAAGCTGCTATTGCGAATGGCTGAATTTTGAAAATATGTGAAGGATAAGAAGGTTTGAATCATCAGGAAGATTTGTATCAGCTTGAATAAACTCATTGAATGAATTAAATAATGAATGAATAATAATTTTAAAAAATTCAACATGTGAAAATTAAAATGACTAAAAACCCTGAAGTATGGGAAAGGCTTGAAGTATTAGAAAGGTTTGAATTAGTTAAAATGAGTTGGAATTAGTTTGAAGAATTGAATAATGCATGAATAGTGTAAATGATTAAAACAGGGAAAATTAAAATGATCATAATCTGGAAGTATGAGAGGTTGAAGATTCAGAAAGGTTTGAATCAGTTTGAATGATTTCAAATGAGTTTGAAGAATTATACAATGCATGATCAATGAGTGATTGAAAAATAGGGAAAATTTAAATGAATAAAAGTCCTGATTAGACCCCATAATGTCCTCAATGAGCTGAATTTATTAAGCCCTGGATGGTTTCTGTAGCTCAAAGTTTGTGGGAGGCGATAGGTGCTGAAGTTTATTCAAGTGCTCTGGTTAAGGGTTTTAAATGTAATACCCAGTACTCTGCATACTGAGCCTGGCTTCATATGTCTCATACAGCCATTAGAAGCAGCTGTCCAGTCAGCAGGGTGTCTCCAGGTGCACTAATTGGTAGCCATGGTGACGGTAGATGCATCACAACAGCAGGAGAAAGGAGGCTTGAGGCTGAGAACGTAATGCTCAAACGACGCCCTAATGCTCATCCTCTGTAACTGCTATCTTCATAATAATGAGCTTGTGAGAACCACAAGGCCCGACTGAACACTTTGATATAATTTCTGTGTTTGTGGAGCCAAAAATGTTAAAGTAAAAAAAAAGTTAAAAACATGTCCAGTTTGTGTTTCCTCTGAAAATCCTCCTCTCAGGTTTACATTGGAGTCAATGGAGAAAGCTGGAGAAATGTTGGGGGTGTCTGCCCAGGCCACTGTGTGTGTCCTACGACTTTGATTTTTGAGATGAAGAGTGACAGCAAGTTTTGCCATCACTGTACCAAATATTATTTGTGTAGAGCTAAGTGAGTTGCCACAATCCTTTTGTAAAGACAAAGTTTTGAGGATAAATTTTCTGCCTGTCTCACTCTAGCGATGAGGTCACCCACTCTAGCTGCCAACATTCCATGCAGTACACACTAATGTTAAAACCTGAAGAGGTCAGAAAATCCTGTGACTTTTTTAACTGTCACTGTGAGAAAAGTATGAATGCCATGAAGATGGTGAATGAATGAGTGAATGTCTGAAGGTGTGTGAATGTTTTAAAGTTTGAATAAAGTTTCTAGGTGAAAGTATAAATGAATGTGAAGCGGTTGAAGTTGACTACTTCTGAAGCCCTTTTCCCATTGACTCCCATTATAACTAAGTTTGAAACAAATCTTAATAGTTTGAAAAGTACAAATGGGATTAAAAATGTGTTTATTTGTGAATATTTTGGTTTTTGAATGAAGTTTCTACGTGGAAGTATAGAGGAGTTGAAGACTTTTGAAGTTGTGTGAAGAAAATGTGAAAAAAAGGGCCGATTTGAACATTCCGTGATGCATTTCCAATGGGAGAAATCGGTCCCAAAACCTGGAATATCTTGGAAAGTATGAATGTTAGGAAAATTTTGAATACAAGCCGGAATCTCCTCAATGAGATGAATATTTTGAAATTTGAATGGTTTTGCATACGTTGAAGTATGTGGAAGTAGTTAAGGTTCAAAAAACGGTGGAATAATAATAATAATAAGAAGAAACGGAATGATAATAATAAAGATATGAATAACATATAGTGGGAATGCTTCGCAATCCCACTCAATAATAATAAAGAAACAGGAGAATAACAATAAGTGGAAATGCTTAATCAGCATTTCCACTTAATGATAGATAGATAGATAGATAGATAGATAGATAGATAGATAGATAGATAGATAGATAGATAGATAGATAGATAGATAGGCAGGAAGTAGGTAGGTAGGTAGGTAGGTAGGTACCTTATGAATCCCTGACGGGAAGCAGTCATGTCCAGTGGCCAAGACACTGCACAGAGCACAGCACAGACACACAGATGAGAACAAAAGTATACAAATATGGCTAAAAGTAGCAGCTAGGTAAGTCTGTGTGACCCCTGAATAATAATGAAAAGAGACTTTGTAGCACTGAATTGATTGGCCAAAAAGCAGCATATATATATATATATATATTTAAAAAAAAATTGGAATGAAAACTGAACCTTGGGGTACACCACTAGTTATGTTAGAGGAGGAAGTTTAGTAATTTATTAACTTTGGTGAGTGCAAAGGTTTCCCCCTAAAAGATATCAACAAAAGCAAAAAAGTCCCTTGTTCCTAATACTCGCCTTAGTTTTTAGAAGCTCAATTGAAACAGAGCGATCAATGGTAACAAAAGCTGGGTTGAGAACTAAAGGAATTAAATCTCACCCTACTTCGTCTACATTTCAGTCTAGTATTAGAGCTATGACCAGTTCTAATACCAGACTAAAATGTCTTAAAGGGGTTATCATAAAACATAGAAGATAAAAGCTGTGCAGAGACCACTCTCTAAAATCTTTGATAAAATTGCCTGAATCAAAATCAGAAGGATCAAGCTGAAGTTTCTTTGAAATAGGTTGGACCACAGTGTGTTTAAAAACAGAAGGAACTACACACTCTGCCAAAGAACTATTAATCATGAAGAAAATGCAGGGTCCAACCATGTCAAAAACCTCTTTTAGATAACATTGAGGCTACAAGTGGCTCATCTGTGATCTGTGATTAATGGGTCCGGGTGGTCCATATATTTGAACAGTTACAACAGGATCTTTAAACTTGACAATAAAATCGAGGTGTTCAAATGTTTTTTTAATCTAATCTTTATTTAACCAGGAGAAAACCTTGTTGAGATTAAAAATCACTTTGCGAAGAGTGTCCTGGCCAAGACAGCAGCAGTAAACATAGTTTCAGACATACATAAAAACAGCTATACTCATACAACATAACACAATATATGTAGTCCTTAACCTACATACAAGAATTTAAGCAGCAGCTATGTATCAGAATCATCCAGAATTGAGAAGTAATCAAAGCATTGCATTCAGATGTGCCTGCCTCCAAGTTTTTCAGCTTTCTTTTAAAAGTAACAGCTCTTTTTGTAGAGCAGCAAATTTAAAGGCCTTTTCTACAGTTAAGTTCTGACCTTTGGGATAGACAGCAAATAAAGATCCTGTGAACGAAGATAGTAAGTTCCTGTGCTCTTCTGAATGGTGTAGGCCTGAAGGGAGGAGGGTAGAAGGCCAAGAACCTTGTAGACAAGAATGTGCCAGTATTTTAGTTGACATGTATGCTGTGTTGATGATCCGTTTGGCTACAAGCATTTTCAAAATAGCCAGTCTCCAGTAACTTATGTATAACTTTTGACATAATAATAAAAACGCACCATTTTAAAGTTATCATGAGAAGAGAAACTAGCTAAATGTACAAAAATGTCTTAGACAAGCAGAACACGTGTTTGATTCTGCTTTAAATTTCCTAACTCTATGGACATTGCCCTGAAAATTTGAATAATGGGGACTGACTCACCACTGACATCAGCCTCAAGTGATCACTTGATAAATTGCAGTTATTGGTCCTTAAGTATTGGCTTTTATTTCTTAGCTCTTGAGGATGACCACTTTCAGTGTAGCTACTTCACACAAGCACAATACTGAATTTCTCTCAATGCCCTTTCTGAAATCACAAATGAACCGGTCTATAAAAGCAGTCTTTGTTATCAGAGATAAGCCTCTGGGATAAAGACACTAACTAGCACTCAAAAACACATCCTATTAAATTCGATATTAGTCAAATATTTTTCTTTCTCAATGGCTTAACCCATTACTTCCTGTAGCGCGCTCAAATTGCTCGAGCACACTTATTCTCGCAGCGGCCTGTGCCCGCGCGTCTCAGAGCGCGCGCGGGACCCGTCCCTTCAGCGGAGAGCAGCAGAGCATCCATACTGCCGTGGAGCCCGGAGCGTGGAGCTACGAGGAGCGCGCGCGCACACACACACATACACACACACACACACACACACAAACGCGCGAAGCGAGAGCCACAGAAGATGGACGGAGTGGGATCGTTCGGAGCGGGCCGGACTGGGTCCACTATCGACCCGATTACCTTTGCCAAACAGCCGACGACCATCCTCAGAGTGCTGTCTTGGGTGAGAGCCTGTTTTCACCGTCCAACTGTGTGTGTGTGTGTGTGTGTGTGTGTGAGAGAGAGAGAGAGAGAGAGAGAGAGAGAGAGAAAAGGGGGTCCTCTCTGTTGTCATTGCTGCTCGAGACCCTTGACGAGCTGTCACTACTAAATTAGACTCCACAATCCAGGCGAACAGATACACAGAGTGTATATGAAATTTGAACGGGAGTATATTTATGTAGAAATGTAGCGTGCAGGGTGTAACCAGGGCCTGGTGGCTGTCTGACTTCCCGACTATGAAACTGATCTCACAGCTGAGGTTCTCTATGAGGCAAAAACCGACCAATTCTCATTTTGAAGATGCTGTTTTGTTGAAACATGCACGGATGTTCAATGAACTGCACCTGGATTGTGTAGGGGGAAAACGGAGCAGATCCACGGCTTATTTACCCTCCAGCCTCCACATTTCCGTTAATTATACCAGCTGTTGTTATCTCATCCTTCAAATGTATTTTAATATTTACCATACACCTTTCAGATCACACACACCATTTTATCCAATGATTTAGCTGATTTATCCTAAACGGTCGTCGTCCGTCATCCCACCTGTGATTGGTCCGCGAACATTATTACGCACACGAGCCGGGGCCACGGAGACGCGTCGTGTCCTGCAGTTTGATGTAACGTATCACCTTTCGGTGACTCGCCGAAGGTCTACTCTACTCGTGTAGGGATCTGAAACCCACCGAGGAGCGCTTGAAATGGTAGTTCTCCTGTGTGACTACAAATACAGGCTCTGATCTGAGTTTCTCTAGTGTGAGTGAAAAGGTTACATAGAAGCAGGAGGTTGTGAGGGTGGGAAAATGAAACACATCTACAGTTATAACAGCCTCAAGCGTTTTTGTCCATTAAATTGTTTACAGCTGAAAATCTACAAATGTTCATTATGTCACCTTTCATCTGGTTAGCGTGCTCTGCATACGTTTGCAATCTTAGTTGTAAAATATACAACAATCCTTTCAACAGTGGGATATAAAAGGCACTCCATTGAAATACTGCAGCTCCTTTAACCAGATGATTTTTTTATTGAAACTGGCATTTATGTTAAAAAACAGACGGAACTACAGGGTCAGATCAGTGCCAAATAACAGGATAGGATACCCTGAATATGAATATGAAATGATGCAGTAAAATACAACACAAAACAATAGATTATATTAAATATACAATATGATGAAGTACGATAGGATAAGATATATTATATAATAGAATATGATGTAATATAGTATGATATGATACGATACAACAGGAAACAATCGAATACAAAACAATTCAATAGGGTTAAAATACAGGGCCTTACTGTCATCAGCCCCATCTGTCAGAATCACCATCAGAGCCAGCCATGTATTTGTATTTCATGGGTCAGATTCATGATGGATTTCTATATGACTGGTATTTTACCCAATTCTCACAAGTCAAACATTTTGTAATGATAATCCCCAATTTTTATGCTGCTCTCGGTTAAATTGCACCTTCCAGTCAATTAATAATAATAATAATAATGCATCAGATTTCATATAGCGCTTTATCAGAGACCCTCAAAGCGCTTTACATTGGATACATCATTCATTCGCTCACACAGTCACACTTTGGTGGTGGTGGAAACGTGGCTGCCATTCTGCGCCTACGGCCTCTCCGACCACCACCACACAACACTCACAATCATACACCAGTGGAGGACACACACTGGGAGCAAGGTGGGTTAAGTGTCTTGCCCAAGGACACAACGGACAGACTTGGATTAGGGGGGAATCGAACCGCCAACCTTCCGGTCATTGGACGACCGCTCTACCTCCTGAGCTACTGCCGCCAATTGATCCCCATTTTTAGATCAGACCTAAAGAGCCTTATAAAACAATTTAAAAAAAAGGAGCTAATCACTATTAAAATGTTTTGGAGGGATGGCTACAAAAAGAAAATAAAAATGCACCAAAAATAAATTTCAACAAGAAGCTTCTTGTTCCTCTACAGAACAGGACATGCTACTTTAGTATAGAATAGAATAGAGTAGCCTATTCCTTTATTGATCCCCCATGGGGGAAATTTTTTTTGTCACAGCAGCATCACAGACAAAGAGTGCAAAAATGCAGTTATAAAAATAAAGATCGTAATATTAAGAACTTAAATAAATGTAATAATTAAGAAAAAAAAAATAGGAAAAGGAAAAAGAGAGAAGAAGAAAGAAAAATTTTGGAGCTCCCCTTCTGCCAAGTACACTTCTCTAACTTTATTCACATATCATCTGCTGCTTTGAAAAGACAGCAGACCAATCAAACAGCATGTAAACTTAAGTATGAAGCTGATGAAAAGCAGGTAAAAACAGGGGTTAGGGAAATAGGGGTTAGGGAACAGATTGGAAAGCCTCAAAAGAGACAATAGTTGAATTTCCTTTAGCTGGGCTTTCATATGCTGGGAAAGTTTTCAGAGCCACTCTCTGAAATCAGTCAAACTATTTCCTTGTGGAGATGCAGAGCTTTGATTCTTAAGCAGCTTTTTCACGTGGATTCGCTTAAAGCACCTGAGTGTGTATCTACCCACACATGTGATTAGTTTGAATTGTGGGCTCCTCATTATTCTGACATGTGTCCCTCCAATGTCATGTGACCCACACACCCATGTGTAGGTCCATGTGTGTGTGTGTGTGTGTGTGTGTGTGTGTGTGTGTCACATGGCCCTATTCTGCCATTGAGTGTTAGTCAGCTGACCAGGTTCAACAGGCCAGTTTAGATCAGAAGTAGGAAGACATACTTAGAAATGGGCCCAGA